GAATTGTAGTAGCATATTCTTTTCCTATTTAGGCCTCCTTACCTATTTAGCTATCCTCTATATCTCCTCTAGTTTCTTTGTAATTATTCCTATTATAGATCTCTATTCTTGCATCTTGTCTTTCTTAATCTAGATCTTCTTTTCCTAGTAGGCTTTATTATAGTTGTCCTATACTTCCTAGGTATAGGTTTGTGTTTACTACCTCCTAGCCTTCCTTGCTACTTTAACCTTCCTTATATACTTACTAGTCTAGTATAGTTGCTAGTATAGTAAATGTTTCTTTGCTAGGGTATACTTTCTAGCTACCTATTTTAGGATTCCTATTAGTTCTTCTACTGCCTTGTCAATATCCTCTAGCCTTAGTAGGTGCTTTATTAAGAGTTCCTCTAGTTTTGGGTCCCTCTCTAGTTCCTCCCTAATCCTGCCCTATTTAGCACCTTTCTAGTTAAGCTTCTCCTCTAGTTCCCTTTCCTAATTGGCTTAGATATTTAGCTTAATCTATACCGGGAAGTGGTCTAATGATTCTTCTAGCTCCTAGTTAACCCTATATCTTATAATCCTGTTCCTAATCTAATGTAATGCAAAGTATAGGTCTAGTATACTACTGCTTCCTCTTGCCTCCTAAGTAATTAGTCCCTTTAGGGTAACAATTTCTATTCCTTCCCTCTCTAATATGTTAATTAGCCTTCCTGCTAGGAAGTGGTAAGCTAGGGTAAAGTCTAAGCCCTAGAGGGGGTAGTAGAGGTTGAAATCCCTAAGTAGGATTTAGTAGGTGTTCCCCTAGATAATTCTAGGTAGTCTTTCTAGGGTTTTTAGTTAGGTACTGCTTCTTAAGTCTAGTAGTAGGTTATATATATAGTAGACTTAGAGTGTACCTTAGGATGTCTCTACTTAAACTAATATTAGGTCCCTATCCTCCTATAGTATAGCCTGCTAGGTTTCTATATCTATCTCCTTACTAATATAGATGTATGTCCTTAGGGCTCCCTAGTTGTAGATAATTAGGTGGTATCTTAGGTCTTTAACTGTTACTAGTCTCTTTGTATATAGGTTAAGCTAGGGCTCTTGGATTGCAATAATATAATGTTCTTTTAGGTTTAGTACTTAAAGGAAACTCCTCTGTACCTTGTCTTTACTCTTATTAACATTGTACTGTATAATATTCAGTAATGTTACAATGTTTATTAGGTTTTATCTATATTATTTCCCTATAAGTTTTCCTTTAGTCTTCCCTTACTTTAGACTAACATTTAACTAAGCTTTATCTGCCCTACTTCCTTTCCTATAATATTAAGGTATCTTAGTCTCCCTAGTTGCTAGTAACTCTCTTATGCTAGTGAGGCCCTAAATGTAAACCTATTATCTTATCTAGACCTCTTTTATAGTACTTAGCTAGGTTGCTTCTATACCTAGCTGCCCTAGCTTGTTATATATCTTTTTAGTGTATTAATTCTAGCTTCCTTTGCCTTCCTAGCTGCCTATATTCTTACTAGGCATTCCTTCGCCTAAGAGGGGTGTCTTTTAGTACAGTATATACATCTTGCTTCTCCCTTGTATGCTTTGTATTCTTTAACCTAGTAATCCCCTATATAATAGGAGCAAGTGTTAGTTGTCTTTATGTACTTAGCTACTAAGTGTCTATAGTGTTGATATTTGAAGCACTATATTATCCTATAGTTGCTTCTATATATCTCTGTTTCCAATCTTTCAAAGTCCTAGAATAACCCCTAGTCTAGCACTATATTAGCTTGCTCTGTACTCCCTACCTAGATAATTAGGGAAGACTGCTTCTTAGTCTCTTCGATTTTCCTTTTGATCTATGCTACTTTTGTAATCTTTAGGCCTAGGTATATAGCTTAGTTTTGTCTTTATAGGCTCTTAACATCCCGTTCTTCCTTAAAGCTTCTTATTATGCTATAGGCTATAATTATAAACTATTGTTAGGAGACCTTTACTGTTTTCCCTATCTTAGTTATCTATTCTTTTTATGTTTCTAGCTTCTTTTTATCCTACTCTTATACTGTAAACAGCTTAATTACCCCTTTACCTTCGTTCCTAGCCCTAATTACCTCCTTAACTGCAATTCTTTCTATAATCTCTTTCCCTATAAGTCCTTAGATTTCCTTTTGCTCCTATAGGTCCGTAATATAGACTCTAACTACTGTCCTCGGGGGTTTTAGCGCCTCCTAACTAGCTACTACTGCCTAGGTACGGTAGTTTAGGCTTGTCTCCTATTGTTTCTTCGTAATCTTTGCTACGACTGTATTAGCTACCTTTGTAATTACGTAGCTTGCCTAGTTGTAGATTGCTTTCAGTCCTCTAAGGAGTTCTAAGATTATTATCCTATATGCCCTCTTAGGGGTTCTTCCATCCTCCGCTTTTAGCACCTCCTCTGCCCTAGTATATAGTGCTTTCTATTCGTCCTCCCTTCCTTCTTAACTATCTTCCCTTCGTCTCTAATTGTTCGCTGCCATTTTCCTTCTCGATCTATATATGCCGGCTATATATACCGAGTATAGAATAATTACCTATACCCCTTCCTCCTATAGTAACACTTCTGCCGTCCCTAGATACCTAAAGGCCCTATATAGTCTAAAGCAGTTACTAATGCTATAGTATAAAGAGCTTCGGAAGTACTTAAAGAGCCTAGACTTCATTCTAATAATATCCGACGTCTGTGTATTTAAGCACGTTATTAGCGGCTCGATTATTGTTATCTACGTCGATAATATAATTATTATCGCCTATAGCCTATTAGTACTAGAAGCTGTTACTTAGTTACTAAAGAAGCGCTTTAATATGCGAGAACTAGGCGACCTTTACTACTATCTCGGCATACGCATTATCCGCGACTGTAATAAGCGCACTATCTACGTCGTTTAGGACGCCTACTTAAATAGGCTCTACGAGAAGTATAGTATACGTAGCCGTATCGGTCTAGCTACTCTAATAGCGCCTCGTTACGTTAAGATATCTATTTAACGCGCACCTAAAGGCTATATAGCTAGTACCGCCTTTAAGACTTAATATTAGGAGGGTGTTAGTAAAGCCCTCTAGCTAGTAATAATTACTTAGCTAGATGCTTGCTATACTGCTAGCCTATTATTACGATTTATTTCTAACCCGACCGAGGAGTATTATACCGCGCTTCTTTAGCTAATTAAGTACCTAGTTAGTACCCTTAGCCGTAGTATGCGCTTCTAAGGTAACCTAAACGAAGACGACCTTAAGTTCGCTAGTTACTATAACGCCTTATAGGCTAATAATCTAGTTACTTGTCGCTCTATAGGCGGCTTCTACTTTACTATTATAGGCGGACCTCTATTATATAAGTCCGGCCGCTAGACGCTCGTTATACTGTCGTTAACTAAGGCTAAGTATATTTAGCTTACTATAGGGGCTAAGAAAGCAGTTGCCTTAGCTCGCTCCTTAAGGGAAATTAGTTATAAGAGCTATATTCTTCTAGTTACGCTCTACGAGGACAATTAGTCCGCTATCGCTATTACTAAGTCTACTATTAATAGCCGTACAAAGCATATAGATGCTTATATCTACTATATTCGAGAGAAGATTGCTAATAGTACTATTGTCGTCTAATAGGTTAGTATATATAATTAGATAGCCGATAGCTTTACTAAGCCGCTTAATAAGAATATGTGCTCCTAGGCGGCTAGCGCGTGCCTAGAGGAGTGCGAGCGAAGCTTTCGCCTTATATATACTAAGCTAATTCGGTTCTTTAGACCTCGAAGCTAGACCTTAAAGCTATTACTATTATTATACGATTTAGTTCTATTAGAATAGTTTCTTAGGAATAAGTATTTTTATATTTTTATATTACTATTTTTCTTTTCTAGTATTTTAGATACTACTTTATTATTTTTAACTTTATATATATTACTTACTTTTATTCTAGTTTTCTCTAATTTTTTATATCTATTACTACTTTTTGTATTATTAAAAAAACTATTTTTGATTTTTTTCTTTAATGTTTTACAGTTTTTCTATTTAGTATCTTACTTGTTTTACTTACCTATTTTATATTTTTCGGTAATTTTATAAATTTAAATCGTATGTTTTCTATAATTAAAATTAATTTTTCTATAGATTCTTTTATTAAAAGTTGTTTTATAAATTCTTTTATTAATGTTTTAGTTAATTTTCTTATTAATTTTCTTATTAATTGTTTGTATATTTTACTATATATTTTACTATATATTTTACTATATATTTGAAGTATTAGAAGGAAGGCAAAAGGCTTTACTAGCGGTTGTTCGGGAAGTCGGCGGTTGTTCGGGAAGTCGGCGCTTGTTCGGGAAGTCGGCGCTTGTTCGGAGATACCGGCGCTAGCTCCGAAAGTCTCTACTTATAGAAATTGACCAATCAGGTATGCAGGATTCTGAAATCCGGGGTCGGCTTGGCGTTACGTATAGCTGAGTGCGCATTCTAGCAACTGGATTGGTACCTACGTTGCTATTGTAAGGCGAGCTTCGCTCGCAATTAAGTACGGCCGCTTTATTAAATAACTAAATCTAGTAGATTGCAAGGCCGCTATTAAGAGCGCTGCAAAGCTAGCTACTAAGTACTAAGAAGAAAGGGCCTTTGTTTGCTTTGTCTATATAACCTAAGAGTAGTCTAGTTTGTTTACCTATTTCTACTTACCTAATACCCCTTGTTTGCTTTGCTAATAGAATAGCTATTGTGTTGTTTGTTTTATTCTATAGCGATATGCACGTGCTAAGGGGGTAACTTGGAGTGTATACCTAGGTATCAGGGTCTATTACGTGCCTAATGCCTAAGGCTGCAACTGCTGCACTCTATCTTCGGACTTCTATATAGATTAGTCCTTCTTCCAATACATCAGTTACATCAAGTAACATCGTCTTTGGTGCGCGACTCGAGCTTCTAGAATTACCTCGACAATCTAGTTTCCCCAACACCAAAATTTGCTTCATCCATTTCTATCTGTATTCTGGTCTCTAAAGTCTCGCTTGAACACCACTACCCTCCATCTCTTCCACAACTCTTTCAAAACTCGCCTCAACATCATGCTCATGAATCCAAAACGGATCCATCCGATTCCTCATCCTAGTCTTCAGCTCTTCATCACTCTCATCCCGCCCAAGTCTCTCCACAGCTTTCCGATTATTCGCATACACAGTCGCCAACACGCGATCCGCATGCGGCTTTCTCGTCCTCTCATAAATTTTCAAAGCCGTCGTAATCTCCTTTCTCGACGGCTTCTCTGTACTGGTAGGAGGGTAAACGTGAAAAACCGCCCGCGAAAAAGCCCAAGCATCATCCAACGCCAAAGATCCTCCTGCAGCAAAAGCCCCTCCGTGCGCGTGAGCTGCGTCACCAGCGTATGTCACATTGCTGCAATTTCCGTGAAGCCAGGTATCGAGCGCAGGAGCGAAAGTGTTGGGATACATTCTCGTATACGGCGAAGCGTCGATCATTTGTCTGATGGTCGGATGCCAGTCTTGATAAAAGTCTTTGAGGACTTTCAAGTCGCCTTCAGAGTTCCATGTCGATGTTTTGTACAGAGCGTCGGGCGCGTCAGGATCGCTGTAGTTTCCGCCCACGATGGTGAAGAGATTCTTGCCGAGTTTCGAGGAGAAAAATGTCCGATTCTGACTCCACCAGAAACAGGCGCCGTCGAGGACTCCGGGAATGTGGGAGACGAGGTCGGCGGAGAAGATGGATCGGAAGGCTACCCAGCCTGTCCATTTTGGTTGAGATTTTGGGACGAAGGACTGTCGGACTGCCGAGTGGATGCCGTCTGCGCCCAGGACGATGTCTGCGGAAGTTGTGGAACCGTTTGCGAAGGAGATGAGGACTTCTCCTGTCCCCTGGACTTCAGCGAGAGCTACAAATTTTCTATTGAGATGGATTCTTTCTGGATCAACATGCGCTGCCAAAGCTTGTTGCAAATGTGCTCGATAGAATCTACTCGTGCGATGTCGATAGGCAATGTCGCCATGATGTTCGTCCACCGATATTACTTCATTTGTCTTCCAATGCCTGCAGAGGATTTAGTCGAAAGCTAGCACAATACGATTATAGTGACTAACCGATATACCATGGGAAAGCCAGACTCGTTTCGAAATGCAAGTTCATCGGAAAGTGCTTCACGGACACCTAGCCTTTCTAAAGTCTTCATGCCATTTGGTCCCAAGGCTATACTGGCACCTATCTCCCGGAGTTCGGAAGCTCTTTCGTAGAGTTGTACATCGATGCCTTTATGTTTTTGGAGTGCGATTGTAGTTGCAAGACCAGCAATGCCTGCACCGATGATTGCGATCCTAAGCTTTTCTGAGTCGGTCATTTGAAATTTTTTTGTCTTTCCCAGATCTTGGAAATGATGTTTAAGCCCTGAAGTTGGTGTTTAGAAGCAGGTGCAGAGTTCATTTCGTTGAGATGTACAGAGAGCTTGTTAGAGCTCTGAATGCTTGCATGACGGCAGAATCTCGGCATGCAGCGCTGGGTGCCCATAGTGGTGACAAAACAGGTACCAAGCACGCAATGTGGTCAACTTTCATCCTTTGCTCGCACAAGATTTTCCGAACGATCCCAGACGGGAAGACAACCAATTGTAGGGCATGGCTATCATCTGCAGGTTACATCCCGCCAATTATATCATGCATCTTGCTTCCATCACTGTCCCTTTAATAGGTCTTTATCATGTTGGGTACGGACTTCGCAATATCTTAAGCCCATAGCCCTTCTAACCAGAAAATAAACCAAGATATACTGTCACATGTGCGGTGATCTCGGGTATCGCGTATGTATTCCCAATGTTTCTCGTGCTGTGCCTTCGTTGGTGCCTGAAACGAGAGAATGAGCGAAGGGATGTATTGCAGGCCCAAGGGCTCGTAGACGACGAAGTGGAGTCGTCTCACATGATTCGTCAAGTGTTTTCTCGGAAGAGCTGGTCGATGCGCGACAGTCGGATCTCTCAAACGAAGAAGACCTGGCTTTCCGGTATGTACTTCAGCGTATCGCGCCAGTGTAGAGCTTAAACAGATTCCAGTATTTGGTGGTCCTCCTATTTCGCCATGCCACCTGAGGCACCAGCAATTCCACCATCCTTCAGGAACTTGGTTATGCTTTCCTTACAAGAGCGCTCGTTGTAGCTCTCTTCCCACACCTGGTACAAGCTGACGAGTTCTTGCGTCGCATGCACAATGGCGTGCATGTCGATGCTACTCTCAGCAAGCCAGTCAACAAGCTTGGACAGCTTAGGCCCTGCCTGCTTCAAGCCGCTAAAGCCCCCGAGGATTGCATCACGCGCTGCGCTGCTGGACGTGGAAGGCGAGAAGCTCGGCGGAGCACCAGATATAGGGGACATCAAGGGAGGCGAAGGGTGAGCTGGCAGGGGCTGAGTCGAATGGGCTTGCAAGCCAGCCGGCTGTCCACTTGGTCTCAGCACGACTGCCAGGAAGATCGCCACAACGGCCAGCACATGCGGTGCGTAGAGGAAGGCTAGATCGGTATTGTAGCTATCATTAATTATAGAGTGAGCGAGCTGCGTCTCTTCCGTGCTGAGCCCGAATTGAGGCGCCAGGTCATTCAATGTCCGGTAAGGATGATGGCAGATCAGGCGAGAAGACAGGGTGGAGATGAGAGCAAACTCGCATTCGCCGATCTTGCTACTCTCTGAGACGCCTAGCTCAGGCCACTGCCGGGCAGCTTCGCCAAGCATCAGACGGATGTGCTGCGGACACTCTTCCATTTTGCAAGCAAGATACACTGCGGTCGCCATGATGAGATATGGGTTTGTCTTTCTGAGCTCCACGCGGAGGTAGAATCGTTTCACGTATATCTGTGCGGTGGCGAGGGCTTGCTGGCGCACATTCATTCTTCGGGCAAGCTTCGTGAGCTGTTGCTGGAAGTAGATGCTCATGAGTCTTCGGTCTGGTACGGGATACTTTGCATGCAATGGTTGATTCGCCTTCTGCAGCTCGCTTCGGACCTCAGCCAATTCGGCTTTGCTGAATGTCCAGAACTTTGCCTGTGTCGAGTCCCAGTAGTTTGCTGCCATGGTAAAGGATGTATTGGACGAAGTGACTGTCAAGGTCAAAGCACAATGTCGACGTTGACGTGTCGTCTAACCGCACCGTTCCTGTTTGCCTGCTCGCGATCCCGATCCCGTGACGAGCAAGATCTGACACAACATGGCGTGTCTTACTAGGTGGCCGGTGTCCGTGATAGACTTAGAATGCCTCTGCCTCTATAGGTACAGGGCTCAGCCGCAGCCTGACCTCGATGAGTATCAAATGCAGGTTGCGTTGATAGGAAACGATACATCCATGCTGCTGCTGACTCAGTGCTGAGAGGTGGCTAGAGTTTGCGCTTGTTATGTAAGCAGCTCTTGGCATGGCATAACAGAGTTTGGAGGCGTTGCGTGCTTCTTGCATGCTCCCAGTGCCTGTCAACGACCATCAACTTGGCGCAGGAGCAACAGATCGATATCTGTGCTACTCTTCACCACCTCTTGGAAACATTCCCCCATTTGTTCGTGGCCTCAGCACAGCTTGCCAGTGAAACAGACCTTCGCCCTGGGGATCATACGTAAGGCGGTCCACAGGACGCTGCTCAGCCACCCCGACTCAGCTGCACTCTTCATGTTTGCATGAGACACATAAGACAGCCATAGCAGTGCCGAGGGAACGAACGCATTCTAAAGCATTTCGAATCTTTGAAACTGCGCACAAAAGCTCATCGACCACTCAGATCGAGAGGAGCCATCCATCATGGCAGACCGAACAACCCACTTCCTGCTCGCTCTGCTGGTCGTTCTGTTTCTGGCATCCCCAGCAGCGGCATTTGGTGCTGGCAATATTGCTTCCATCTCCAAGATTGAAGGACACAATTGGCGCCATGGAGACATTGAGGATCTCCTCACGACCGTTGCATTCATCAAGGGAAAGAAATGGACATCTATGATGGTTAAGCGGACTTATTTCGGAAACTGGCTTCGCGAGTGAGTGTCACTCAGAACATGCATCGTATCGGGAATATTTGCTGACCTTGTATTTCTCACTCCTTGTAGCTACAGCCAGGCTGTCGATGTTGGAACCTTGAAAGGAGTCCCAGCTGACACCATTCGCGTTCTGGTCTGGATTCTGGCTTTCATGAGCTTTGGATATGCCGTATGCAATTCATCATCACTCCCGTGTGAGACACTGCTAATGCTTGCTATCAGACCGAAGAATTCGAGGTCACTTCAGAAAGACTCGGCGTGTATCGCCCGGAGGAGCATATTGACAATCCCAAGGATTACGCCGACAATCAAGATGCTAGACAATTTGATGCTCGGTTGCGCGGGCCAGTCAGTCCTGTTGAGCTACAGATTGATCCGCATACTGGAATGAAGAATTACATCGCGAACGAGAATCTTGGCATCGCAACATCTCTTGGCTATGTCAAGTGGTCCTTTGCGCGCAGCATCCACTTTGGTCGCTTATACTGTCATGGCTCACAAAAAGGCCGCGACGAAGATCTCTGCGAAGCTTTACGTTGTCTCGGCCAAGGTTTGCATTGCATGGAAGACTTCGGAGCTCACACGAACTACACCGAGCTCGCTTTGCGCGAAATTGGCTTTCACAATGTCTTCCCGCATGTGGGTGCTCAAGCGCAGATCAACCTCAACGGCAAGCAAGTCTTCCCCTTGGTGACTGGCACCTTTGGCGGTGTGGACTTCCTGCACAGTGTCCTGGGTGAAGCCACAGATCACGTAACTCAGACTGAAGTTGACGACGCCGAAGTCGCGCAACTGAACGCTGCACTTTCCCAGGCAGAGGCAAACAAGAACCGCAGCGCTGGTGGAGATCCGGCTCAGGAGGCATCATTCTTCACTGACGCTCTTGCTAAGATACCTGGTACTGGCGATCTCGTACGCGAAGCTATCCAGCTCCAATCTGCCTCCGATGCTCAAGCTAGGGAGAACGAACAGAACAGTGGTGGCTATGCTGGTAGCTCTCGGGGTGTGGACGACTCGTATGGTGGCTATGACAACTACGGCGCAGCTCGTGCGGATCCAGCTCCGGGTCAGCAGCAGCAAGGTGGCGGTCTCAGCTTTCCAGCCCCTCCCAAAGTCGATGCAGCGGCAGCAATGGCGAAGATCTATCCGATTCTGGTCTTCCGTGACAAGGTCGTTCGCCAAATCTCGGCGATCGTCTCCAAGATCCCGGGTCTGGAGAAAGCGATTGAGACCATTACTGAGAAGGTCACTCTTTTTGTGATGGGACTGCTCGCCCCCTTCATCAAGCCCATCATTGCTTCGGCTTCGAACGCTCTCAAGCAAGGCTCTGGAACTGTCATCAGCAGTTCTGCGAACCAACAGTATCTGGTCTGGACCGATCCGACCAGCACCGACCCTACTCACTCTATGCTCAGCAAAGACCATTTCTCTAATATTCTCAATCAGCCCGCTGGGGAGATTGCAGGCGAGATTCTTCAATACGTCGCTCCAAGAGTCATCTATGGTTGGGAGCATCCCGAGGTGCCGGAGCGAGAAATCTTAGACGACATCTCCCGCGTCTTCCACCACCCAGCGGCACGTAATGAACAAATTGAGATCCAACGCAAGATGTTCGATGTCGTGCAACGATGGGTCAACAAGCGCCCGGACCGTGGGCAGGAGTTGAACAACATCTTGTCTTCGGAGAGTGTCAAAGCTGGCCACAACCACCAAGTCCAGAATGTGCAGCAGTCATTCGCAGGCGTGCAGCAGCTCGCCTCCTCACATGGTCTTAATGTTCCAGGAATTGGACCAGGAGCTGGCAGCCACTCTGCGACACGAGGCGGTGTCTTCGACATGCTTGCCCAGCAACGCTCTCAAAGCAACTTACAAGCCGATCCTTCGCAGTATTCCCATGGCCCACCACCAGCATCGTACGACCAAAGTAGTGCCTCCTATCCTACTGCATATCAACAAGGCTACGAGCAACCATGGCAACCGCAACATCAGCAGCAAGGCTACGAACAAGGTTATGGCGGAGGCTATCAACAGCGGGGTGGTGGATATCCGCAAGGAGGCTACGGTGGAGGATATAACCAGTATTAGATGGTCATGATTGATGAGGAGTGATCGGAATAGATACCAGATGAATACTCCCATGTGTTTGTCTTGGCGGCAATGTAGCCTCCACAACGTGGGGCTCAAAAAACCTGAGTAAGCAAACGGTGGTGCATCTCTTGGCATCGGATGTCGGTTCCTGGACACCCAATCACACGTCACTGTCACTGTGCCTTTTGCTTTGCAAAGAGAACGGAGCTGTCCAGCGTCCACTCCCATACCGTACAATAGTCGCACGTGAAAGCTACGTTGCCAGAAGCTCGCCCAATCTCCACTCATACAACTCTTCCGGAGCACCGTCTGCTCCCGATATCTGCCATACCTACGACCGAGCTACTGGACGGATTCGGAGCTCCTAGCACCGTGACAGCGACTTCTGAAGCTTTCACCGCACGCGACATCGGTCGACACAACACTGTACGATGCCAAGCAGATAGTATTTGCGAGCGCGGCTATGGATGGCGAGTCACAGGCGCAACGGGAGGCGCGCCTGCGCTCGCTATGGGCAAAGCTCGACACAAAGCGCAAGGGGACTCTGGACTATGAAGCTCTAAAGAGAGGTTTGGTTCTGATGAACCACCGTGAGTGGCCATACCGCAGGAAGCGCAGAACCGCAGTCACTCTGTGCTAACATGCCGCTCCAGCACTCAAAGACGCCGATGGGCTGATCAAAGATATGCTCACATCTTGCGATATCGACCACGACGGCAAGATCAGCTACGATGAATTCACTCGTTTCTGCACGCGAACGGAAAAGGAGCTCTGGCGGCTCTTCAAGTCGATCGATCACGACAACAGTGGCAACCTGGATAAGAGCGAGCTTTCCGCAGCCTTTGAGCGGGCAGGAGTGGCAGTCTCCAATGCGCGGCTGGACCGCTTCTTTAGCTACATCGACAAGGACCACAATGGGAGAATCGATTTCGGCGAATGGCGCGGTAGGTATCATTCAGAACTTCCAAAGCACTCGGGAATAGCAGAACCCCACAGCTTGTACCAAGCTTTGCGCTGAGGACCACTTACTAATTGTCTTCCTGTGAACAGATTTTCTGTTATTTATGCCGGCAAATGCGCCAGGCCTCAAAGCCGTATTCTCCTACTACCAGTCCACCTCCAAACTCACTTCAGAAGGCGACGTGGTAATCAGCGACGAGGCACTGCAAGGCTTAGGTACGATCATGACCTTCCTCAAGACTTCTCTCTTCGGCGCGATCATACAGCTCGTCGAGCCATCGCAAGGGGCCGCCGGTGGCCAGAACACGGCGCCTATCACGATGTGGGAAGGCAGCGAAGCACGACCGCAGCTCTTCGACACTCCCGATTATGAGGAGGAGATTGGAGACGACCCATATATCCCAATCAAGCCCGCGAGGCGGAAAGAGCTGGAAGAGGAGGAGATTGCTGCGCTGAAGAAACGACAACCAAAGCTGACGGATTTTGTTCCGGATGTAGGGTATTTTGTTGCTGGAGGTGTGTCGGGAATCACATCCAGAACCGCAACCGCACCCCTCGATCGCCTGAAAGTGTATCTGATCGCACAGACGGGCAATGCTGAGGATACAAAACAAGCCGTCAAGAGCGGCAAGGCTATCAGTGCCGCCCATCATGGCATGAGAACGCTGTGGAATGCGTGCAAAGAGCTATGGGCAGCTGGAGGCATGCGGAGTCTTTTTGCTGGTAACGGCATCAACGTGGTCAAAGTCATGCCCGAGTCTTCAGTGAAGTTCGGTGCATACGAGGTATGTTGCGCTTCCCCAATCCCTGGCTGGAGGATTGCATGTTGGTTCTGGTAACGAAGCCGACCGTACTAATGTGGCCGACTCATGGCCTGGGATGCGCTGTGGGTCTTTGATTCTACCCTCTTTACAAGGTAACATTCGCGTGCGAGCATGTGAATTGCTAGGACAGTGCAACGTCATGAGCTCCACTAGTTTCGGTTCGGCAACGGGCATGCGTTCCAGGGGCATCTCAGTATAGAACGCAATATTTGTGCTGACCATGCTGCTTAGGCTGCGAAGCGCGCTATTGCGAAAGTTGAAGGCCACGGAAACCCGAAACAGATCTCATCTTCCTCGACCTTCATTGCCGGAGGATGTGCTGGCATGATCGCGCAAGCTGTAGTCTACCCGCTTGACACGCTGAAATTTCAGATGCAATGCGAGACTGTGGCTGGAGGAGAGCACGGCAGCAAGCTCATTCTGCATACGGCCAAGAAAATGTGGGCAAGGAACGGCATGGTCGCGTTCTACAGAGGCCTACCAATGGGTCTGGTTGGCATGTTCCCGTACGCTGCCATCGACCTTAGTGTCTTTGAAACGCTGAAGAAGCGTATGATCGCAAGGAATAGGCGCAACAACCCGAATCTCAAGCACGACGAAGACGCGTTGCCCGGCAATTTCAGCATGGCGTTGATGGGTGGTTTCAGTGGTGCGATAGGAGCGAGCATTGTTTACCCTCTCAACCTGCTGCGGACGAGACTCCAAAGTCAGGGCACGGCGAGTCATCCGAGAACATACACCGGTATTGTCGACGTGACGCGACAAACGCTGCAGGGCGAAGGCGTGCGAGGACTTTTCAAAGGCTTGACGCCGAATCTGCTCAAGGTGGTCCCGGCGGTTTCCATCACTTATGTCGTTTATGAGAACACGAAGAAGGCGCTGCATCTTTCATGATGGCGGTAACAAGGAAAGGCAGCGAGAGGAATTTTCATTATGACTCGGTAGGAGATCGGTATTGCGAAGGATCTCGATGCGAATGGACATGATTCATCGCTTGGATATGCGACGAAACGGCAAACAGCTCGTGCATTGGGAGAGAAGTCATCACGGCGCACTAGTGATAGAGGTCAACAGCTGTGCGCTGATCAGAGAGCCGCACTATTGAGAGGAAACTATGATACCCTTCGTACAGGAAATGGTATAGCAATGCTGTGCATGGCAAACAGAACAGGCATTTCGATCCCAAAGCTTCATACCTGTCGGGATCCCGATCGGGAGAAATCCCTTATCGTTCACGTTCGGCCCAGGTGCAGCCGACACAGACTGCAAGCTGCCGCACAGTGCGCACACCAGTACATTTCTCCGTCGAGAACTGCTGCTATTCCAAAGTCGAACTAATCACAATGGACGCAGTCCCCACAACGATCACGGTAGGCAGCGACTATCCAACGATCACCTATGGACCAGCAGGTTTCCAAGGCCTGATCAAGCAACCATATGTCTTCGCACTCGCCTGTTTCGCCTCACTCGGCGGCCTACTATTTGGCTATGACCAGGCAAGATCGACATCAATCTTCATCCCCAAACTCCGCTGACATTGCATGTATATATATAGGGTGTGATATCCGGAGTCCTCGTCATGAACAACTTCGTAAGAAAAACAAATCCCACCCCCTCGCCCAAATCAAATCACTAAAACCCCCCTCCCAGGCCAACCGCTTCCCATCCCTCTCCTCAAACCCCACCCTTCAAGGCTGGATGGTCTCGGAGCCATGTTCGGCGCTTTCATCAACGGACCCATTTCGGTAAAACCTTTTCACGCAAACGTTCGATCTTGTACGCGAATTTTGTGTTTTTGATCGGAAGTTTGCTCCAAGCGGCCGCGCAGAATGTGTCGATGATTTTTCATCGGAAGGTTTTTTTTTTCGCTGGGGTGAGTATTGGGATGTTGGCGATGGTTACACCGTTGCATTTGAGTGAGTTGAGTCCGCCCGAGATTAGGGGGGCGTTGGTCACGTTGCAGTAGTTTGCTATTACGGTGGGGATTTTGGTGGCGTTTTGGTTGGAGTGAGTTTTACTTTTATTTTATCACTTATACGCTGCTGGCTGCTGATACGTTTTGGTATATGTATGCAGGTATGGAACGCAGTATATCGGCGGCAATGGCCATGGACAAAGTGAAGTCGCTTGGAGATTACCTTTGGCATTACAATGTCTGCCTTCGGTCGTGTTAGCGATTGGGACTTTCTTCCTGCCATTCTCTCCGAGGTGGTTGGTGAACCAGGGGCGCGAGAAGGAGGCTTTTGAGACTTTGGTCAAGCTACGACGTGTACCGGAAGATGATCCGAGATTGGGGAGGGAGATTTTTGAAATTCGCGTCGCGTATGTTTTTGAACAGGAATCTTTGAAGGCCAAGTATGGTGATGGGGCGAGTAAGTTTGAGATCGCCCTACAGCAGTATATGGAGCTTTTTACGATTGGACATTTGAGGAAGAGGACGATTATTGCTCGTGGGTTGCAGGTTGTTGAGCAGTTTACTGGGATCAGTGAGTACACTCCCGTCCCCTTCCTTTCCGGTATTGCTAGCTTGGATGGCTACGCTGACAGATTTCCATCTAGATGCCATCATCTACTACGCTCCAACAATCTTCAAAGCCCTCTCCCTCTCTTCAACATCAATCACACTCTCCGCGACCGGGGTCGTGGGCATCATCAATGTGCTCTTCACAATTCCCTCCCTGTACTTCATCGACCGCGTCGGCCGTCGCAAGCTAGTAAGAACAGCCCAACCCAACCCAACCCTCCTTCCTTCTTGAATTCTACTAAACATCCCTTCTCCCAGCTCATCATCGGCGCAATCGGCATGTCCATCGCCCAACTAATCGTCGGCTCCCTCTTCGCCGCCTTCAAAGATTCCTGGTCAACCCATCGAGCCGCCGGCTGGGTCGCCTGCACCTTCGTCTGGATCTACATCGCATTTTTCGCTTTCCAAGTCGGAGTCATCTGGATCATGCCGAGCGAAATGTTTCCCCCCCATCATCCGTTCCAAAGCCGTGGGCCTCGGGATCGCGAATAACTGGCTTGCCAACTTCATCGTGGGATTAATCACGCCGAGGATGTTGAGGAAGATCAGGTTTGGGACGTTTTATTTTTTCTTGGTGTTTTGTGTGATTTTGTTGGGGTGGAGTTGGTGGGGGATTCCGGAGACGAAGGTAGGTGGTGGAAGATTAGATGTTCAAGGTGGCCTTGTATGGGTTTCTTTGCTGATTTTTCTAAGGCGTACCGATTGAAGAAATGGATAAGATTTTTGGTGAGAATGAGGGTGAGGAGGATGTGAGGAGGATGGAACTGATTAGAACGAGGCTGGAAAGACAGGATGGTGTGGTGGAGCAAGTTGTGATTGCTGAAGTGAAGGGCAAAGAGTAGATGCCTTTCTGAACGCCATACGAAGTGCTACTTTCGTGGCGTAGTGGCCTTTCTCGAGATAGTTGCAGTCGGGCGAGACATCGCTATAGTCGATCTTTTCATTATTGAATCGCAGCGTGTGCAATGGCCAATGAAAATGCACTCACACGAAGAGAGTAATGTATACCACACTGAGTGACAGGTTCCCAAGTACAGTTTTCGTTGTCGAGGTAGTTGTTGCATCTTCATGCTGTACTGACTGTTCGGATTCGGCGCGAGTCTCCTGTATCCTGCGCGCCGCAGAATGCTTAGAAATGTGCACGCAAAGCTTCCGCATTGTAATTACCAACATGTTACATGTACCTTAGTACTACTGCAGCAGGTCCGTTGGGTTGGCCTCAATCGTTCGTTGTGCTCTAAGCACGCCGAGATCGCCAGCGTGAAGCCGAGATAGTAGTAATATTTGTCCTATCGATCCAGACTCACAGAGTATATCGAAATCCTTCGATGCCCTCCAATACAGCTCTCCCTTGGGCCTGCCTTCGATTCATCACAACCATATAGATGCTCGTAGCACTCACGCTCAAAATCGTCAAACCCGCCGCGGTGAAGCACGTCGCCAATCCAGGAGTATAGCCTGGTGCATCCTTACTCCGGAATACTAGACTGGCAATCACCCCACCAACTCCTCCCGCTGCAACTATCGTAGCAGAAGCAAACGCTCGCTTCCATTGACCAACAATATTGTTCGCTTGATACGTCATAGTAGCAGGAATGTTCGAGTTCGAACCGCCGGTGATAAGAAAGGCTCCAAAGTACCGGACATAAGGCTGAGAAGCGTAGCCCAACAGTGCGACCCCAATGATTTCGAGAACGCAATTGAAGACAATAATGTGGCCTCGAATGCGATATTTGTCGGAGATGTAGGACTCCAGGAATCCGAGGAGGAATGAGAAAGCGTAGCACTGTCAATGAAGGTCAGAGGCAGAGAGTAATGAACGATGGGTAGACTTACCGGAGCAGTCAAACACTGTGACTGCATAACCGAAAATCCCAGAGACTGCCTCAAAATGATCGGCAAAAAGTACGAGATCGAGTACGTGACTAGACCAGAGCATCCGAAGTTCAAAGCAAAACACCAAATCTTCCAATCCTTTCCTTGAGCCAAATACGACCAGATCTCAAATTTACTAATATGAGCATCCTTCCGATCCCTCTCAATCCGATCAACCATAACTTTCACCTCTTCATCTGACAAGAATCTCGGTCCTCCAGGGTAGAGTTTCGTCTTATGTGCGTCTTCGGGGAAGTCGATGAGGAGGATATAGCCTAGGATAGCGATGACGATGGTGAGGATTCCTTCCATGATGAAGATCCAAGCCCAACCAGGATGTCCGGCTAGTCCAGCCATTTGCTGGAGGCCGTAGGCTAGGACTCCGCCGAAGCCTCCGACTGAATTTCCGACGAGGTAGAAGAAGGCGTTGCGTTTAGCGACTTCGTGGCGGATGTACCACATTGAGACTAGGAAGAGGGCGGAAGGGAAGAAGCAGCTGGCAAGACGAAGGTTAGTAGTGTTGAATGTACCGAAAGGACTTCTAGGAGGAGATTTACGATTCGAACATGCCGAGTAGAACTCTTAAAGCCACGAGTATAGTCCAATGCTTCGAAAACCCGAAGCCGATCACCACGAGACCAAACGCGAGTGTGACGCCAGCGAGAAATAGTCGTGGACCGAGCTTGCGTGCGAGAACCGTAGCGACGAAGTTGAACGCGACGTAAGTTGGAAAGAAAACGACGACGATAATCGAATAGCGATTACCGATGAGGTTGAGGTCATCGTCCATACCGGCGATCACGCTATACTACAGTCAGCGCGAAAAGAACTCCGTAAACATGACAGAACTATCTAGACTCACGCATTTGGTAGATTCGTTCGATCAATTTGATTGACGATGTACATCAGAGCCAAGATGACGGATAATCGAATATCGACTTTTCGCTTGATTTTCTCGACCCTCGAAGCATCCCAGGGAGGATTTTGTTCGGAATCATTTGAAACGATTTCTGGTTGTTTTTCGACATGTTCTCCGGATGAAGAAGTTTTGGAAATGCTCATTTTTGGTAGCGGAATGGTAGTAGGTCAAATTGAAGAGTCATCACGGGGAAATCGGGGTATGAATGAACTTGAGCAGCGGTAGCAGTTCATGACTTCTATACTGTTCAACGGGGGTAAGCCAGGTCAGTGATTGACAAGTCGGAGCTGCATTCTCGCGTGGAGACCATGTTGGTGCTAGCAAATCACATCTTTGTGTTGGCGATTGCGGTACACGAAAACCAGGAAGGATGCTCACGCCAAGAGGAGGATGTAGAAGCCCGAGGTTACGAGTCTTGGTATGGGGGTCTCCGCATGCTGAGCGACCAGTTCGCGATTGTGAAACGCCTGGTAGCATGTTGATAGAGAGTGACTGTAGCTGGTTGTCGCTCTTGTCCCATCTAATGTCTGGGCCGAGTTTTATACGTTGCACATGCTGGAGGTTAGTAGTGATCGGCCCTAGGGCTGCCAGAAATCCTTTTGTATTTGCTTTGAACTGATTACGTGCTAAGACAATTGCCACTCCAACGCATTCACCCTAGTTGCAACATTACCAACACTATCGCTCCGCCCAATCATGCCTCTGTACTCAGCTTGAAGGAAATCTCGTCGCTCTAATACGGATCCCGTCCATATTTCTCATGCTCTTCACCTTGACTCCTACTCATCCTGCCCGCACTAGTCTTAAGCAGTCCCTTACTCGCATCAACCACAGGACTAGCCCACCGCGACTCGCCAGTCTCCTTATCCGTGATCTTGTAAGTAGTAGAATTGATTCCGCTGGGATGAGAGTTGACATAGATACTCTCCCAATGCTTCGCAGGAACATGGTATGTCTCATGCCAGATGCTCAAATGACCGTGTTCCTTGATAGTCTTGTTCCACCAATTCCAGCCCTCGCGATGGAAGTTCGAGTGTGCGAAAGCGTGCAGCCTTTCGATTGAGCGGAAATAGCAGACTTCCAATAACTCGCTTTTGGTCGTGCGGTCACTGCTGTTGAGCCAGGAAGTCATGCCTAGGAAGCCGAATTCTTCGGCATGAGTCTCGAGGTCTTCAGTCATGGATTGGAAGTAGCCTCCCAACTCCTTAAAACCTGGAGCGAGGATGCCGAGAGGGTGGTTGCAGCGCGTTCCGATCAGGAAGACCACGATATCCGAGTTTGCTGGTTTGTTGCCATAGTTTCCAAGCTCGTCTGGGATCTGAGCCGAGAACTTCTTCTGGATGTTGTCTCTCGTGTAAGGATTTGACTTCCAGCCCAAGATGATGAGGTATGCGTCTGCTAAGCTGTAGAGAAGATATAACGAAGCTGGGATGAACGACCATAGACCAAACACAACAAAAGCCAGGCCCTGGAATGTGGCCCCGAGAGCCAACCAGGTCTTGATCTCGAATTGGTCGCGGAGCATGGAAGACGCGCCTGCTGGACCGAAGAAGCTGGCTCGAGGTCGTTTGGACTGTGTAGGCAGCAGGCCGATGAAGTCTTGACCTGGTCGTGACATTGTGATGGATATCTGTAGTATCTTTGAAGTTTGGCTTGGTCTTGAAAAAGGATGATGAAGGATGCGAACGTGTTTGAGTCTTGCTTTCGATGCTTGTGCAGTTCAGTGTTCTTGTCGCAGTGATGGAAGTAAAACATGTCCTGTCAGACCTATACCATTCAGAGTCTTTGTACTTACTGTTGGTACACGAGGAACACGGAGCTAGTGGCGTCGACACGATTCCACACGCGGACTCCTTATGCTCCGATCGGCCACCTGAGGTTAGTAGCAGAACGGAGGTATGAGGGAGGAGCTGACAGAAGTCGATAGTCCACTCGGCCGTAGTAGCAGATTCAAACGTCACAACCGGGGAGATGTCGTCCTAGCGAACAGCAAAGCCTCTGATTGACGGACGAGACGCGGGAGCTAGCGGCTGGCTGCCCCACAGCAATGTCCAAGCGTCTGCCTTCCCCACAGGGAAAACCTACAAAGCCTCTGATTGACGAACGAGACGCGGGAGCTAGCGGCTGGCTGCCCCATAGCAACCTGCGGTCCTGCTTCAAACCGACCCCACGTTTGAGATCCGATCCGATTTCTCCAGATCTCTGTCTCTGTTTCAGAGCCTCACCACACAAACACAAACACACATCACTCACCATGGCGGCGGCGGCGGCGGCGCAAAAAGAGCAAGTCCATCCTCAACCCCACAAAATGCTCTTCTCTCGAGCTCACAGCTAATCCCCAGCCCCAAAGCCTCCCCGCCATCCGCGCCTGTCTCTTCGACATGGACGGCCTCCTCATCGACTCCGAAGACAAATACACAATCTGCACGAACCGCGTCCTGAACGAATACGGCCGCCCGAATCTCCCCTGGTCAATAAAAGCCCAACTCCAAGGCCGCCCGGGCCCCGCCGCTGGCAAAATCCTGCATGACTGGGCCCAGCTCCCGATCTCCAGAGAAGAATACATGAACAAAGTCGCCGCGTGGCAGAGAGAACTCTTCCCGGAATGCAAGCCTTTGCCTGGTGTGGAAGAGTTGTTGGAAACTTTACACACTCGGACGACGAAAGATGTGGAAATCGCGCTTGCGACGAGCAGTCATGCGGGGAATTTCAAGCTCAAGACGGAGCATCAGAAGGGACTTTTCGAGGTTTTTCGGCAGGAGCAGAGGGTTTTGGGGGATGATGAGAGGATTGCGCCGGGACGGGGGAAGCCGGCGCCGGATATTTGGTTGCTTGCGCTTTCGACTATTAATGAGAGGTTGAAGCGAGAAGGGAAGGAGGAGATTCGGCCGGAGGAGTGTTTGGTGTTTGAGGATTCGGTGCCGGGTGTGGAGTCGGGACGGAGAGCTGGGATGCAGGTTGTGTGGTGTCCGCATCCGGAGCTGTTGAAGGAGTATCGGGGACGTGAGGAGAGGGTGCTTGCTGGGCAGATGGGAGAGTATAAAGAGCAGGAACAGAATGGTGAAGAGATTGGTGTCGTGAGCCATGATGGTAAGACGAGACATCATGGTGCTCCTGGCGAGATTGGTGATGGATGGGGAAGATTGCTGCATAGCTTGGTCAACTTCCCCTATGCTGATTACAAGATCAATGTGAAGGGAAGCTCGTTGTAATGCCTAGACGGAAGCAAAAGAAAGAAACAGATTATACAGTATAGACTGTACATAGATGTGCATAACACCTCCATACTTCAGCCTCGATAGTGGACTGCTTAATCCGACACTTCCATCAGGTGGCAAGCCTTTTCCTGCGCGTTCTGGTCGCAAAAGGTGAGAGTGGAAATGTCAGACTATGAAGCCCTCGATTCGTCTTCTTCTGCTTCTCCATCTACTAGTGCTTTTCATGAAGTGACCTGGACAGAGTAGTATTCTGATCTTCACTGGCCAAAGCTCACTTCAATGCACTCCACCTGTGTGATACAAGTGCAGAACAATAGGCGAGTCTAATCATGCACTGAGAACAGCTCTGCGCGAAAATGCTCCAAGTATTGTTAGGAGGATAGTGAGGACAGCCACATATTTGACAATGAAGAATGGAACTTGAAACACGCCAGTGGTGTACAGCGTTTGGTACGCGTGATTGCAGATCTAAAAATTACAGAACTTGTTCTCTTCGTGCTGCGTCGCGTCACTGCCTTGCCTTACATCTCCAAAGCAGCAGATCGCGTAGAGTACCTCCTCGCGTCCAACTCCGACTCATCAAAGAATTTCGCAAGAGTCTTGACGTCGATCGTGATGTTCATGGACATGATCCTCTTAGCGATAGCCGGGCTCAAGCTTCGCCGTCGAAGCACTTTTGCAGAAGTCTGGGGCGGCTGTGTCTTGTCATCGTCGTCTGCCACGATGTGGATTGCTGGTGCTTCCTCACAACTCGCGTCGACATAAATACGCGCCAGGTGGCGACGCATGGCGATGGTACCAGTCTCAGGTGCCTGCAGCTTGAAAGGCTGCTTTGTAAGGTTGTTGGTAACCGATTTCTTGTTCTGGTTCTTCGGTGGGCTGCCGGGTTCAGGGATGTGGCAGGTTATGGTGGCTGCCACACTCTTGATCTTTGAAATAAATCGCATCTCGACGGCTTTCGTGATTTTCCCATAGTAGATTTGTTTGTCGTGTGGAATAATGCTGCTTTCTTGGTAGGAAGTGTCTGTCTTGTTGCAAGTGTAGAAAGGCGGACGCGACAGACTTTATGGGCGCGAGCAGATTTTATGATTCGTTGTCATCTGTGTGGCTGGACACAGCGCTCGAGCCATTTGAGGCAGGCTTGGGCTCCGATACCGATGCGCGTCTGCGCAAGATTGCGACACCTTCGACATGGCTGGTCTGTGGAAAGAAATCAAAGCCTCTCAGACTTTCGATCTCGTACAGCCCTTGCGCTCCATCATTGGTGCCTAGCAACCCGCCTACCAGCCATCCGACGTCTCTTGCCTGGGTATGCACGTTACAAGAGACGTAGCAAATTCGCGCAGGCGCGTAGTCCAGCAGCTGGCGAATGAAGCCTTCGTCGCAGCCTTTTCGTGGAGGGTCGATGACGACGGCTGTCTCAGATGGCGGAAATTTCTTGCTGTCAACAGACCCAAATAGGTGGTTGGCATCTGCAGCAATAAAGTGTGTTGAGTCTGCTGGCAGGTTGTTGAGCTTGGCGTTCTTGCTGGCATAGTCGATTGACTGCCCTGAAATGTCAATACCGATGCTGTTGCTGAACATGCCCGAGAGCGTGACCGTAAAAAATCCAGAGCCGCAATACGCATCAATCATGTTCTTAATTTGCGGTCCCTTTTGCTTTTCGTCCTCAGACACGCCGCTTTGAACTGTCTTGTCGAGAATATTTTCGCGAATGTACTGCGTGACCAGTGGCAGTATCGAGTTATTGTTTTGGAAGAAGGAGCCTGCAGGGTTGTCGAAGCGAAAGTCCTCGATGTATTCTGTCGAGGTTGCTTTGTGATCTGTGATGCAAATCTTGCGGTGTACATGTTGCCCTCTATCCTCCAACACCTCGTCCCTCGATTCGGTCTCCTTGCCGAATTCCACAAGGCCTGCCCCTTTTGGAATCCTCTCCGTGCTTTCTCGTAGTAAGAGGGTCGCCCCTTTCTGGTATTGGTCGATGTCTGCTGCGACCCTCTTTCGCTCTCGTTTCATCCCTATTCTCACAGCCTCAGTGCCGATGGGACAGTCTTCAATGTCCATCGTCTTCCTAGTCCCTTTCAGCATGAAGCCAATAGGCGGTACACCTGGCCATGTGACCTTTTGTCCATGTCTCTTGTCCCTTCTTCCGCCTGGAGGGCCATCGAAGTGCGGTGTGAGCTTCGTGCGGTAGCCATACTGCAATGGCGAGCCAATGGTGTCGCCAATGGTGGGGATTGCAGAAGCAGGCAGGTTAGAGAAGTTGCGGTATGCTTTCTCTACTACTGATCTCTTGTGCGCCAATTGGAATTCGTAGGGCAAATGTTGGAACTGGCATCCTGAGCATTGAGTGAAATATGGACACTTGGGCTCCTCGGTACGATGCTGCGAGGGTGAGACGACTTTCACAAAGTCTGCAAGAGCGTACGACTCTTCTCCAAAATGCTTGTAAACTCTGGCTGTTATGGTATCGCCAGGCGCAGCAAAAGGTATAACATATACTTGGCCGTCTTTTTCGCCTAGGCCATCACCGGTAGAGGACAATTCTGAGATGGTCACATCGATCTCTGCACGCTGCTCAGGCACGACAGTCGCTGAGTTGTCCGCAAGCTTCACGTCTTTCAGCAGGTTTCTGATATCTGCAAGGAGCACTTCTTCGTTTGAGCCTTCACTCGCAGTTGTCTGCTTCTGCTTCTTATTCTTTTTGAAATGGCGCTTGGCCTCGTTGAAGGGCCGTTTCTGCGCCATGACTGTCGCTGTCGCTGAGATTGGGGCGTGAAGGAATGTCGGTCGCAGTGTCGCACAGCGACGAAGTGTGAACATGGAGGATTGAGAAGTTCATGCACGAGGGCATCCCTACTCGCGACTTTCACGCGCCCAAATGATGCTGAGTTCTAGTCGCCTGTGATTGGTGCGCGGAGCTGACTGCGAAAAGCAAATTTCGTCACCAAAGTCACGTGCGGTGCGATGATGCGCGACAAGGACAAGGATGCTCATTGCACATCAATGCAGACCCAGACTTGCTTCTTGCGAACAACAACATACACTACTCATATTCCAGATTCAGCTATGGCGAGAGGCGACCATTCCCTTTCTCAGCTCCAGGAGCCGGGTGAGGTGGCGGGGCGGGGCGACGGGCATGAAGCGTGGTACCTCAATCACCGATCCAGACATTATTAGGGACCTTCAGAAATGGTCAACCTGGCCACCGGCTTCTAAATAAGCGCTAGCTCGTGACCGTTATGTGAAGGATCAATATAGCGCTTTTTACGGACCTTTAGAAGAGGCTAATTTACATATAATCGAAAGCGGTTTAGTATAGTAAGGAGCCCCTATTCTAGACCTTCTAGGGGTATAGACCTTAGCTATAGACCTATAGATAGTATAGTATACTAAACTATAGAAACTGGAGCGATTATAGTCACTGCAGCTACTACAACGGTCGTTGCTATTACGAGTAAATACCTCGAGGAAGATAGTAGTAATAAGGACTAGTAGGCGTAAAGGGAGGGTAAATCTATACGTAAATAGTAGCACCGCTAGTTAAGGCGTAACCGACTATTTGAACCGGCGAGAATATACAATAAATAGCGCTTCGACCTTCTCAGTTATCCGGAGGCTAATATTAAGGGTAACTTCCGCTTTATAAGGCCTAAATTAATGGAGTTAGTAGACCTATTAGATATTAGTTTAATCGTATTGCCAGTTGGCCTCAAATTGCTACCTATAACGGTACTTTATATTGTCTATAAGCGGCTGTCTAGTCTAGGCTTCTAAAAGGATATAGATAAGAAGTTTAGCTATTTAGCTACTATATTAAGTTATATATTTAATGTAGTAGTATATAGCCTAGCGCTAAGGTAGAAGTCGTTCTTATTCTTTAACAAGAGGCGGCTTAGTAAGCAATATCTCCGGAGCCTGGCGGAGTCGCTATATCTATTAGTTAGAGTGTCTAGTATCTTCGGATATATAGATAGTACTGTAAGGAAGATTGCGAGACCTAGTCGCAACTAGAGGGTGTTCTATAATAGCTATAAGCACTTCCATAGCCTTAAATTCTAAGGTATACAGCTGCCGGATGGAATACTGCTTATTAATAGCCCTTATCCTAGCTCTTACGGCGATAGTCGACTAGTACGCGAGTCTAATATTAACTAGGTATAGCATGAGTTGTTTAATAACGACCCTATCGAAGACAAGCTCTTTCTTTTTAGTAACTCGGCATATAGATAGGTTAATAGCATTATTAGATCGTAGAAGTCGAAGAGAGGCGGCTATCGTAACCCTATATAGGCGCAGGTTGCGAAGGAATAGTCGGCTCTACGATAGTCGGTCGAATAGGGGTTTAGTAAGGTAACTAACAACTAGCTATTCTTCGAGTATAAGAAGGGGCTACGGACTAGTTTAATACCGATAGGGTCCTGCTATTTAGTAGCAGTGTTACTCACCAATTGCCTGTCTTACTATCGTAGAAACAAGGTCGCTACGTACTACGGTTTAAGGTGTCCGGACATTAGAGATTACTTAGGTACTAAGCTGCTACCTATACCGCTAGTAGGTGTAGAAATGCCGGATCTAATACGTACAAACCCTTCTAGTAATAGATTAGAGGTTAGAAGTAATATAGAAGATATAGGGGAAGTGGTTATTAATAATAGTAATAAAGAATAGTAAAGAATAGCGATAGATTAGTAAGGAGATAATATCTAACTCTTCCCTATCCTCTTATTAATACTCGGATTAGATACGGAAGAGCTTCGGATAGCTGTTTTACTATAGCGAGAGCTATATACCTTGCTTCTTAGTATCTTAGCAAGATGCAAAGGCAGAGAATAGTAAGGGATATAGAAATTTCTAGAAGTCTTCGAAATTCACTATTAGTAACTAATAGAACTGTAGCATTATAACTAATAGTATCGAAGGTAGTAACAACTATGCTAGAGAATTCGCCTCTTACTAAGTTTCTCACTAATTCCGGAACTAACGAGCACTCGGAACACTATATACGATATACCCGATTTAGTCCTCTTCGCTTAAGTCTAACACCTCGATTACGCGAATATCTACGCACTAGCGGCTATTAATTTCCAATGTCTAACGCTTCTAACACCTACGAGACAGTTCTATCGCTATCGTAGCCGTCGTTACCGTCTCCTATCGGCGTAAGAACGTTAGTAACGAGGTTATCGTCTAAATCCAAGCTAAAGTCGGTAACTTGCGACAACTGCGAAGGAACGAGAGGTACGTGTCTAATACGGCCGATAAGAAGCGCTCTTAGCTCGTTAAATTAACGTACCGTAGACGCGTATATCAGCTTTATACGCTTCTTAGAGCGGTTGTCGATATCGTCCATTCGGCGGATTAAATAGTAGTTATTCGATAGCTTAGAATACGCAGTTCTTAGCTGGTTTACTAATGTAGTAATCGCCTCTCGAAATGGCTCTAACACTCGACTTAACGACCTCTCCTTATTTAGCTGTTTCTTACTATTAATATATAGCCGACGGCGCGTCGAATGTAGTGTCGTAGTAGGAGGTGTATTAGTAGCATCTAAAAGAGCCGGATTTAGTAATAGAGTCGAAGGTAATAGAGTCGAAGGTGATAGAGCTATAACAACTAGACGCGGTAACGATAGACTTGCAATAGCTACCGGATCCTAAAGCCGCTACGATATAATACGGAGCATATTGTCTTAGACCTGCTAAGCCGGAGTCTCGTAAGTACGTAACTCCTTAGTAGTAAGTAGCTTATCGCGGAGCTTCTTATTGTTATATAATATAGTGTCCTTAAAGCGATTAAGTATCTGTTTAAACTCGGAGTCGTTAACAACTATACTAGAGGTAGTAAGAAGGACTCTATACTCGAGGACACGCTTTGCGATCCACCTGCGAATAAGGCCGTCTATACCTCGGACAGTACGTTATCTAGTAGGTCGATTGTCGTTGCACTACTTCTAATAGCGCTTTATTATATCTCTTATTCGTCCTTCGATATAATAGCTAGAGTTAGCCTCGAAGTGCTTAATAATTAGTAAGGCGAAGTCGTCGGAAATCTTGCTATCGCTATTAACTCGATTGTAGTCGTATTCTATACTTTCTTCTACGCCTTTAGTAGAAGACTAAGAGTCGCTTAAGTCTAGTACAGATTGTTAGACTACAACCTGTTATTGTCGCTCCGATTGCCGCTAAAGCTAAGCCGTTAAGGAGGTATCTATACCTCTAATAACGACTGGCCTTAGTAGAGTTAAATTTAGTATTTAATTAGTAGCAACACTGCTGTTATCGCTGTCGCTCTAGTTTGAATTAGTTAACAAGCTCGCTACAGATATAGAGCGACTATATAGCCGCTTAATAACCGACTAAATTGTAGGCAATAGACTTCCGACTAGGTATAGCTATATTAAAGATATATCTATATAAAGAGGGTTACCTTAGAGAGCTACTCGGATAGGTATAGGCGGTGCCTACAGTAGTAGGTAGACTAGTATAGCGAATACTAGAGTTGAAGAGCCGGAGCCTAGGTCGATAATACGAGAGGGATAAGAAGGGGTATCTATAGTAGCTATAATCGAGAACAATAGTAGTTATACTAATAAACTAAGACTTCTACTGCTTCCGCAGACGCCTCTTATCCTATAGACGATATACTGCAATCAATCCTCGAATTTGGATTCTATTTAATAGCCCCCTATTGCTAATTATACTAACGGCTATATACCTAGACCTTTATATATATAAGCTAGTGCCCTCTCGCACTATCTCGAAGACCTAATAGCTACTTTCCACCTCACCGTCGCCGGTTACAGTGTATAGCTTATTCGGTAGTGCTAAGTCTACTAAGAAGCTAGTTTGATAAGCTAAGCCGGATAGGGTTTAAGCCCCCTTCTACCTCCTTCTACTTCCGGTTAAGGCAGGATTACTACCTATGCGAGTTGTGAATATAGCGTATTATATGCTTTTAAACGACTCCGTTCAAAAGCACGGTCCAGGCCTACGAGTTGATAACTCGCAGGGGTAGAAAACCAGCCTTCGAAGGATGCGGCAGTAACCCTCGTATCCACCTTGTTCGCCGACTTCGAGAGACCCCTGCAATTTGGTGGCTTCTGAAGGTCCCTATTGAGACTCGTTGCCCAGAATGCGACTCGGTTCTTCGCCATACCATAATCCTTCGTGGATGCGACTGTCTCGGACGGTACCAAAGATTCGGCAGGGCGCGGTCCAACGGAGAAAGAAACAAAACAAGCCGACTCCTTCTCGAAACGCACGGAACGTTGTCAAGCCATTTCGAGCGCGACCATGACTATGTATCTCGATTTATACGTACTGCGCGGCTCAGCACATCCGGACACTGAGGCTTGTATCTTGCAAATCCCGTCCGCCTCAAGCGCTCCGCGGATCGCCAAGGTGCATCACATTCACGGCGCGGCATGCGTTTCGGTTGTCGGTCGGCGAGACCATCGAGCTGGGACTGCATTTGGAGCGCCACGCGAGCCCAGATTAGTTCTATGCCTTCCAACGTCGCCGCCCACAACGCCGGCTATAGGGGTCAAATTCACCACGTCACGCTCCCGCTGAGCGTCGCCGAGCGATGGAGAATATCGCGGCAGCATCTTCTATTCTCCGACGAGGCTTGCTTGCTTGCTTGCTTGTATGCATGTCATGTCTCTCTGCAGTGTTCCTGCTTTTGCTCGCATTTGTTCCTGCACATGCAAAGCCATGTGGAAATCTAGAATTGTGCTTCCGTGCGCCCCTGAACCACGAATGCACATTGCACAACGTGACCCGTCGAAAGGCAAACTCAAAGTCTCTTCAACACTTCCGTATTCGATCTAACTTATACTTGCATCGGTATAGTCAGGACTCAGACGCCTTATTAGCTAGCCACTACTCGTGCTCACCTCCCGGTTCAGTCTTTCTCTGAGCACCGCAAACAGCACCATGACTGAGTCGGCAGATATCAGAAACATGTCGGGAGCCGGCTGCCACGCAGAATGTGACACTCAACCAAGCGCAAGTGCATCCCAGTGGCTTCGTCAATAGTCTACCGCTCGGCACATACGACCGAGCTGGAATGGACTCCACGAGACTATCGTCAAGGTTATGGTCCGTTGCAATTATGCTCGAGTTCGAGCGACCATGGCCCGGGCTGGATGGCGCAGGCTCGACGAAGTCGACTTAGCTGCAACGACCATGATCAAAGATAAAAAGCCCCGGCCATCTCGTAAGTCATCTCCGAATCATCAGCATTCACTCGGCTGCGTCTTCCATTTCCTTCTCGCTCAACATCATGGCTTTCTCGAAATACATTCTTGCAGGCACAGCTTTAGCTGTTGCTGTCCATGCCTCGCCAGCACCACAGGCTCCAAACTTCCCACAGATCACTGCTGCTCCGTCAGTAGCTGATGGCCCAGAAGACAATGGCATCGGTTCCCAAACAGCTTCATTGGTCACCACTTTCCCTCCTGCTCCCGCCAGCTCAGCACCTGCCTTAGCTACTTCTGCAGCATTGAAGAAGCGTACCGTCAAGCCCATTCCATCAGGCTGCTATTGTGTTTTCTGGGACCCATTCTGCTTCGCCACGCAACCAATCTGCCCACCGTCGAAGTCTTCTACTACATCAACGAAGCCTGCTGCCACTACCTCCGTGGCTGCAAGCACCCTGCCAGCCTGCCCGACATCCGCCTACACTCCTTACTACCCTGCCCTGGCCACCGGATATACCACCGACCCAGCTCTTGCTGCTACTAAGACTGCTACCGCTACCGGCGCTTGCCCAACCACTCCAGAGGCAGGTACCTACTGCGGCTTCATCAACCCACTCGATCCATGTGCGCCTCAGCCCGATGGATACGGTCCAGTCCCGTCTCCAGATACCGCATCGGCCTTCCAGTCCGACCCGAGACTTCACTCTATGGCCCTGACCGCCCCTACCCTTGTCCCAGCTGCAGATGGAAAGCAATACACTCAGGTGTTCAAGGACTTGAACGGAGCCACCAGCGCTCAATCTTACCTGGGACTGCGCACCCTCAAGACGTATGATGTCAAGACCTGTGCTGCTTTCTGTGACTGCACCGACCTTTGCACCGCCTTCAACGTGTAAGCCCAATCTTCAAGAACGCGCAGAGGACATCAGACTAATCATCAACGCAGATTCGCTGAGCGTGACCCATCTCTCAACCCAACCAACAACGACTCCACCTACGACCCAGGCTACCCAACCGTCTGGGGACAGAACTGCCCCAACCCACCATCCATGACTAGCTTCAAGTGCACTCTCTGGGGATCCAACATCGACGCCTCCACCGCCACCAACACCGGCCAGAAACACGAGGACTTCCAAATCGTCATCACCGCCTCCGACGGCTACGACAAAACCAACGTCGTCACTCCCCCAAACCCCGTTCCCAACCCACCCAAATCACCCAAGAACTGCGGCGGCAAGGGCATCGACGCACCCAAATACTGCATCGGACAAAACTTCTTCCCCGGACCTTTCAACCCTAACGTCTGCTACCTCTACGCCCTATCTCTAAACTCCGCCAACCAAAAGGCTGGAATCAACCAGTCTTGCAAGTTCTTTAACGCTTATTACCTTTTCAAGAATAACAAGCCTCATGGGACGTATTGTAATTTGTATAATGGTGAGATTGATCTTGGATTTGCGACGTATAAGGGTGGGAGGTCCGGGGGTGATCAGTATGATTGTAAGCAGAGTTGGGGGTATAGTATGTAAAGGAAATGAAATGAAATCGACAGAGAAGCAGCATGGATGTGGAGTTGGAGGGTTGGGGGGCGTTTTTTATATAGTTTTGGAGAAAGCTTGACCTACAACAACGCTTTTGCGGTTCTCAATTATCAATTTTCTGGTTTCGATTCAACATGGTATGGTACAGTACACTTCAACTCGAGAATACATTACGGTGCTCGATAGCTGCAGCTTTGCACACATGTACTCGTTCGGATAGAAGATGACTTGACCAAGTACTCGAGTCTCCACTGTTCCGTTAATGATATCAGACCGAGGAGACTCTACCTAGCTAGCATTCAAACATTGAAAAGCTGGCAAAAGACGCAGGAATCACGCGAAAAGGCGGTGAGTACAGACATGTGCGAAGTGTGGTTTTCTTTCAGACAAGCCATCAGCCAATCTGTCATGTCATGTCACTCCAAGTGAAGCTGTCATCTCCGGATCCTAACACTAACACACCCCTCAAGAATTGAATTGGATACCTGGAACTCCCTCGTTCGAATTCGCCCTCACCAAGAATAAATTCCCATTTCCATCTCTTTGTCTCCAAATCGCCCAACTTCCAAATCAAGTCTCACTCCCTTCTTTGTCCGCACATTCGAAGTCTTACAATCATTGTCCTCGCCACGTTCCAGACTAACACTACGCGCTTTCTTTGTTTGAGACATGCAGGATGCAAATTTCCCGGGCAGAGAAAAGTATACCTTGTCGTCGAGATCTGATTTTGTGATTTCCAAAGTAACGGCGATCAATTGCTTTTGAACGGATGGCTCGAACTAAGACTCGCGCGCTGGCCGTGCATGGACCATTGACCAGGAAGCGAAAGCAGTTACTAGATGATGATGACGATGATGATGGATTCGGTAGCGGGATAGATCTCACGACTAAGCGCATGCGAGTGCCGCACCAAAACGAGTTGATCTCGGAAGTTACACACTGCGTTCCAATGCTTTGAAGCGCTCACGGCCAACCGATGAATCCCATTCAACAAGGAAAGCCCGATATGTTGATAAGCCAAAACGACGAAAAGTCAGTCCCTTCGCAGGTTTCGCACCTTGGACGAATGACTACTTAACACCATTCGAGGAGTCTTCTTCGCCACATCCGAATCGTCCCCTTACGCCACTTAATATCGACTACATTAGCGACGCAGGCGACACAGATTATAGCGACGACGATGATAGCGTAGAAGGTTCTTCTTGGGAGGATTGGCACATTTATGCTGATCACAAACGGCTGGGAGACCGAGCTAAGGGGCGCGTGAAGAGTGGGAAGTCCGGACGTGAGATATCCTATCGCCCTTGGGATCCCGTGTCATCTGGTCTTCCACCCGCGGATTACTATGACAATATGCCAGAAGCAGAGAAGGTTTTCTGGTATGGATTTTGTCGAAAGGCTCAAAAGGTGGGTTGCAGCGGTTTGACTTTTGAGCGATACTGGGATAAAAATGCTGGCGAATGGAGAAGGAGAATTGCCGTCATGCTTGACTTTGGCCGTGGTTCGGAAGAAGCGACCAGGACGAAATGGAGGCCAGAAGGAGAGTCGCTCGCCCGAAGTGAACGGCACGTTCCAGTTTCTCCAACGCATGGTGATCTTCCGGTGGAGATGATGTCGCCCGAAGAATACAAACTGCATCAGCTTCGAGTGCGTGGCCTTCTACGAGCGGTCGAGCAAGGTCCTTCGCCTGGATTTGAACGTAATGAAGGACACAGAAGGCGGGAAGAGAAGTTCAAGATTGTTCCAGTGCCGACGAGATTCGAGCCGGCTGACGCGCTTCCGGAGCACATGGTGAACAGAAGGGTGGCAGATGGCCTATTGGACGCGATTGAAAGTGTTGAGGCTAAATCTTCACCTCTCGGGCCAGTAGAGGCAGCGGTGAAGGAGGCGGAAGATGAGTGGAAGCGGTGGAACCAGCGGCAGCAGAGGCAGTATTGGGTGTGATCAAGTCACTCGCGAAGCGGAGGATCGTGGCTGTATTGCAATTTTCGAGCGGTCTCCTCGAACCTTTGCTGTCTGGACAATACTGATGCGTTGCAAGAATCCATGCACAGAAGTAGTGTAGCTACGCATGAGAGGAGGGGCTTCGCAGGCGAGCAGTTGGGCAGCCCAAATCCCAATTTATCGTTCGGGAAGTCCAAATCCATAGACTGGCGTTCCATGTCGATTGAGCACGAACACCACGTCGGTCACGCAGACCGTCTTTCGCCCAGATAGCTCAACGACGGCACAAATGTCGGCGAGTAGCTGCAGAATCCGAATTAATTTGATTGTCCAATCGCCGTAGAAGCAAACAAGACTCACGACCGTCAACCTCTTTCTCAGGACTGATCTCGTTTCTTCGTAGATGGTACCCGCAATACGCTTCACACCGCCTCGACGAGCTAGACGTCGAATGTCACCTCTTGTAACGCCTTGGATAGTGTCTCTGAGGATTTTGCTACATCGGACATGATCAACTTTGGTCCGACATCTCCATAGCAGGCGAGGGCTTGCAATGCTTACCGATGTCGCTTCAGCGTCTTCAAACCCTGGCCCAAGCCTCTCGCTCCATGCCCAACCGTCTTTCCAAGTCCAGGTCGAGCCAGCGTCTTACCTCCAGTCGTAGGAGTCCTTTGGCTTGCGGATCCGAATCCAGCGGGTCTCCCAGGCCCTCTAAGAGCACCAATTGGAGTCGGAGTTGCGGCTGTACTTGCCGGCGGTCTTCCAGGTCCTCTGATACCGCTACTCGAAGGCGTTGAAGGTGCAGGCCTTGCTGCGCGATGTGGCACGTCTGAGCGCTTGAGCGATGCGCCATTGGATTCTCGATAGCGTGCCATGACGCCTGCATGTATCTATGCTTTTGAAAGAATACCTGCCGGCTGCCGAACAATGTGTATGTATGTATTGTTATGTGACGGGAAGAGGTGTATCAGATGCGGGTGAGCGCTCCGAGCGGGGATCGCGCCGCGCCTGCTGCCTAAGGCGCGGTGCGCGTGGAGCAAGACGCGTGGGGATTGTGGTCAACAACAATTTCATCGTGGACTGTGGACTGTGGACTGTGGACATTTGCCTTGGCATTTCAGCTCCTCCTCCCAGTCAGATTCTCCTTTCTCTCTCCCACAACACCGCCCTCCCCTCCCCTCCCCTTCCCTCCTCCTCAATCTCACCAGCGGCCGCAACGCCTGAGGCCATCAAGCAGTGGCATTGATACCATATCGCATCCAATCCGCCAATGTGCTCCTGCAGCCAGCACAACGAAGATGGCTCCAGACACACAAAATCACACATTGCTAACACCCCCGCTACTTCGACTATGGGCCAGCTTACAATGAACACAGACCAGAATAGTGCTCCATATTTAGCTCCTCCTTCTTTGTCTCCAGACAATGCTCAAAGGACACATTGAAGCCCAGGACCAAGACCTCTTTCACACTATCGAGCTGGCTTGATCTCCCTTGTCCATTGATACAGGACCTCAATTCAAGTCGATGGTATATCATGTCCCTCGTCCTCTGCGAGCCATCTCAGTCCAAGTTCTGGCTCCTACAATTTCCTGTCTCCTTTGTTCGCTTTTGCTTTTTCGCGAGTGCTAATGGCAGGTCCATTTAGGTTGTACACCATTGAACGCCCCGGAGGCGTCCGACTCCCATCACCACCTGAAAACATCCTTGAGCACCGCTTCGAAAAGAAAGCCTGGTATGGCCATAGGATCACAAGAGAGAAAAAGGACAGGAAGGGCAGGAGGCTCCGAATCCTGCCTAAGAGCATCGAAGAGACGCTCTTGAACGAGTTTCCTGACCCATGCTTGCAATGTAAGTTTGATCCCCTCGACTGTTGACAACAAGATATGCTGACAGGCTCCAGGCGAGAAAGTTGATGACGATGACTGCGGAATCAAGTGTGTCGAGGAGTTCCGTCGTCGACATTTCTTCAAATACAAACCCCAAATCCAGCCCTCCGGCAGCTGTGGCTATGGTGCCTTCAATACACGAAGTCCCATACCGGCAGACACATATCTCAGTGAGTATTTAGGAAACCTGATCCCATCAGATGACGCACCCAGATCCTTATACCTCCTCGACATCAAAGGCCTGTTCTCGATCGACGCTGCAAAAGCAGGTAATTGGACACGATTCATAAACTCATCCTGTGAACCGAATGTCGCGGCCGAAGCCGCAATGCTTGGTAAGAGACATGTGCTTGTGTTCAAGACCTTGAGACGAATCCTTCCTGGTGAAGAATTGACGTTTTACTATGGTCGTAAATATTTCCAACAAGCTGGTTTTAAATGTTCGTGTCCTTGGAGGGATGAACCCCATACTCCACGATCGAACAAGCAGGCGGAGGAGCACGACGACGCCAAGGGGAAGGGCAATAAGACTAATACAAGTGAGTCTCCCGATGTAAGTACCGGGGAAGACACCGAGGAGACCGTGACTCCTGCAGCTCCTCGGAAGCCATCATCAGCAGAGGGCAAGAAGCGCTCTACAGCGAAGAAGACCAAGACGTCGACAGGATCCCCATCAGCAGGGAAAAAGGTAAGCTCTGGCAGAGTTACAAAAAGATCGCGTTGACCGCGGCTATGATAGAACATAGTAAACTTGCTTCACAGATCTCAACCAATCCACAAACGCTACTAGAAGCAGGACGTATAGAACAGCCAAAGCTTTGGTAGTGAGGTGAGGTCTTACATGGCACAGACGAACTTATAAATTTAATCTCAGATCTCAATGAATTCACACAATGCTACACCAAGAACGCAGAGAACTAGCAAGATACCTTATTGGAAGCCACTAGGTGAATTGAGGGCAGGTGAGATAAGAAGTGGCAAGGTTGAACTTGCAAGCGAGCAACCGAGTTGAGGTCTCTATAACAAAGCAGATGCAGGACTCTTGCTAGAGCCTGTTCCCCCTCGAGATGAAGAGTCGTGCTGCTGATTGTGTTTCTAGATATGCATGACACCAACCATCAGCCCGGCTATTCTTTCGCTATCTTCGGCTCCTCATGCACGACCTCGTGTGTCTCAGTCGCCCGAGATATGCCATGTTCTGCATCAACAACACTGTTTCCACGACTAGCCGCACTCACGAGATCGGGATTCTCTTCCTTCAAACGCTTAAAGTTCTTCTCGGCGTCCCACACCCACGGGCTATCAGCCGCGAACACGAGGTCCATTTCTTCCTGCCCGAGAGTCAGCAAAAGATGTGCCTACATCATACAGAATGGTTATGATACTCACCAGAGTTCTTTGGTTGGTTTCTGGGTAGAAAGCCCATACCATGGGAATCGTGATGATATTGCAAGCACCGAAAATGTACAACGTCTTTTCGCCAATCGAGTCGAACATGACAGGGCACAACAACGTTAGCCAGCCGTTGCCGATTGACCAGCCGACGACACCCCATGCGTTGCCTTTCGCTCTGACTTCGAGAGGAAAGATTTCGGCCTGGATCATCTAGTGATTAGCACAATGGATCCAACGCCTGCGGAGTTACTTACCGGATAGAGCCAAGGGACGGTCAACCAGGTTGCTCCGAAGACTGAGGTGAAAATGAAGACAAAGGAGGCAGCAGCGATACCATATGAGGTAGCTGCACTGTCGTTGCCGGCTGCTCGCGCATCTATACCACCACGAGACATTCCGCCAGCAAGAAACATGGCAATCCCCATTCCGACTGAACCCCAGTACAGCGTCCATCGTCGACCAATTCGATCGAGTGTGAAGACGCAGATGAGGGTACTGAACATGTAGAAGATGTTGTTCAGACCAGAAATCCATTGGGACTTTTCGCTGCTGAAGCCTGGCAAAAGAATCGTCAACATCACCCTTTCATCTCTCATCACTGCATGTAACTCGCTGCGAAACTTACCCGCAATCCGAAAAATCGTCGGCGCATAAATCGTAACACCAGCAATGCCAATCCACTCCTGCATAATCTGCAACCAAACCACAAGCTGCACTCTCCTCGCCGTATGCAACTTGCCTGCTCCAAGCCCGAACAACATACTAAAATAACTATTCCTCTTCGCCGTCTTCCGCTCATGAATCACAATATTCTTAATATCATGAAACTCATTATCAGCCTTGATCGCTCCCTCGGCATCCTCCCCTCTCAATCTCCCAAGAATATACCTCGCCTCCTTCTCCCTACCCACTTTCACCAACCACCTCGGACTCTCGGGAAACGGCCATACCGCCACCAACAACACCAGCAACGGAATAATCTGAAACGCAACCGGAAATCTCCATCGCATCGGACTCCTCCCACCATCGATAAAACTAAGTCCATACTCCAACCAATACGCAACCACGACCCCAAAGATATTCAAAGTAAATTCAATCGCGATAAACTGTCCCCGACTCGTATGTTCCGCCGTCTCCGTAGCCCAAACGGGCACAATCGCATTCAAAATCCCTGTGCCAATCCCATTCACGAAACGTGCACAAATCATCCAATTCGAATTTTGTGCGGAACATTGGAGACTTGCGCCGAGAATCGCCCACACACTTCCTAGCGCGATCGTTTTGATCCGTCCGACTTGATCCCCGACCCAGCCGCCGAGGAGACAGCCGCACAGCGTGCCGAGATAGTAGACCGAGACGATTCCGCCTTGCAGTAAGGAGTTGGTTACGACCGGGTCGTTGTTGGAGTCGACGTAGCCGAATTTCATGAGGTCGATGTAGTCGCGGGCGTTGTTGACGCCGCCCATCATTCCTAGAAGAAGAAAAGCAATTTCAGACGAGTGTTTCTCTCCCTCTTGGTTTTCTTTTTATATATTCACCTTGATCATATCCGAAAAAGAAAATCGAAAGCGCAGCGACGGAATTTATCGCAAAGAGTAATTTTTTCTTTTCGAGTTTTGCCGCGACGCGGAAACCTGACATTTGGTCCATGGTTTCGTTTCAATCAGACCGCGACTTTGAGGCGACGTTTTGGTGCTGTGAGTTGAGGTGTGCTGTTCGCGTAGAGACCTGTGTGCAGGCTTTGCATGAATGGGACGCAGAGGCGGTAGGAGAGAGAGAGGTAGTGCATTTGCAATAATGAGTTGGCGAGGGAGGAAGAATATTAACGCGATACCGGACCTAGCAGTATTTCTACTTGGTGAGCTGATCTTGTTGGTGTAACGTGAAGTCCCCATCATGCTATGGAGAATCCTCCAGGAGCAGAAAGAGTCTAGTTCGCAAAAGGGAAGCCGGTGGTCGATCTGTGGAGTACATGGACGGGCACGGGGAGATGGTGGAGATCGTTGTGATCGTGTCGAGGCTTTTGATGCCGGGTTTTGGCGGGGATTGAGGATCGAAAATCTCTGGAAGCTTGGTGCTGTGCCCTGCTTCTCATGGCGGGACTTGTCGATGCTACGCAGTGCTTTTCTCGGCTCTCGTATAATACTATAATCTGTCGAGTGGCATGTAATAACCCTATAGAGCAAATGAGTGATCGAAGATTCCAACCTCATTCATTTAGCGTCGCTGCCGTGCTTCCTCCGGACCCACCTAGGATGTTCTGTTCTGGCCTTGAGCCCCCTTTTACTTCTTCAGCGCAGCCTTCACAGCAGGAACTTCCTCATCCAAAGGCAACACATCCGGCTCCGGACCGACAGGTGTGATACCAAAAGGGTTGATTTGACCATGGCTCTTTGTGTAATGTGCCTTGATGTGCGTGAACTCGGTCGTTTCGCCGAAAGCTGGATTGTTCCAGTAACAATGCCTCATCCATTTGTGAATCGCAGGATATCCGGATCGAATGTCTCGAATGTTGGTCTTGAAATGTTGCACATAGACTGCGTCGAAACGAATAGCGGTGGTGAAGAGGCGGACATCTGCTTCTGTCACTCGGTCGCCGTAGTAGTAAGGTCCTGGAGAGGAGGAGAGGTGCGATTCGATCCGGTCTAAGGACTTGAAGAGTTGAGTTACGGCTTTGCTATAGGCTTCTTGAGTGCTGCGGCAAGCGAATTAGCCGGGAGATTGTGATCAGTGGGCAGTGGTGGTACTTACGTGGCAAAGCCACTCTTGTACACGCCATTGTTCACATCATTGTAAGTCCACTCGTTCGTGCTCTCGATCTCCTCCTTAAGGTCATCGGGCAGAAGGTCGAGCTTGGCGTATCTCTCCGGAAGCAGGTGGTCGAATTCATGGTACAACATTCGAATGATCTCTGAGGACTCATTGCTGACGATCTTCTTCTGCTTCTTGTCGTAGAGAGTGGGCACAGTGAAGCGACCTTGATAATTCTTATCATTGGAGAAGTAGATGTCTTGGAGATGCGTGAACTCGGGGTGGAGAGGGTCTGCTGTCGTGTTCTCGCCAGGTTCGTTCTCATCCTTTGTGGAGAATCGCCATCCTTTCTCACCCATGTGCCAGTGTACAGATGTGAAGGTGATGAAGCCCTCAAGTCCTTTGAGCTTGCGCACGATCAATGCACGATGTGCCCACGGGCATGCATAAGATACATCTTCAACAGTCATCCCTGAGCTTTAGCCATGCTTTGATGAGGACTCACATAGGTGATATCGATCCTTCTCAGCAGGAAACTCTGCCTTTGGATCTCTGGAGATGAAGTTCCGGAATTGTGACTGCTGTCTCTTGAATTCGCCGGACTTGTCTTTGGGATCGACCCAATTCAGAATGCCTTTCTTGTCTTCCTTAGAACGCAGCAATGTTAACACATACCCATCAGATGAACGATGGCCCAGCCCTTCTCGGGTGCACCTGTACTTACAGACGCCATGAATGATCTTGTGGATGATCTGTTGAGTAGATGACGGTTGAGTTGTGTGAGACGGCCTGCTGCTCCTTGAAGCATCAAAGATATGATAGACTTGAATTGGATGTTGACACGAACGCTGTCGTGGCTGTGGGGTGATTTTGATGCCCTTTGATGCAACTAGGATGGTACATGCAGTCGATGAAGCATGGCTGACGAATGGTGGTAAAATAATACGTCATTAGCGGAAGCGCCTGCCAAGGCTAAATTATGTGACATTTCGAGGAGAAATGTTGGCTAAATGGTCTGTCTGGGCCGTGGGCCACTGTGAGCTTCTGGCATGCTTTCACAAGATGGCTCAGGAACGAGCATTCGTAGTCTTGCGTGGGCATCGCGGCCAGCCTTCCGATTATTCTCTACGTCTCATTCATGCCTTCTTCGGCGGCAGCGGAATGTTGTCAATCAGCCTCACGGGCACCTTGTCATCGCCCAAACCTAGCTTCTCTTTTTCTTGGACATTATCCAGAGCGTGCATCTTGATGGCACCGCTCAAGATCGCACCTTTCTCGCTGTCCACAGTGTCCACCTCTTCCATCGTCTCCGGGTCCGCTAGCGAAATGTAGTCCACCTCAAATGGCGCTCTTTCCTCAATGGCCAGTCCATCCTGTGCCATCTGCATCCGGTTGACCACGTCCCAGGAGTATGCTAGGATCTCGTCTCTGTTTCTCCTTCCCATATCGTGAGCTGCTTCTGCTGCCCGTAGCGCTTGCGAAAGCACCACACCGACACGTCGCCGTCTCTCACCAAGGTACACATTCCTACTGCTCATGGCCAAACCGTCCGGCTCGCGCTCTGTGGGTATGATACGGACCTCTGTGTTGATGTGGAAGTCCTTGACCATGCGTTTGATGATGACAGTCTGCTGGACATCTTTCTGGCCAAAGTATACCCGGTCGGCTTGAAAGATGTTGAATAGCTTCATGCAGACGGTTGCTACGCCGCGAAAGAACACAGGTCTGGTCTTGCCCTCAAGCAGCTCGCCAACAGGCGTGATTGTCACGAACGAACCTACTCCTGGCAGCGTAGAGTCGGGCGGCAGTGTCGGGTACATGACCTTCGTGGTAGGTGCGAATATGGTATCGACTCGTCCCTGCCCGTTGGCTTCGAGCTCGCGGTCCAGGGCTTTGAGCTTTTCGAGATCTGCTTCCCATGTCTTCGGATAGCTCTCGAGGTCTTCGTTGACGCCGAATTGAGTGGGGTTCACGTATATCGATACGAACACCTTACTGTTCTCTGCTGCCGCAGCTCTGACTAGAGAGATGTGTCCTTCGTGCAGAGCTCCCATAGTGGGCACGAGACCAACACTCTGGCCGTTAAGGAGCAGATCGCGGCGGTGCTGGCGGAGCGGAGAAACATCGCGGAAGATGTGGAATGCTCGGGCGGTGCAGAGTGCGGTACGAGTAGCCTTTCGTAGGTGTGGTGCTGTGCGGAATATAGCTTTAGTGGACATTGTGGCAGCGGTGCATCTGATGCATCCGGTCTGCGAAGCTTCATGTAGCAATTAATGCAGTTGACAGGACTCTGATATCGGATCGCAATCACGATCTTCCTGTGTTTGCTGCACGCGAAGTCGCACCAGGAAGGCGTCGCTAGCCATGCTTGCAGTAGAACAGCGCGTCGATGTCTACGTTGTACAGTTGAGTATTGTCAATGCATGTTATTTACCTCCTGCTTCGCAAAAGCTCGCCGTAGAGCTTAAGGTTGTGCTCCCGCTCCCGCTCCCGCTCCCGCTCCCGCTCCCGCCCGCCGCTAGTCCTACAGGGTCTCGTCTCGGCCTCAAAACTTCGACTTTCTTTCTTACAGTACCACTCTGTCTAATATAGCTTACCAACGCAGCGGATTTCGACATGGCTGACGATGGACTGATGCTCAATTTTGAGCTGCCAACTGACGCTTTCACATTGCCGAAGACGAAATTGAAAGGTGGAAGTTGGAAGGACCGACTGACGGCTCGAAAATCGCACGAATATGGCCGAAAGAAGGCCCAGGAACGAGCATCGGCTGGCGACGCCAACTCCACGGCATCCGACCGACGAAGCAAGCCGCCAGAAAATGCGTCGTCTCAAATCGAAGGTCGGCCTGCGAAACGAGCGAGGATCGGGCACGATGTGCTTCCCAAGTCCACCAATGGCGAAGTAATCTCTTCGCTCTTTTCCTTCAACAAGTCCTCTTCTGCACCCAAACCAGTCGAGACGGTGGACGACACGCCTATAGAACCTACAAACGCGCCCCTCAAGAATGACGAGACTGCAAAATTCACATCTCTGGGTCTATCGGAGTCCTTGGCCAACCATTTATTGAGGAAGCTCGAAATCAAGGCACCTACCGCAATCCAACGGAAGGCAGTCAAACAGCTTTGCGAAAACGACACAGACGCCTTTTTACAAGCCCAGACTGGTTCCGGAAAGACACTCGCGTATCTGCTACCAATCGTCGAGCGTATTTCTACCATCTCGAAGAAAATGAAGGCTTCTGGCCAAGACTTCAGCCGCGAATCGGGACTGTTCGCGATTATCTTGGCGCCTACACGAGAACTGAGTAAACAAATCGCTTCCGTGCTAGAAGGGCTTTTGTCATGTTATCACTGGATAGTGGCAGGCACAGTTATCGGTGGCGAAAAGAAGAAGTCCGAGAAAGCGAGGCTTCGCAAGGGGCTGAACATTCTTGTAGCAACGCCAGGACGAATGGTCGATCATCTGGAACACACTGAGACGCTAGATCTGAGCAGCGTACGATGGCTGGTACTCGACGAAGGAGACCGACTCATGGAATTAGGGTTTGAGCAGGACATCCAAAAGATCATCAGTGTGCTCAATCTTCGTTCTCGGAAACGAGTTGAGTCGCCGCTTCCAGGGCTCCCAGATCGAAGAACCACGGTGCTGTGTTCGGCTACCATCAAGGCGAGTATAGATCAGTTGCGCAGCATATCACTCAAAGATCCAGTCACTCTTGCAGTGGATGCAAATGATACAGAAGAGCATGGTGAGGCTAGCGAACCGGAAGCGAGTACCTTCTCAGCGCCCGCGCAACTCAAGCAAGGCTATGTGATCGTGCCTCCAAAACAGCGGCTCGTCACGCTTGTGGCAGTGCTGAAGCAGACGTTTAAGCGGAAAGGGAGCGTGATGAAATGCATCGTCTTCATGAGCTGTGCGGATAGTGTCGATTTCCATTTCGAGCTTCTGACTCAAGGCGATGGCAATGCTGCTGCTCAGGAGGAATCACCACCATCGAAACGACCTCATAAGCCGTTGAAGCAGCAGTCCGACCCCAAAAAGATTATTCAAGGGAACACGATTTCCGAGACTCGAACACATGGCAAAGCAAAATCGATATCTGGCAGCGATAACGAGGTTGAGGCATACCGACTGTAAGTATCGATTCGCTTCCACCGTGCTTCGGAGGCTGTGCACTCCAATGCCAGCTCAGTCTTCCAGCCGACACTTTTGAGAACGGAGCTGACTTTACTTCCAGGCACGGGTCTTTGCAACAAGCCACCCGCACAGGCACTCTCAAAGCTTTCTCGGCCTCCACCGAGCCTGCTGTCCTCATATGCACAGACGTAGCAGCTCGTGGTCTCGACCTCCCAAACATCGACCTAGTAATCGAATACGACCCCCCATTCAGCAAAGACGACCATCTGCACCGTATCGGCCGTACAGCGCGAGCCGGAAAAGACGGTCGAGCGATGATATTCCTCCAACCGGGCCGCGAAGAAGGCTACATCACCATCCTCAAAGAAAGCAAACCCCGCAACCTCACCCGCCACGAATCCTCCGAACTCATGAAAAAAGGTTTCACTCCAACTACCGGCGTGGTCGGACCCAACGACTGGGAACAAAAAGCCACAGACTTCCAAATCGAAATCGAACGCTGGGCGTTAGAAAACCCGAAACATCTCGAACAAGCTCGTCGCGCCTATCAATCACATGTTCGAGCTTATGCCACGCACGTCTCAGCCGAACGACACATTTTCAACATGCAGGAACTGCATCTGGGACATCTTGCCAAGGCGTTCGCGTTGAGGGATAAGCCGGGCAGTATTCGTGTGCCAGGCTCACGGCCTGGAGTTGGAGCGGCGAAGAAGGCGAAGAGTGAGGCGAATCAGAATAAGAGGAAGGTGGTGCGAGATGATGATGTTGATGTTGCTAAAGTAGATGCGCAGGAAGCCAAGAGGAAAATGCAGGCTATGAGTAGGAAAATGGGTGGTGGGGTCAGTGAATTCAATTTAGGTTGATGAGTAGATATATATCAGAGACCGAAAGAATGTCTTTCTGCACCGCCCTCGCGTCTCGCTGATCGGTGAGTAGTTCTCCCAAGCCAAAACCGACAGATAGATATCTACAGCTTCCAAACCCTCCCCCTCCCCTCCCTCTCCGCAAAAGCCTTCAATTCTTTCCTCAAAATCTTCCCACTCGGATTCATGGGAATCTCATCCACGAACTTCACCCCCCCTCTCAACCATTTATGATGAGCCGTACGATCCTTCAACCAACCCGCAATCCCTTCCGCCGTCTCCCTCGTCTTCTCCACACCTTTCTTGACAACGACATACGCTCTCGGAACTTCGGTCGCGATCTCTTCGTAAAAAAGTCCAATGACGGCCGCGGCTTCGACTTGGGGGTGGGCGAGGAGGAGACCTTCGAGTTCGGCGGGCGCGACTCTGGAGAGTGGTTAATTGATGAGTTGAGGAAGGAGATGGGGTTTGAGGGGGAGGTGGTGGTGGTGAAACTTACTGGAAACCGTTATACTTGATCAATTCCTTGACACGATCGGTGATATAAAAGAAACCCTTCTCATTAACATACGCGACATCACCAGTTTTATACCAACCCTCTGGCGTGAGGCAGTTGGCCGTAGCGGTAGGATTGTGGTGATAGCCTTTGAAAACCTGCGGGCCTCGGATCCAAAGCTCGCCTTCTTGATTGGAACCCAGTTCCGCATCACCGCCATCGAGAGAAACGATTTTGGCTTCAGTGTTGGAAATCGGTCGACCAACCGATGCGATTCCATTTTCCCATTGTTCCCACGGCACAACATGCGTAGCAGGACTCGTCTCACTCATACCATACGCCTGCGCGATGGGGATTTTGAGGCGTGCATAGCACATATTCGCAAGATCTTGGGTCAAAGGCGCCGCGCCGGAGATGAGCATTCTCAGACTTTTCAAGTCGAACTTTGCGACAATGGAGTGTTTTGCGAGGCCGAGGATGACTTTGGGGACAACGAAGTTATGTGTGATTTTCTCTTTCTCGACAATTTCGCAGAATTTCAGGAGATCGAAGTTGGGCATTGTGAAGGTTTCGTAGCCTTTGAATGCGGACCAGGTGAGGACCATCAAGCCGTAGATGTGGTACATGGGGAGGAACAAGATCGAGCGTGCGCCTTCGCCGGTTTGGGTGCCGGAGGATAGAAATTGTCCCCATGCTGTGTCGACCTGTAGGCAGTTCACGACCAGGTTTCTGTGCGAAAGCATTACGCCTTTCGGTTTCCCAGTGGTTCCGCTCGAATAGACGAGGAACGCGATATCATTCTTGGGATCGATTGTGCACGGCCGTGCAATGTTTCCACGTCCCAAGAAGCTGAAGCTTCTTATGGCTGTGAAATGTTTCAACTCTTGATTTCCACCGCTGCCACCAAGCAAGATGATTCTGTTTTGTGGAATACCACTACGCTTCGCAGCCTCTAAGGCAGTCTTTAGGCATGCTGGATGCGTCACCAAAGCTTTCGCACCCGAATCTTGAAGCTGTGTAGTGAGCTCGGCTGCGGTGTATGCTGGGTTTGCTGTCGTGACAGTGCCTGCAGCCCACAGACACCCGAGAACTACTGCTGGAAAGTCGATGTCGTTGGGAGAGAAGATGGCGAGAACATCCTTTTTCTGCCATTTCCATTCTGTGCAGAGAGACTGTCCAAACGTCAAGGCCGTCGTTCTAAGGTGACCGTATGGGTACTTTCGCGTCGAATTGGTATCGTGGAATAGGACTTTATACGTCAGTGAGCAGCCGTAGCCAGGTCAAGCACTTTTACTCAGACCTTTGTCGGGACTGTAAGGAAGCTCTTTCCGCTCAAACATGTACGTCCAAAGATCCACGTCGGGGATTGTGACATCGGGATATGGGGAACGCATGGTTGTTTCTGTTCTTGATTCTTGAAATTGGTCACTACGTGCAATTTGATGATGTTAGGCCGAATTCTGGAGAACGTCCGGTGTTCTCACAGCTCACTTTAATCACAATTCTTAATGCGGGAACTGGCCTCGGGATTGCGCAACAAGCTCTCGTAAAGCTCTGGGGTTCTGATACTCCTTGTTGGCATTTGTCTGTTGCTGGGATCGTTTAGCAGTAGAGCCGAAAGCCGAAGCATCCGTTTGGGCTGACAAGGGTTGTAGCTTTGCGGGAGGCAGCCTTCTTGACCACAAGATTAAAGTAATTGTGCTTGGCAGAAAGATATGCCGGGTGATGAGCGGCCGCACCCAGTAGTGTCACTCACTGATCAAGCGAAGAGACGTCTTTTCAGAAATTATTATCTCGATTAGAGGATCACTCATCAGCGCGTACTCTGTGCAACGCAACCGGTGCCAAATTCGGCGTGCCACGGTGAGCTCCGCCTAATCATTTCGGCCCTGTAGCTTGAAGCTGTCATCCTGTTACAGCCCTCTCAGCTGCGTTCTTAGCGACAAATGCGGCGGAAGCGATAATGATGGCACATCAGAATCCAAGGTGAAAGCATTGCTGAGCGGGCTCGGAGCACCTGGTGGTTTGCGGTTGTCGACTTCGGCGTAGAAATGTCGCAATGCCTCTTCGTCGCGGCAGAAAGTCTTGAAGGCCTTGATTACGTTCTCAGGAGATTCCGGATCGGTATGCTTTGAGGACGTGGAGAGCTTGCTTGCTGCAAGGCGATTTGGAAGCAGCAGAAAATCGCACGCTTCGCCAACCACGTCATTCGCAATGATCTGAGCCAGGACGAGGCCTGACTTGTGGACGAACTGCGTATGACTGTACGTAGGAGGCCCGAAAGAATACATCACATCGAGTGATGTTGTGAAAGCGTTGGCTGATTCGTAGTCAAGTACAAAATCCATCTTCTTCAGAATGCGCTTATGGTAGGCCAACCGATCCTCGATCATGCGGGGCGAAAAGGTGTGAGGCTCCAGAAGGGGAGTTGCCAACACTTTGTCTGGAGGGCTGACGACTAAATTGATCGACTGTGGTTGGTCGAATGGATGGTGTTCACGGTATTTGCTTGCTTCCTCGAGCGGCACTTGGATGAGTCGCAGCCCATACCCCTCGACAAGACTGGACCACCTTGTGAGTGCTTCGCGAATGAATTTGGGCGACGTTCCTAGCCACTCCAGGTGAATGTGGTAGCAATTCTCTGGGTTATGGATGCGATCGTAATGCAGTTGAAGGATCTGCAGATGGCTTGACTTTCTTTGCGGGTCAACGTTGAATTGCATGGCTTGGCTGAGCAGGATCTGCTTCTGCTCCACTGGATGCAGGCCTGGCGTGCCTATTTCGGAAGAAGAGCTAGAATGGCCAGTGCTGATACCGCTCACTGGTCGCACTACTGGAGACTTTATAGACTCTGCGATGGGAGTAGGCGGTATGGATCGCCACGTTGCCTTGCTAAACAGGCCTTGGGTATCCGGATATTCGCTTGTCCTGTAAGCGCTGCTGATCTGGTAGAAGTAGTGCCCGTCACGAAACTTGTGCTTTTGTCGAACGTGCGAGAACACGCCTCTTCTCATCAGCTCATTGCCGACAGCTACGGCATCTTGGCGCAGTTCCAAGTCTTTGAAGGCACCAAGTAGCCACGTTGTCATTTCATCTCCTCGGAAGCACTTGAGATGTGTGAGCGTGAGCCACCTTCGATCACGAACCTCGACGCCGTGGGGTGGTGGCTCTTGCATTTGCCTGACGAGCTTACTCATGTCAAAGTTGCTGCTGTGATGCTTCTCTGCGTCCGAGAACAATGGCGTGGTGAACTCTCCCTCCTCCAATTGGCTGAGCAAAGCCGGACCGTGTGCATTTACCACGACGCTGGGATCTCTGGTCTGATACTCAATCGCGAGTGGATTGGGATCTCTCATCGCTGTATACGGCGTTGACGCAGCTTTCTTCACTGATATCTGGTGAGCCTGGTCCTCCGACGAAAAATATCTTTGGCGCTGCCATGCCTGCGTCAGGCGTTGAATGCCTTCGATGCGCCTCTCCTCATCAGAGAGCCCTCCAAGACGGCTGATGTTGTCTCCTCTGTGGATTTCGACTGGAATGAGAATCAGCCTGACCCTGAACTTGGCATTAATGTCAGGCATAGGAGCAAGTCCCAATATGTGTTCGTCCAAGGGGGTCCAATCAGCTATTGGAGCCTCAGAATGGTACGTGACCTCAGGTCGCACGACTGCCCCCGTCGAGAGCCGCATCTTTGGCTCGTAAGAAGTCAGGTAGTGTTGGGTCTCCTTGTCTTCACTTCCAACCCCCGCCTTTGGTTCATACTGCACTATTTGAACCTGAAAGTCGGAGAATCGCTGTATCTGATGGTAGTGCCGTCCAAGAGAAAGTAGCACTGGTTGCTCCTTGTGCTCCGTCTGCTCTTGAGATGCGTTCCGGATGGCCACGATCTGGAAGCCACGTACAAGGCGAACGTCAATGAGCCTTTCCACCAGAATGTTCGCAGACTCTTCGCGCAGACCCGAAGAGCTGGATATGTTGTGTAGCTTCACCTTCTTGCGATAGTATACTTCAAGCTCTGTGCCCGACGGCTTGTATTCTGCTGTAAGTGGGAGCTCTGCCGGCGTACACATTCCCGACCATTTGAATGTTCCAGTGCTTACAGCACGAGGGAACACATGTTGCCACTTGCGGTATTGGCTGGCGACTCTCATGTTGTCTCTTGTCGGGTTACAGGGGTTCAACAACATCACCCATGGGGACATCATATTCAAACTTTCATGAGTAGAGTCACGTTTTGGCCGACTCCCAAAGTTAGCTCCGGCTTTGGGCGTTGCAGAGAGGGATGTATCATTCTGCAATGTTTTGCTCACCAACGTGTCCTCGATACCTTGCTCGATGATGCTAGCTAGGTCGCTGTTGTCATCATGACCAGATTGGTGGCTCTGTATATTGATCGGCCTTGATGTCTGACCTTCGTCAGGCTCACTGATGCGTTGCGATTTAAGGCTTTGCAGCGACGGCTTTCGTGCTAGGGACGCACGGATGGCCTTTGCTAGACCGCCTGAGCTGTTGTGTGAAGCAACCGATGTGCCAAATGTAAGGTCCTTCTCTTGCTGAGCATGTTCGGCAGACACAGTGGTACTTGCTGCACCACGACTGATCGCCAGGCCCTTGGGACCGACGCTAATCTTTCGTCCGCCGGTTTGCATCAAGGGATGAGCCGGCAACCGTTGTCGCTTCGCTCTGCTCAACGGTTCTTTGCTCGGCACGGGCGATGCTTCACCTGTCGGTATGTTGACCGGATCCGTGGTCGGATTCGATCGACTCTTCTGGGTATCTCGGCTTGTGGAGAGCCTCATCTTGACTGTTTCAGCGGAGCCGACAGGGTCGGTAGGCGGCGATGATCTGGATGCACGAGTTGTGAGTCTCTTCATCGGCTCATCACTGAATACTTGATTGTCGTAGAAGTCCATCATGCTTACGTCGACCTCGGTGAAGCCAGAGTCTTGCATAGGAGGCAAAGCGATGTCATGCACAGGCTCTTCTGTGTCTGGCAGTGTCCATGTAGACTGGGGTTCATCATTAGGGCTTCTCCAGAAGGAGATGTCCACCCAGTGTGGTAAAGCGTACTCGACGACTCCTTCGTGGTCGTACTTGAAAAGAGGCACTGGATGCAGTGGCTTCGGAGACAGAGCCACTATGTCCACGCCAATGCTATTGCCTACCAAAAGGTCCGTGGTCTGCTTCAACAGCTCATGGTTGGCATCGAACAAGCCAGTGCCCGCAGTGACGGCAACGATTGAAGTACCGGTGCTCATCACGTGCGCGTCTGTATAGAAGTCCGCATAGTCCATTGCTGTCAAATGTATGGCCTCCAGCATATTACTTGCCGAGGCAAGAGAGACGGCACGCGACAAAGTCAGATCGTTGAAAGCTTCCTTGAGTTTCTTCACGATCTCTGCCCAGGAAGAGCTCGGCAGCTCGGATGCCAGCACGTAGAAGAAATCGTCATTCTGCTTTTCACTTGCGGACATTCGTTTCTGCTCGCCTGGAGCAACTAGCGAGCGTCCGAACAAGACCACAGAGACATGGTGTTTCACCTTGGCGCGTTCCCATCGATGGAAGAGGTCCCACAAAAAGCCATAGATTAGCCTTTCGTACATGAGCTCTCCTTGACTCCAGCCCTCGAGCATTTCCCGCGACACTTCGATCAGCAATGTGAACCTCGCGCTTGCACTCCTGAAAATCGCCTTGGTCTCAGGATGCGAACAGAATGCTGAGTCGAGCTCTTTGCCTGCGATCCAGACGCTCCTCACTTCGGCTGTGATGCTGCCAAGGTATTTCATGACTTGGCCTTTGTAGACGACCGTGTGTTGAACGCGTTTCATCAGCTGCCACATGTCGGCACTGTTCAGATACTGCTCCCGAAACAAGAGCTCCACGTGCGTCGCTGTGGCAGCTTCGGGATCCTCTATCATGCGAATGCGGCCCGGAGTCCTGTTTTCGAATCCGAACTTCGAGGCCAAGGAGACATGGATGGAAATTTCGGTTGACGTGGCGGCCACACCAGAAGGGCAGATACACAGAGTTCGGGCAGCTGAAGCCGAGAGCCAGGCAACTTCGCCCACGTGCATCACGCGTGGGCCGGCCAGAATGTCGACGGCAGATACGCGGTCATCGTGGAGCACGATGGTGCATGGCTTTTCCGGGCCCTCAACGGCCATGCTGGAGGTCGAGCAAGGAGTGCGGAGAAGTCTCCGAGGGCTTTTATCTCAATCTGCTCTCCTCATCAGGGTGGAAGAAAGTGTCTGGAGCTCGAGCAGTCCTGCGCTATTGCAGGTGGCCCTGGTCGCGACCAACAGAGCATGGTTGAGCATCCAAATCGACCGTCACCATTCAGGCCATCACAGGGCTCCCGAAGCGATGGTATCTCAATCGTCTCGACTTTCTTGAAGTGGTCAGCGACGGCGAGGATAACGGCGATTGTATCATACGGGAGGACGCGTTCGATGTGAAGGCGGAGAAAGCTGCACTGCATGAGCTGAGGTGGACGTGCAATGAACAGCCATCCATCAAATGTTGATTGACGCACGTCAATTCGGATCCGCGGCTGACGCTGACCACCGAAGCGCTCGCGCTCTCCTATGCTTATGCCCCCTGAAATGCATTCATCCCCATTTTTCTTCCATATCACATCCATTCGCTCACGATGTATTTGTTTTCAGTCGGAGCTCTTGCAGCTGGACTCATAGGATCTGCGCAGGCGCATGGAAATGGAAACCATGCACACGAGCAGGCGCCGATAGTAGACGCAAATGCCGACTGGGCCACGAAGCACATGGCTGGTAAGATTGAACCTTGCACCTTGATGTCTGCGGTGTTCGGGCACCAGACGAGGACGACTTCAGTACTGCCTTTATGGCATATTCACGTTCCGTGGAATGCTGACGTTGGCGCGCAGAGGAGCACCACATACAATCATTCGACGCCGCATCCTTCTTCAACCTCCACGACTACAATTCGAACAATGAATGGACTGTCGAGGATCTTATGAAGACATATGGTGGCATGGACAAATCCACAAACCATATCTCACAAGAGGACAAGGAGAAGGCGATTCAGAAAGTCATCGAGATCTTCGATCGCGACAAGAGTGGGACCATCTCGTTTGCCGAGTACACCATGGGAGAAGCACAGGGCCTCAAGCTGCCCGACATTGGTTGGGGCCCAGGTCACCACGGTGATGATGAGTACGAGTATGAGATCCACCACTTCGAGAAATACCACGATGAGAACACGAAGGAGGAGGATTTGATCCACCCCGAAGACATCGAGCATTTCCGCATGCACGATGAGATGGAAGCTGCGCAAGAAAAGCAGGAGCGTATGGACAAGATGGCGATCATTGAAGCGAACATTCCGTCCAAGTTCCGCAAGGACCTCTGAAGCAATGCGCCCGCCTGGGACAATCGAGCAATTGGATAGTGTCAGAGAAGGAGTCGCGGCGCCAAATCTGCGCTTCGAACGGCTCTTCATCTATGTCATCCTTTCCGTCTTTGCATGGAACAGATTCTGGCAGCATTCACACCGGCTGGCCGCCAATAATGATGCACACGTACAAGTGCTTGCTTGGTCCGCGGTAGTGCTTGCCATCTTGGTGGCATACAATGTGTAGATGAGGAATAATGTGACAACGGATGTACGACTGCGACAGTGAGACAGCGCAATCGCAAGGCTGAGCGATGACCGCTCAATAATGCTGCATGAACCAGGGTTCGGCGGACGAGGTCGCGATGCATGAAAATGTCACAAGGTTCGGCGGCGTGATGCACTTCACCTTCTCTTGTTCAACCGCATTGATATGATCTGATGGTCGGATTTATATCTAGACCGGATCTCCTCACTCACAATCGTGCGACGAATGTTGGCAATAATGGCCCATCAGCATCCATCGGCCATGCCAGCGAAGAAGTTGCAGTCCTTGCACGGCTCCAAGCCGCTTGTACCCAGGTCCAGGATGCATGGTGCAGCACCCGGCAAAGAGCGGCTTGGCCATGCACAATGATCAATGCGTAGCTCACGCACACATCAATCGCGTGACGTGAACGCGTGTGGGCAACCCGGCAAGGTAAGGTAATATTAACGAGAGGAGATAGATATACGTATCTCCTCCCATCCGCCCTCTCCACCATCCTCCTCACCTAGGCCAACGTGCATTGCGACAGAATGTGGCTCCCGCTTCTACCACTACCGGTCGAAACGAAGGTCTTAACGATCAAAGACAAGCTATGCTTCGCAGACCTACCGGCAGAACTGCGAAATGAAATATACTCCCATGCCATCGTCCGCCGAGAGCCCATCATGCTCCCCTACGCATACCAGAAAAAATCTTTCTGCGAACCCGCATTACTCAACGTCTGCCGCTGGATCCGCGCCGAAGCAACGCCGATATACTATTCTTCCAACATCTTCTCGGCCCCATCACCGCCCTCAGCCCACGAGTTCTTGAAGTACCTTAGTCCCGAAAAGATTTCTCGAATTCGAAATTTTCGACCTTTCGATTTGGTCTTGCCGTTGAATGCACATCGACGATGGTTTGCCTCACTGAGGACGAATGTGAATCGTTTGGTTGAGCAGGTCGGCAAGCGTGCGTTGAGTTCGGAAGCAATCTATGTCCCGATGAGGAATCTGTCGCAGAATGTTGAATGGTGTAAACTGAGAGATTTGGAGGAGTTGGATCTTGTGAGCCTACAGAATGGGAGTTGGAGTCTGCAGTGGAAAGAAGATTGAGTCAAACTAAGCCAAGCTTCGAGCCATAGCGACTTTGTGTTGGCATTGCACGCGTCTGCCACACGACCGGTCCGCTGTACCACTTCTCGACACATCCGAAGCGAAGCGCTATCGATCTCACAAATTTCAGCTCGCCATGGAAGGACGAATACGCGTACTCCTTCCTCACTTGCTCGCGCGACGACGACACATTCTCCTGCCTGAAATCACTCCACCATTTCGATTTCTGGATTCTCACTGTCGCAATCCGCACCTGCGCGAGATTTTCGTCCTATCGCCTTGCCTCAAAGGTTCAATGATATTGGACAGCTGCACAAACATAGCTGCGATTCACCATACTGTGAAACTTGCTGCAGGGAATACACCGTCTGTGAAAGTCAGAAATATGGCATGACTGATTTGGAGCAAAGGGTCAGACAGATTGTGGAGGGTAGAGTTGAAGCCTTTTGAGGAGCTTCCCTTGGAGATGGACGCTGGCATGTTCATTTGCACTGACTGGTACTCGAGGATATGGCAAGGCGACCACCTGCCAGTGAGATCAGTCGGAGAGAATTCGTCTTCGGATCGATGAATGATTCCATCAAGTCTACACGGTGTACCAAATTCGAGCAGACAAGATAGTCCGTCCGTCCAGCACATCTCCAATCTACTCAAAAACCCCCATCCCCTCCTTCTCCTCCAACACCCTCCTCAACCCCTCCCCATCCCTCGGCACAAACCGAACCTGATACCTCTCCGGCATGGCCACCAAACTCTTCGGATCACAACTCCCCCTCACAGGATGCACATCCACCTCCCCATACGGCAAAATCTCAAAACAACTCAACATCCTCATCAACACCAAATACAACTCCCGATTCGCCAACAAACTGCCCGCACACATTCGATACCCCATCCCATACGTAAACAACGGAGCATCAGGTTTCTCCAACCAGCGTTCGGGTCTAAAGACCTCTGCATCCGATCCCCAGATCTCTTCGTCCATGTTGCACGCCCAGGCGTTGAGGAACATGGTGGTTCCGGAGGGGATGAGTTTGTTTTCGAAGGTGACGTCGCGGACTGTCGAGCGCGGGAGAGCGAGGCGGAGGACGGTGTAGTAGCGGAGACATTCTTTGACCAGGGCCACGATGTATTCGCATTTCATGTCGTCGTTTTCGTCGCAGAGGAGGGTGGGGTGGAGGTTTCGGATTTCGGTTATGGCTTTGGTTTGGATGTCGGGACGTTGGCTGAGGAGGGCGATGGACCATTGCAAGAGGGTTGTGATTGTGTCGAGGCCGCCGGAGAGCATGGTGAGGGAAATGGAGGTGAGTTCTTCGGCGGTGAGACTTGCTTCTCGGTCGAGGATGACGTTGGCTTGGATGCAGGGCTTGTGGGTGCCTTTTTCCATGCGCGAGTCGAGGTCCGCGTTGAGTTTTTTCAGGTAGACGTCGCGGCGCGCTCGCATTTCTGCGGCTTTGCGGGTGCCGAAGCTGAAAGGGTTGAGGCGGAGGAGAGGGATGTAGTCTTGTAGATTTCCGGTGGTGGAGCGGAAGCGACTGATTGCTTCTTCGACTTCGGTGATTTCGTGGAAGAGGGCGTTTTCCGAGTCGCCCATTCGCGTGCCCCAGTTCAGAGTGAGAGAGAGGGAGAGGGAGAGACGCTGGATTAGTGGCATGGGATCCAGCGCTGTCTTGCCTGCGTCGCCATATTTGAAGGCCTCTCGCACGAAGGAGAGCGTCTCGATGTCGAGGTGTGGAATGTAGGTTTGCACGCTCGGCTTGTTCAAGGCAGATGCGGCACCCTTTCTTCGTCGCTTGAGGGAGTCGGAGAATGGAGAGGTGCCAATTGTCGTGCCCGCGGTGTTGGACAGGACCTTGTGGAAGGTGTAGAAGACTGGTCTGGAGCTCAGGGCTTGCGAGTTGTTGCCGAAGATTGTCTTTGCTGCCTGGGCGTTGTTGACCACGATCACGGGAATGTTACCGAGCTGGATTTGATAGACTGGTCCATATCTGCGCGACCATTGCCGATACTTTTCTGCGGCGTTGTATCTGATGTCTGCGATGTTACCGATGACGGGAAGTCCTCTCGGGCCCGGGAATGCCGGTAGTCTTGCTCTGTACCGAATGACCTCGTTGATTAGGAAGTACGTGATTGGAAGACATATGAGAAGGACGATGGCTGTGCGAAGCGTATGCTCAAGTGCCTGTCGCTGCAGTAAATCGAAAGTGTGCCCGATCATTGTGATACTCCTATCGGCGTGAAAGGGTAAGAGAGCTAGAACTATACTTACCAGGTGAAGTATACTTATAGCTCCCAGCACAGCGTCCTACAGGTTCTCCACAGCGATATTCTACTCGCGGGACACGTGAATGTATTCCGTCGCGGTGTTGATTCCAGCTGCGGAAGGGAGCAAGACATGGAGCGAAGTGGACTCGAGGGAAGAAAAGCGGGCGGAAAAGATTCCGTGCATGTTGTGGTTCAGTCAGGTAATATGCTGGTTAGCTGATACCATTAGCTAACCTGTGCTAAGAGGAAGGACACATAATAGGTATATTAACTGCAGTTTCTATAGCAGGCTCCTGATCCTTCTTCGTATAGTTATATAGTTGTCAATCCGATAATTAGTTGTATCCCTAGTACGATTCACAATAGGTTATAAGCCCGGCGTATACGCTTACCTATCCAGTTCAACTATAAAATAACTGTTTCTAGAGTCTACTAAACAGAGCTAGCTATCTAGACCTATTAGGTACCTAGTTAAGAGCTCTAGTTCGGACTAAAACCTAGCAAGTGTCCCTTATAAGCCCTACCTAGCACTATACTAAAAGGCAGCTAGGAACGATAGACACTAATTAGATAAAGACAGCAAAGGAGAATCAAGTTCTTAGAAAGGGGATCAACTTCTAAGACTAGAAGCTTATATTCTAGGCGGCCTTTCTAGAAAAGGACCTAGTTAGTATAGTATTCTATAGACTTAACTAGGCTAATAAAATAAAACTACCTCTAAAAAGCATATTTATAGGGGACTTAGCCGATTAGTAGTATAGAGACATATTTAGGGACTAGAAGAAGAAAGACATCTAAGCCCTAGGCATACTTATTGCTAGACTCGACCCTGCCCTTAGACTAGACTTCGGTAATATACCTAAGTTAGCTAAGGATACATACGACTACATTAAGGCTCTATATAAGCCTATTGTAACCGTAGACATATTTGATACTATCAAACTCATTAGGCACATTAGGATGCCCCTTACTAATCCGAACACCTAGTAGTACTACGAATCTTTTTAGTAGTAGTTTAACAGATTCTAAACATCGATAGAACAATTTGCTAGCTTAGTTATAATAATAGAAGCGCCTATAAAGTTATTAGACATTAAGATGCCTAATATGCTTGTTAGGATGCTATTCATTTAGGGCCTTTCTAGTTACGAATAGCTTAGATCCTAGAAGCATAATAAGAAGCCTAAAGCTAAGGACTCCTCCCTTAAAGCAATAATAACGTCCCTAAGGAGAGAAAAGCCTCCTAAACAGTTATCTAGCGGCTTAAAGCTTATTAGAGGGGCTATTAGCAATAATAACGACTAGTGCACTTAGTACAAGTATAAGCACACTAACGCTAAGTGCTATAAGCAACACCCTAATATAGCACTACCTAGTTAGGGAAAGAAAGATAAGAGTAAAGATAAAGATAAAGACAAAGGCAAGAAGGGTAAAGGTAAAGGAAAGGGCAAATCTAGTAGTACTATTAATAATAATAAAGATGAATTAGACTCCTCCTCTAACTCGGAAGATAAGGGAGACTATTAGCTAGACGGCCTTAGTAGGGGCCTAATTAGGGGAGCTATTGCAAAGCCGGGACTAGCTATAGTAAGCTCTAAGAACCTAATAGCTAACACAAAAATTTGGGATATAGGTATATTACTACACATTATAGGGAATAAGAGCTAGTTTAGCGATCTTAAGCACCTAACTAAGCCTATTCAGTTCTCCTAAGTAGTAGGAAAATTAAGTATATTACGATTAGGAACTGTTAATATCTTCCTAACCTATAAAGGAAAGAAAACCCTAATTACTCTAATAGACGTCCTCTACTCCCCGAACTTAGATTACAACCTAATCTTAGTAGAGCGTCTTTAGAAGAAATGTAGCATTCACTTAAACAGACCTTTAGGCACTTTAATGCTTAAAGGCAAGCTAATTAGAAAGGTTGAGGAAGTATAAGGAGTACTTGCCCTTAAAGATGCTAGAGTCAAAATGCTAGGCTCAGCTTTAAAACTAAACTTAGAATCGAGTTAGAAAGGGCAGCTATTAGCCCTAGCTATCGCTAGACTACGAGCGGATACATTAAGATAGCATTAGAGACTTGGCTACGTCGGCAACAAGATCCTAATAGCTACTAAGGAAGCCATTCTAGGCCTAGAAGAAGTTAATACATCTAAACTCGAGCACTATAAGACCTATAAGCTCTCGAGAGCTTAAAGAGTTATATTAAGAGAACATAGAACTAGACTAGAAAAAGCCCTTAACGAAGTCTATATTAACCTTGTTGGCGTACAACTATTTAATCTGTTTAGAAATAGGTACATTATAATCCTAACTAATGCTAAAACTAGGCTTAGGTAGGGTCTGTTACTTCGAAACAAAGATAAGGTAACAAGTAGTAACAAGCTAATTAACTGGATAACTAGAATTAAGAGGTAATATAACAAAATCCCTAAGATTATCTTTAGTAATAGCGGGGGAGAGTTTACTAACAACGATCTAGTATATTTTGTAGAGGAAGTTAGTATTAGATAGGATGTATCTATACTATATACACCGGAGCAGAATAGTATTATAGAGTCGTTAAACAAGACGATTCTACTTAAGGCAAGAGCAATAATAATTGACTCTAGCCTACTAATATACTACTAGTGCTTTGCAGTAATGCATTCGATTTACCTAACTAATAGACTAGTAAACTTGAGAACTAAGGAAGTTCTACTTAAGGCTTTCGAATTAGACTTGAATATCGGCAGTATAGACATTAACCTGTCTAAGACGAGACGATTTGGCTATAAGGTATTTAAATACCTCGAATCCGGGGTTGAACGACTTAACTCCTAGAAATTTGCACTAAGAGCTTTCGTATTCTAGTTTATTAGATTCTAAGAAAATTTATCAACAAACTATCTGCTTTAGAACCCGTACTAGAAGGATAGCGTATAGCAGCATAATATCAGATTCTCTCTATACGTTACCTTCAACGAGGACTTTGTCTATAAAGACAATTTCACTAAGCTTCTAAGTACCCTTTAAGCTTAGGGGGAGTATTTGAGACTAGCTGTCCCTTAAGAGACTATTTAGGTACTTGAAACCCAGTCTAACCTTTTATTTGAGTTAGGAATCCTAGCACTATTCCCTAGTAATAACTAAACAACTTAGCACTCTTTAGAACCTTAGGGGGAGCTATTTAGAGGTAGTATCCCTTAGCCTTAGTAGGCTTATAATTAGGAAGATTAGGAAGACTCCCTTACAGCTTAGGGGGAGTAAGGTATACTTAAGCAAGGAACACTACCTTAGCTAATACCTATAGCTAATAAGCTAATACTCCAAAATCACTAACTAGAACTACTAGCTGCCTAGTAGGAAGCTGCTTCTAAGAAAAATTAGTACACTTAAGAAACAGATACTGCTAAACTAGAAGATACCCTAATTACTCCCTTCTAAGTCCCTAAGACTACTAGCAAGAGAAAGAGGGCTCCTAACCCACCTTAGCTAAACCCTCCTTAAGCCGAAGTACGACTTAGGTCTAGTAGAGCCGTAGCTAAGTATAACTATAGCAAGATCACTAAGATTGCTATAGCTGCTGCTATAAAAGATGCTTAGAAGCTAGCTAACCTAATAACCCTAGCTAAAGCCCTAAAAAGGCCTAACTAGGATGAATAGAGAAAAGCCGTTACAAAAGAGATAAGGTCTCTTAAAAAGTCTAGTGCAATCGAGTGGATTCTAGCCGAATCCCTACTAAAAGGCAGAACACCTCTAATAGGAAAATGGGTTTTTAAGATTAAATACCTATTAGACGGCTCTATTAACAAATATAAGGCAAGATAGACAGCTAGAGGCTTTATATAGAAGCAAGGTCTTAACTATGTTAATACCTATACTCCTATACTAAGAGCAGCTACTGCTAGACTTGTCCTTAGGCTTTTAGTAAACAAAAACTAGAAGCGAAGACAGGTTGATATCGAGACTGCTTTCTTAAATCCCCCTCTAGATAAAGAGATTTTTATTAGACCCCTAGAAGGCGCGTACCTGTTTAAGAAGCACCCTCTAAAGTAGATTATCCGTATTAGAAAAGGATTATATAGCCTTAAGCAGGCTACTAATCTCTAGCACTATAATGCTTTAGACACTCTTCGTCAACTTAGCCTAAGTAGGACAAAGAGTAACTATTGCCTATAGTAAGGTAATAGTATTCTTATCCTCCTTTATATAGATAACTTCTAAATCTTTAGAACCTCTAAGGCAAAGATCGATGCTCTAATTAAAGGTCTTCGTAAGAAGTATATAATCAAGATTGTTACGTCTAACCTATTTCTAGGCCTTTATCTAAAGGAAGACAAGGAGGGAAACCTTACTATCTCCTAGACACACTATACTAAAGAGAAGCTTTAGAAGTATAGCTTAGACTAGTATAAGCTAATAAAGCATCTACTTAAGAAGCTTTACGAGCCTCTTATAACCCCCTATAACCGTTAGGACTACTAGCTGTTTAATACTATAATTAGTAAAATGTAGTTTCTAGCTAACTAGACTAGACTAGACATTAGCTATACCGTTAACCACCTTGCTAGATTCCTTTAGAATCCCGGACCTAAGTATGTTATAGCTACTAAACATCTCTAGAGGTACATTGCTAGCACAGTTAACAAAGGACTTGTCTTTAGAAAGAAGAAAACTTTGGAATTTTAGGTATACTCTAACGTAGACTTTGCTAGTAACCCTTTATTATTAAGATTAATATTAGGCGCCCTTATACTTCTTAACAACACTCTAATTATATAGAGATTACAGCTCTAAAAGGAAGTCGTACTCTCTAGCACTAAAGTAGAGTATATTGCTCTAATAGAAGCATATAGAGAAATCTACTAGCTCCGAAATTTAATAACTAAGCTTCAACTACTTACTAGGGAAGAAGTCAACAGGATTTACGTCTAGGTAGACAACTAGTTAGCTATTTCCCTTATTAAGGACTATATAAATTCTAAGAGGTCGAGGCACGTTTCCCTTAGGAACTACTACTATAGAGAATAGTATACCTAGGGAAAGATTAGTATCGAATTCGTCACTACTAACAAACAGCTAGCGGACTGTTTCACTAAGCCTAAATCTCTAAACAAAATTCTCTAATAATACAGCGTCTCTAGGACAAACTCCTAAGTTACTCCTTTAGAAAGAAAAATCTTATTTGTAGGATTAGAAAACAAGCTTTATACACTTATTGAATTTCATTCTAATTTCTAGAAACAGCCTAGCTGCACTATATAGTCTAAGCTGCAAAATTTCTTTTATAACAATATTGAGACTAAGTAGGAAGAAATACCCTAGCCCTTAAGAGTTAGAAACTCTCTAATACTATAAGGCTTTTACTAATCTAGACTGCCTAGCCTATTTTAAAATCGAAAACATATATTATAGCTCTCTATCTACTAGAAAAAACCGAATCTCCCTAATCAGCTACCTATCTTAGTATTACTATCTTCGTAATTAGAGAAACCCCTCTAAGGACTACTAGAATTACGAGTCGAGCTAGGACTAGTAGACAACCTAGAACCTAGACTACGACTACGTCCCTAAGCAGTAGCCTAGGTATAAGCATTTGCCTACTACAGTAGTAAATTTGCTACTACCTAGGCGCCCTAAGGAGTACTCTAATCGATGCTAGACGGGACTAGTACGTACAGACGACGCTAATTAGTGCCTGCTCTACTCCCCGGATTACGAGGCGGCAGAGGCACTATAGGCGTCTAACGATTCGTATTAGAGCGTAGCCGAGAGACGTAACCTAACAAAAGGATTAGTGTTTTAGCTTCAAAAAATGTATAAGACTAGATTCAACTTACTAGAGAACTCGCATTAACTATAATAATTTAGGCTAGTATAGTTAGTATAAGCGCCCTTTAGGAAAGCGATATCCTAACCGTTAATTCGATAACTTAGAGTTATACACTCTAAGTACGGATCCTTTAACTGCTTGCAAGGACCGCACTAGCTATTACTAGTATATACGCGTCTAGTAGCAGCCGTATATACAAGCGCGGTAGGTAAGTAGTTAACATTCGATTTTAAGCCTAAATTGAATGCCTTAGCCGCCTTACGCAGACGCGGAGGTACACTTAGAAACAGCCGAGTATTATCCTAGCTCGTAATAAAATGCCTAATATTAACGTTGCGTAGCTAAGGCGGAGTCTACTCTAGACTAATATTAGTTAAGTACTAGATAATTCTCTAGAGAATCGCGACAGTTAACTAAACTTCCTTAAGGACTGCGCCTAGTTAGCAAATTGTTAGAAAAGGGGAACCTTTAATAGTAATACTTACTAGTCTCTATAAGCTAGAGCTTGTTATAACGCGAAGGGTGCCGATTCTTGTTTAGATCGTTACTACCGCCGCCGCTGCTACTACTACCTATACTACTCGCTATACTCCCTAGGCTAGGGTAAAGAATTATCGCTATAATAAAGTCTCGGCTAGCTATTAGACTTAAAAGGTCTTAGTAAGAATTTGAATTCTAGTAGAGGCTGCTAGTACTTAGGGGATTGCTAAAGAGTAGATTGTAAAAGTTCAAGTTGTCTAGTTAAGTTTAAGTGTCTTTTATAGGCGCCTACTAACCCTACAATTACGACTAAGGACATTACTTTAAAGCAAACTAATTAGTAAATAATGTAATATAAGTACGTGCAAGTAGTATAGCATATAAAGCTATATATAAAGCAGATATAGTCTAATATCTAAAGGCAGTTAGAAGATAAAGTGAAGCTCTAAGCCTAGATTTAGAGTATCCAATCTGAATAGTATATTATCTCTACCTAAGGGGGAGTATTATAGTTTAGTTAGGTAATATGCTAGTTAGCTAATACTATTAGCTAACCTATACTAAGAGGAAGGACATATAATAGGTATATTAACTATAGTTTCTATAGCAGGCTCCTAATCCTTCTTCGTATAGTTACATAGTTGTCAATCCGATAATTAGTTGCATCCCTAGCACGATTCACAACAGTGCAAGCAAGCACCGACAGAGTGGCTCTCATTGCTGATGTATGATGTCCCGCCGGGTGGACAGACCTCTTTTGGATGGATTTCGGGCAACATACGTTTGCTACATATATATCAATCTTGCTCTGGCTAGAGCCTCACGAGGTGAAGTAGCGGATGATTGCTCTCCCCAATGCCCGAACAACACGCGTGCTATTGCTAGTGAGACTTCCCACGGTGACGGGAGTGCTTGGGAAGCCGGCATCCGAACTTCTTCCCGTCTTTCCAAGCCATCTGACTGGCGAGACGCTATTCCGGGTTGTTATTCTTGTTCATCCGGGAGTGGGGACGAAGTGATCCATGCACAACCACCGGAGCGGGTGCCAAGACCCAGCACGTGTCGCGACCCTGGCAGATCAACGACTTCATCCACGACTTTCATCATGTACGACCCCACAGCCGGCGTCCGTGAAGGTGAGTATTCGCGTGTTTCATTGCTATGCAGGTCCTTGGGCGGAGCATGGCTGCCATGCGACGAGGGACCCGCAGACATGCCGTGGTCAACAAGGTACTCCAACAATGTCTAGACCCTCAGGACGCAATGGCAGGACAGACGCACCACCTCTGATCTCCTTCAAAGCGTGCGTTGACGAGCACGTGGCATGGCGACCTACAACGGCAGCGCGAAGATTACTAACCTCGAACAGGCCATGACAATAGAAAGCGTTGCCGACGTGCAAAAAGAGAAATGGGACAATGTCAACACGCTCGGAAGTGTGCAGCTCCACAATGTTCAAACGAAGGAAGTCTTGCTCATCCCGACGCCGTCGAGCGATCCCAATGATCCTTTGAACTGGTACTGTAGAACCTTCCTAGGCCCTTCGATCTGGCATTGATGAGTGTATAGGTCAAAGGGCTACCGCTACTATCAAGCCTTCATCGTGTGTCTTGCCATGGTGATGTGCAACTTCTTGGCAGCAGGTATGGCATTCCCAACACACAAATAGGATGCCCGTTCTGACAAAAGATCCAGGTCCGACGGTAGCCATAGTAGAAACGACGATCGACTACTTCGGCCCTCCAGGCCCAGAATTCACCTCCAAAATTTCCAAAATCGCATACTTCTTCACCACCACAGCCTTACTCCAAGGCCTCGGCAACCTAGTCTGGATGCCGTTGATCGTAAAATATGGCAGGAGACCAGTCTACCTCGCATCTTTCACTCTCTACACAATCACAACGATCTGGGTCAGCGTCAGCAAGACGTACGCCAACACCCTCGTCGCGAGAATCGTTATGGGCTTCGCTGCGGGATCAGGAGAATGTCTGGCCCCATTGACCATTTCCGACATTTTCTTCCTGCACGAGCGAGGCACCGTCATGGCCGTATACACCGCATCCCTAAACTTCGGCGTCTCGATCGGCGTCATCCTCAGCGGCGTCATCGCATACAACCTCGGATATCACTACATCTACTACATCGCCATAGCCCTCATCGGCTTCGTCACAATTCTAGTCTTCTTCACCATGCCCGAAACCTCCTACACTCGCAGTCCCGCCGTCCTCGCCGCGCGTCCCCACCAACAACCCCCCAAACGTTCCTACCTCCACGGCCTAAACCTCTACACCGGCACCTACACCTCGGAATCCCTCCTGAAACTCTTCATGCGTCCCGTACTCATGCTCCTCTTACCCCCCGTAATCTGGGCCACCCTCGTAATGTCCGTCACAATCGGTTTCCTCGTAGCCATAACCTCAAATTTCGCCCCGGCCTTCTCCACAACCTACAATTTCAACTCCTGGCAATCCGGCCTCTGCTTCATCGCCGGACTCGTCGGCGCCGTGATCGGAATCGCTCTAGGAGGAAATTTCTCGGACTGGACCGCGAATTTTTTCACGAGGAGGAATGGTGGCATACGGGAGCCGGAGTTTCGATTACCGGCTATGACGATTGGACTTGTGACTGCGCCTTTGGCGCTGGTGTTGTATGGAGCCGGGATTGAGCATCGGTGGCATTGGATGCTTCCGACGCTGGGGTTGGGGTTGTTGAATTTCAGCATCACGCAGGCGACGAATGTTTCGTTGGTGTATATTGTCGATGCGTATCGGCCGATTGCCGGGGAGACGGTCGTGACGCAGTTGGGCTTTAAATGTGAGTGTGAAAGTTTCTCGTTTCTATGTGTGCGTCAAGGCAGTGGACCTAGAAGGCTAATCTTTTTTTTCTTTGTTTCCTCCGACAACAACAGCTGCTTTTGGATTTTTGCTATCGTTCTATACGAATCCTTGGATTGAGAAATCTGGGTATCAGAATGCCTTCGGGGCTATGGCGGGCATCAGTGCTGCTGTTTTGGTGTGTTGGATTCCTTTCTTTGTGTTTGGGAAACGGATCAGGCATGCGAGTTTGCAGTGGCCGATCATTGACAGAGCTGTGAAGTGGAGTGTGGATCGGGAGGTCGGTGAGTGAAGAAGAACAAGGGTGGTTTATCGACAGTCCTATCGATCATTCCCGAAATGTGATGCTTCTACATGCTGAATTATTGCCTATACATGGTATCATTCATTCATTGAAACACTGCGCTGTCACGAATGCTCTCGACGATGCATAAATCCGTCACTCACACAGCAGACGTTGCTTCACCCAAATCTCGCATCAGCTGAATGAGGTTCTCCACCATCGCGGGCCGCTGTGGTCCTGCAGTGTGTGGCTGATTCGGTCGACTATGAGACTCCGGAGGACTGCTCGCAGGGGTCAAAGCATTGATCATGACCTCCATAACACGCTTAGGGTCATCGAGGGCGACGATCTCGCGCCTCGCAAGCTCTGCTTCCGTCTCTGGCCGTCGAGTGTCAATGGCAGTCATCCTCGGGCTGGCTTGGCTTGGGCTAATATGCGACGTTGGACCTCGCGGGAATGGAGAGTGTGCCGAGATGACTGCGCGACCCTTGTTGAGGCCAATGAATCGATGACGCTCAATCGCAGTCAACTCCTCGTCATTGCCGTCGAGATGGATCGGCTCGCCTTGGTAATCGACGGCAGGAACGTAGCCGTGTCGTCGAGCCTCGAGGTCTTCTGCAGAAGAAGCTTGTGGTTGATAGCCGGGTGTGTGTTGTTCCATGACGATTGCTTTCGAAAGCAGACCATAGACCCAGAACGCCAGAGCGGCGTGGTAGAGGGCCACAGCGTTGAAGTCACGTAGCCAAGGCGTATCGGGCGTGGCCGTTCGAGATGCGTTCGGGCTCAGTCCAGGAGGTCGTCGAGCAGCGCGCAAGACTTGTCCGGCATGCCACATCGCCTGTCGACATTCGGGCGAACGATACCACTGCTTCAAGAAAGGATAGACTCTTCGAGCTTCTTCCTCGCCTTCCTTCCCTGCGAGCAGCTGAAGATCCTCGAACGCGACGCAAAGATTCATGCGCAGCAGTTGAGATACCATGTGGACCTCCTTTGGCACGAACACACGCCAATTCTCGATTGCCACGTAGAATGAGTCCAGCAGTCGCCGTAACTCTTGACATTTTGACGACGCCAAGAGTGTCCCTGCCCACGGAAGATCACATGATGCCTGCGCCTTGTTTGCCGAGCTGAGTTGTGTGTACTCCCAAGCCAGGCACCAATGGCTCATAAGCACGAGGTACAGAGTGAGTTCCAAATCGATCTGATGGCGAACCTGTCCCATGGTCTGCGCGTCGCACATACTCGAAACAAACGACGGCAATTGCGCGTTCGCAAGTTTGTGAAAATTGTACTGATCGCGCCACTCCTCCGAGGTCTTAGCACGCCAGAGTGAAGCCGGCGATGGCAGGTCCAAGGTGATCTCGGCATATGATATGAGCGGTGGTGTTTGGAATGCGATCGATACCTGGACGCAATGTAGGAATACATGGTAGGCCAGACGTTTGTGAGATTCTGCTTCGATCCATGCCTTCCATTTACGATCCAACTCTTCCGGTGAATCGCTTGGCAGAGGCGCTTGAGGTGGCGCTCGGGTTTTCTTGAATGCACCCGCTCTACGAAGCATCGTGACTAGCGGGGGTATAGCGCTCTCAGCGAGTTCCATGGTCCGTTTGTTACCGCTCCATGTGCCAATGAGGAGAGAAGTGGCATATGCCTGCAACGCTGGTAAGCTCCTTGTATTGCTGTTGTCGCGCTCGAATAGCTCCCAATTTGCCACACGCGCTTTGTCTTGGAGTGCGTAGCCGAATTTCTGAGCATGACTTGACCTGCCCAGTATGGCGCCGGCGGCGATCATTAATGTTAAGAATTCTGGAATGGTCTCACTTGGTCTGCAGGAAGGGATGTGAATCCAGCCGTCTATACTGTGCTCCATAGTCAAAAGGTAGTCGTTGAGAAAGACGTCAAGGACTCTGCATCGAATCAGCCTTGCAAGAGGTTTAATGCTCAGGCATAATCATGCACTTACCGAGGAGAAGGAAATAGCGCCACGATCTCCTGATAGTTCTGCTTATCACAGCCAGCGAGCAGAAGCGCAACGATTCGATCGCGCCCTTGCTGATCCATAGGAGGGACCAAAGCAATCTGTCGCGGTCTTGGTACTTTGTCCGGACCATGGCTTTCCACCAAGACAGAGGTCAGGTTGTGATCTTGATTGCCTTTCTCGTGGTTGGGAACCCATATCCAAGCCGATCGACTATAAGCTGCGGATCCAAGATTAATGCTGTCGCCGATTGAAGGCGTGCTGACATCTGAGACCTGATCTAATCGTCCTGTTGGCCCATCTATAGATGTGGAAACCAATGCAGGATCTAGCCACGGCGCCCAATCGCCAGAGAGAACGGCGTTCAGATCATTGAAATCCATGCTTAGATCCTGGCTGAAGTCCATGAGGTCTCGAGAGTTGAAGTTTTGGTTCCACGCAAGATTTGACGACGAATGCAGTGACTGTGCAAGCGGCCGTGTCCTCTGATCCGTCCCTTGGGTTGGATGTATAACGGAGCTCAAGAAGGATGTCAAGGATGGATCTTCTGGAGCCGGTGGACCGTTTGTGGGCCCATTAGCCATGGTACTCGGTCTTGTCATTGGTGCAGTAGGCGTAGACACCATGGGCCTAGGAATGTAATACTGCATAGGCGGAGGATGAACATCGCTGGGGCTTTGCGAGGTTTCTGGTGGCGTTGACCAGTGATTCGGAGAAGGGGGCTGCTCATCTGCTCGATGTGCGGACGTTGAAGGTGCATTGTCGACCCGACACTCTAGACCTTTGGTTTGACATCTTTTGCATGGCTTTTCTTGGTCGCACTTGACCTTGATAATCGCACATGCGGTGCAAGCTTGCGAGGCGCGGATCTTTCGTTTCTTGCCGCTCTGTCCTGTCGAGCTGTGCAATGCGGCGTGTCGTTTCAGTAGATCTCTGTCGTTTGGTGTTAGCCTCTTCTGAGTTAATGTACAATAGCCTGCACTCGGATACAATACACGCAGTGCGTTAACAGAGACTGGGCATCGCGGACGGGACAGAGTCTTGAATGGCGTAAGGCCGGCATCAGGCTGCGTCACCCGGTAGGATGGTATCGCACATCAGATGCTGTCGTCGGCCGATGTGGAAGTGGATCATCGGAGGGAAGCAGGATATAAGCTATTATCACTTACGCTCGTGCAAATGTCTTCCCGCATTCTACGCATTTGAAAGGCTTCTCATTCGTGTCTGAAAGCTCGTCTGTCAGCTGTGGAAGTCCATCATGGCTGGCAGAGCGGCTTACGGCTACGGAAATGCCTAGCGAGATGATCTATTCTCCCATACGTTTTGTGGCATACGTTGCATACGAAAGGATTCCTGCCATGTCCTTCAGAAATGGGAGCAGTACCACCACTACCTTCAGCAGTGGACATGATCACGTGTCCCTGCAGCGACCTGGTGCTGTGCTCCCGATGCTTTGTCACAGCGGCCGAGGCATGCCGTTGTGCTTGCATGTTCGACGTGCTTCCGCGCGGTCGCTGGGGAGCAAGACGGGTGAAGTGGAGAGGAATTTGGCATCACTTACAACACAGGCGCTTTTCGGGCACTCGTATTGCTTGATCTGTTTCCCGAGCCCTAGTCTAACCTAAAACCACGATCGGCGGTTCCTAACAAAATTGCGAAGCGATAATTCTAGAGTCTCCTTAGACATCTCTAACTAGATAATACTGCTACTACTACTAGCTATAAAGCTAAAGGAGTTATTTTTAAAATAGTAATATAGTAAAATTAAAGATATTATTAGTATTATACAGACAAATATACTAAATGCTAGTACTCTATATATTTAAATCTAATTAGATTGCAGTCTATAGCATTAAATTATATACTACTAAATATAATACTATATGTATTTACTTAGTCTTCTAATAGTAAAACTACTAGTACTAAATACTAGTAACTACTAGTACTTATAATACTAGCCTTTCACATATCTATAGTAGTTTTAAGTTAGAACTTTTAGTTTCTACTATACTTATAGCTATATAAAAGAACTAAGTATCTAATCTTTCTTAATAGTAATAATACTAACTAAAATTATAAATATATTATAGAGTATATTGTATAGAGAAATTATATAGCCAAAAGCATATTGGTATGGAGGTAATTCTATGTTCGTTCCAGTCCCAGGGCTCGGGGAAGAGATCAAACTTATGCCGTAAGATGACTTGCATTGTCTGCGGAGAAAATTCGCCTTGTCTACACCTTTCCACAGCCGACTCCATTTCGGTTTCAGACAATCTCGCCGCATAAGCCTGACAACGCGGCTGCCAAGACGACGGCGACGATGTTCTTCTGGAGACGAAACCGAATCGCACGTCGTTGAGACGCTCTGATCTGCGGCATCCCGCCTTCTGCTGCCCTGTCCGGCGACTCCTCGGGTGATGGAAATCGGAATATCAGGTAGACTGGCTGTTTTGTAGGCCGGCGATGTGCAGGCAAGAAATCAGCGAAGAAGAACGAAAGAGAATTTGTGGCTTTCCTGTGGTCCAGAATTTCACTGCCGGAGTGAAGAGGTCCACTCCAGCCGGGCGCGAAAGTTAGAAACCACAAGGTGAAATGAAGACACTGGACTAGCGGTCAACAAGGCTTTCGAAAAGCAGACGTTGGATGATTGCGATTTGCGCCCCCAAATCTCATAAACAGGCAACTCCGCCAATCTCCCCACAACATGATGCAAAGTCGGCAGCTGATCCCAAACCAACCCATCAATCTCAAACCTCGCACTCTCCGCCACCCACAACCTTTCCGCTCGAGGCTTAGGCTCAGCCTCCGCGAACCGATCAAAACACGCATAATCCGCTTCCGCCAAACCTTTGTTCTTCCTCCCGGTAGCAGGAATATATCTGTGTACAAGAATTCCATCATCAGCTTCACCGGAAATCGAGCCCGTGGAGGTCGCGGGATCGGATTCGTGGAGGCCGGAGAGGTGGAAGGAGCCCCAAGTCGCGCCTTGCCAGGAGGTACGGATGTGGTAGCTTTGAGTGCGGCGATGGACGTCTATGGCGGAGTAGAGTTTCGGCATGCCGAGTTCTTCGCGGCCGCTGACGATGGGGTCGGTGAGGGATTCGAAGAGGATGGGCATATAGGTTCCTGAAACGCTGGTGCTGTCTTCGTCGGGTTTCGTGTATTGTACGCCGTGGATGTAGAGGCCGATGTGGTTGTAGCCGGAGCCGCCGAGCCATTGCATTTTGTTGAGGGTCGTTTGGGAGAAGGAGGCGTAAGCGATTGTGACGGGAGTGGTGAATTTGTAGCCCGATCGACCGGGTGGGAAAAGGTTCTGGAGAGCGGTTTTGGAGGCCTTGAAGCGGATGCTAGCGGTTATGAAGGTGCTTTGTGTTCCGTCTCGGGGGAAGCCGTAGTGGTTCTGACGAGGGCCGGGCATGGGTCCGAAGGCGAGTTGCATGCGCCAGTATTTGTTGGGGATCTTTGACCATTGATACTCTCGGAAACGCTGGGCTGAATCGTCGAACTCGTCGTGGCCGAAATTGTAGGCTGTGAATTGGGACATGTCGAGATTGTTCTTATGGAGGTTGTCAGAACCAATCAGGCGAGAGGACGTCTTGATCTTGGTTGGTTGTGTCTAATTTGGTCGTATAGTGCTAACCTTGCTGCAACTTCTGTTACCGGGGTTCCAAGAGGCAGTACGGTAGCCAGTGCTGCGGCATCCTCGATGGCGGCTCCTGCGCCTTGTCCGTGGTGAGGCAAGAATGGATGCGCTGCATCACCAATCAGCGCCAGGCGGCCTTTATTCCACGCAGGTATTTCCTCCATGTCCAGCAGCGTCCAGATCTTGAGTGTTTCCGGATCGGCCTTCGATATCATAACCAACACAGAAGGCTCAAATCCGCCAAACACTTTGAGCATGGCTTCGAGGCTGGCGACATTGTTCCAATCTGAGACCGCGTTCAGCTCTGATGTAGGATGAATGGCGACAAAATTAAGAAGTTGGTTGTTGGAGCACGATACGGCGGTCTTCAGCATACCAGATCTTCACCTCGCCCAAGTCGTCCACCATGTGTGCTGTTGCTGGATCGCTCTTGAAAGCCTCTCGAGGTATCAAGAATCGGAACGCGCTTTTGCCGCAGCTACATGGCTTGGCATCTGGCGGAATTCGTGTGCGAGCCACGGAGTGGACACCGTCAGCTCCAACTATTACATCGCCTCGAATAGTTTCGCCATTCTCCAAGGTCAGTGAGCCCTCGGTTTCATCCACAGCCACGACTTTGCTTGCCGTCAACAATTTACAAGGTCTGCCTTTTCCCGTAGGTGCAATTGCCGCTCGCTTCAATGCTTTATGCAGGTGGATTCTGTGAGCTGGGTGCCAGGGATGTTGCTATATCTTGTTCGGCTCTGTTCCCGCCTTTTCGTCAAACCCTGTATTTGGTCAAATAGGGCTTATTCTATGCCTCGAGTCCAGTTAATTAAAAGCGCGATATTTCGTTAAATGAGACCTTTAAGTAAGTAACTTCTGTAGTAGATTAGACTAGTCGATTAAGGTATAGATTAAGGTATAGAAAGTAGACTAAAACGGCTATATAGAAAGCTGTAAATATAGCATATAGACTAAGAGCGGTATACTAAGAATAATACGTCTATATCTATATCTAAGAGCGCTCGCTTATTGTTATTATAGTTAATAAATAATCTAACTCTTCCGTAGCTGTCTATCTAATAACTTCTTTACTATCCGCCTCTTCTAAACGCCTACTAGTACCTGTTCTATTGCCGCCTTCTTAGTAGGCTTCTTAACGCGCCTTCCGCGGCCCTTCGGTAACGAAGACAGTAGTATTAGTTGTAGTAGCGCCTCTTCGACTATTAGAGCGACTAGAGATACGCAAGGTTATTAAGTTAGCGTATCGTCTTCGGTAGGTAGACTGCTACTACGAGGCGCGCCTTTAGTCTTAGTAAGGTTGTTATCGAAGTTAAAGTTACTAAAGTCGCCGAAGTCGTTATCGTCGCTATTGCTATTACTACTGCCTAAGAAGCCGTTAAACTCGTCCGAATACTAGCTATTACTATCTAATTGCTCGTCGTTAGAATAGCTATAGTCTAGGTCTTCTATATTGCTATAGATATTAGCAACACCGTAGTAAAGGTTAGAGTATAGATTTCCGGCCTTTCTATAGGTATAGGTCTTGTTATTATAGCCCTTAATATAGCGACAACTCGTACGGCTATAGAGAGGTATATATGCTTGCCTTTTTAAAGTATACGAGAGTATAACTTCGCTGTTCTTAGAGCCTTAATAGCAAGACTAATTTGTATAGTTATATTCTATTAGAAAGAGGTTGCGCGTATAATAATAGCCTAGCAAATAACCCTATAGTATAAGCACTTTATAGAGGTTAGTTAGGTTACTATCGTCGTCTTCTCGTCGCTTAGTAATCTAGCAAACGATAGACCGAGGGCTACTAACAATACGATAACGCTTCGGAATAGCGACTCTAACGAGGTTACTAACGTTAAAGACTCGAGGCTAAGCCCTTCTACTATAGCAGCGATCGGCCTTGTTATTCGTAGAAGCCTAGTTTATAGAGATTAAGTCGTCTAGAATGCGCCTATTCTCGTTAATCTTAATAGACCTGCTAGCGCTAGAAATATAGACTATACGGCGCGCCTTAGCCTCTTAATAGGCAATACTATTATACTATAAGGTAGTCGCGTTGTCTAGTCCTATAGAAGGCGCGCGAGTGTCGTTCTCGAAGTTAGCGATATAGCTATTAATGTAAGAAGGGTATGTTAGCAGGTAGATAGGGTAGTAGTAGGTATAGGTAGTATTCGATAAGGAACTAGGAGGAGAGGGAGGAAGGTAGGCTAGTTAGCCTACTGCTAAGCGCCAAGCCCTACCTAAGGCATCGAGACCCTAGCTTTACTCGAGCCCGGTTACATACTAATTACGTATAACCTCTTTAGTCCTAATATACGCTTCCCTTCTAAAGGCCGCGCCCTCGTAGCTAGTCTTTGTTCTAGTCTCAACCTCTATTGCTGCTAACTTAGTAGGTCTAATAGGCCGCTTAGTCTGCGCTAAATTAAACGTATAACTACCGATTATATAACTATATTAAACCTTACCTCTAATATAGCATAATGTCTAACTCTAACTACGCTATCCCTATATATAATAAACTATAAAGTGATATATATCTATAAGAATTAAGGGCCTTCGACTAATTACAATACGAGCGCGTCTTCCCTACTATAATAGGTAGACGTACGAGGTATTGTAGCACTGCCTCCGTTCTAAGTAATGTCGTATCGAGTTCTTTACGTCTACTCTTAAAAGACCTAGAAATGTCCGCTTCTAAGGGTTGTTCTTATTATTACGAGGGATTGTTCTTATTGTTACGAGGGCTATTATTTACTATCGTAGTTTCACTAGCCCCAATTAGTTAGGTTTAGCAGCCTTTAAGTGTTAACTAATTATATCTTTTTAAAAAACTTAGTTCTTCTAGTTTCTATAGGTAAAGGCTATTATAAGTGCAGTAGTAGAGGTTTACCTCGCTTAAAGGGTCGGAAAGATCGAGGAGTAACCTATTGTCCGCAAGATCGACCCCGGCTAGCTTAGCTCTATAGTTTTGCCCTTAGTTAGTCTATTAGTCGCTCAATCTTTTAGGCGGCTTAAAGTTTTAACTTAGCCTTAAAGTTTTAATTAAAGTTTTAATTAAGGTGCCTTAGGCTCGTAGTACAGGTAAGGTTGTATCTATAGGCGTAGTAATAATAGCAAGTAATATTAACAATAGCGGCGCTAGTCGTCTTAGCGCTAACTTTACCTTCTTCTAATTTCCTTCTTTAACTAATAACAACTCGGCAATACCGTTACTAATATAGCGGTGTCCTTCCTTTCTCGAATAGCAACACACCCCGCAACACTGTTACTAATATAGCCGCGCCGGCCGCGCCGTCCTCGCCGATTGCCTAGGCCTCGAGGCCTCGACGGAATAAGGGAACAAGAGGGGGACCTATAGGGCGCGTTAGTAAAGAGGTAGAGTCCTTAAAAGAGCAGGCAATTAGTTAACGCGTCGTAGCGCGCTTATTAACACTCGGTGCGCGTTTACTATAGTAGTATAGTCTTATTGTCTCTTATTGCTAACAATTGCTTGTAGCTAATTAGTTAGCTAATAGTACCCCGGGGGTAGCATTAATCCTAGGCCTTAATAGTAACATTATAAGCTTTTAGCCTTCTTCTTATTCTTTACGCTAGTCTAATACTTATCTAACAACTCGGTTATGTCTTTAAAGGAACCTTTAGCTTCCTATAAGTCCTATTCTAGTAAATAGCCTTACTATCTTAATAGGTACTCCTTCTTGCCCTTCCTAGTCCGGTACTATAGGATACGTTCTATAGACTACAGTTCTTTACTATCCGCTAGTATGTCTTCGTGTTTAGTAGAGGCTTCATCCCCCTCGCGTAGGTAATATAGCTTAAGGAGGGATATATAGAAGGTATTATAGATAGTATAATAAGGTAGAAGCTATAACTAATAGGCCTAAGCGGAGGAGCCCTTAACTTCTCGAATACGGAATAGACTAATGTATCTTAGTACGAGCTTAGGCCTTATTTTGCCGTTAGGTAATAGGTGCTTGCGGATGCGGAGGTTCTTAGTGCTTAGTATAACTATATCGCCTTGCTTAAAGGTTATTAGCGTATAGTGTTTGTTATAGTAGGCCTTCTAATAGGCCTAGGCCTTTGCTAGTTTGTTAGCTATCTTAGCGTAAATTTCTCGCATCTTTTAAACCCTCTTAATAGCTACTAGTGTCTCTAGTACTTAACGCGCTTCCCTTTCCTTGCGCTCGGCCTCGAGCGATAGTAGGTCTTGTAGTATAGTAGCATTCTAGCCTATTATAGCTATATATAGTAACACCTTAGTCGAAGAGTAGACACTGTTATTATACACGAATTTAGCTAGTTATAGGAGGTTAACCTAGTCGTTAGGGTTCTCGTTAATATAACTACGTAGGTACTACTATAGGGTAGCATTCTACCTCTCTGTTTGACCGTTAGTCTATAGATAGAAGGCTATTAATAGCCGATGCTTTAGTCTTAGCTGCAAGCAAATCTCGCTCTAATAGTAAGATATTAGTATCGATCTACGATCGGACACAATCCCCTTAGGGGTTCCCTAATAGGTGCAGAAGATGTTAGTCTATAGCGCCTCTGCTATATTAATAGCAGTCTAATCCTTGCGCGCTAGGATATATCGAGCGCCTTTAGTAAATCGATCTACTATAACAAGGATAGCATTATATACGTCCTTACTGCCCCTACGCTTAGTAGGAGGAAGGCCTATAATAAAGTCTATTATAAGCTTAGCAAAGGGCTTCCTAGGAATAGGAAGTGAAGACAACTCGCTAAATAGTAAGTGCTTTAGTACTTTAACTCGCTAGCATATTGTATAGGTCTGTATATACTCCTTTATATACCGCTTACTATTTAGCTAGTAGTATGTACGCGATAGTAACTCGTACGACCTCTCTATGCTATAGTAACTAGCGAGCTCACTATTATAGTGCCTCTTTAAAAGCTCTTGTCTAATCGATTGTTTAGCGGGGATATAGTATCTGCCCTTAAACTTTAAGTAACCCTTGTCGTCGATCGACTAATTGTTGTTACTCTTACTAGATCGAGTCGTTCGCCTACTTATAAGCTTATTAATACGTTCGATAGCAAAGGCGTCCCTCTGCTAAGCCCGTAATAGCTTATCTATAAACGATTAACTATCCCTATTTGCAAGGTTATTTAATAGCACCCTCGCTATTAAACGAGGTACGCATTATATGCATCTAATAGCACTAGCAGCCGGAACTACTACAACCTCTTCTATAGTACTGTCGCTATAGATAGCAATATCTTTAATCGAGTTATTATAGCTCGAGCGATCTACGTCCTTCTTAATATGCACTAGAAGAACGATAACTCCGCTATAGTATTTGTTACCGCCGCGGGGTCCGGAAGTCCGCTTATCCTACGCTTGCTTATTAACAATACGGGCTATAGCAATCTTATACTATAGGGTTAGAAACAAAGAATTGATATATTAGGTCTCGCTATCGTAATTAGGTCGCCTCGATAGGCTATCGGTAGAGTTACTTACGCCTAGCCGGTATAATATATTAAAATCGAACCCGGCGAGGTAGACGGCCTATCTAGCCTATCGACCTATAACCCTTATAACCTTAGTAATGCTACGCAGGTTGTTATAGTCTATATAGACCTAAATTGTATGCTAAGCACTATCGAGATAGTAGCGCTAATACTTAAAGGCTTCTACGATTGCTAAAAGCTCTTACTCGTAGGTCTTATATCGACGTTCTATATCGATTATCTTTCGTAAAAAGAAGGCAATCGGGTACTAGTAATAGTTATTATCTAATTGCTGTAATATAATAGCCGATATAGCGAACTGTAAAGCGTTAGTCTCAATTCGGATCTGCTTGCTTAGTACGAAATAGTGCAATAAGGGGACATTAGTAAAGCGTTGCTTTAGGCCGTTAAAAGCGGCTTATGCTCTATTAGTCTATTTGAACTCTCTAGTTAGGTTGGCCTTAGTTTTAGTAAGCTTAGTTAGGGGTATTATATGCCGTAAATAGCCCTTAATAAACCGACGGTAGAAGTTAGCGAAGCCGAGGAACGACTATAGCTCCTTAATTAACGTAGGAACAGGCTATTTAGTAATGGTTTTAATCCGATTAGGATTAGCCTTAATACCCTCGGTTGAAATAAGGAAGCCGAGGAATAATATCTCTTTAGTAGTAAAGGTGCATTTAGAAGGTTTGCAATATAGTCTATAGGCTCGTAGGCGGTCGAGGACCTTACGCACTACGGCCTAGTATTCTGCAATATTAGGTAAATGTATATAAACTAGGATGTTATCTAGGTAAACTATATAGAGATAGTCTAATAGGCCCGAAAGGGCCCGATTAATATAGGACTAGAATGTAGCAGGGGCATTAGCTAGCCTAAATAGTATAACTAAGTACTCGAAATAGCTATAACGAGTGCAAAAGGCTGTCTTCTATTTATCGCCCTTACGAATACGGATACGATAGTACGCATCCTTAATGTCTAGTATAGTATAGAAGTAGGCACTAGAAAGGCGATCGAGAGTCTTATTAATAAGCGGAAGTAGACAGCGGTCTTTAATAGTAATAGTATTAAGTCCGCGGTAATTAATACATAGGCGTAGGCTACTATCCTTCTTTAGTACGAATAGGATAGGGGCGCTAGCAGGGCTGTTACTATACCGTATCCGGCTATTAGCTAGGTTTTCCTCTAGATACTTACGCAATATAGTAAGCTCTCGTTTACTAAGGTTATAGAGGAGGCTAAAAGGAACCTCCTTGCCCTCTGTAATGTTAATCTTATAATCCGTCTCTTTAAATGTAGGCAATGTCGATGCTAAGTAGTATTTAAACATATCGATATAGGTCTCTTAGATAGGTTCTAGTATACGAGTAAGCTAATTAGGATTATTAGGGGGCATAGGTTTATCGTTATCACTACCGAGCAGATCGGTAGTCGGATTAGCTAAGGCGGAGGCTAGTGTTAGGTTGCTAATAAATAGGACCCTAATATCGTTAGGGCACTCGCTAACATTAATATATTTAATGTCCTCTTTCCTAGCGATTCTAAATCGCTACTTCTAGAGGCCTAGGTCTATAGCTATAGCGTAGTACTTAAGAATAGGGTTGCCGATAACAATAGTAGCTCTCCTATAAAGGTTGTCTATATCTACTATATAGGCAGTAAAGTCTAGTAGGCGTTCATTTCCGAGGTCGTCCTTTAGAGCTATAGGAACATAGTAGGCCCTATAGGTTAAGTGCCGAGCGTTATTAAACCAAGCAAGGGTTAGCAGGTCAGTCCTCGGCAGTTGTCGAAGGTCTAATTGCTTAGCTAGGCGATAGCTAATAAGGGCACTAACTAAATTTCCTAGATCTAGTATAACCTTAGTTTAATAGCTAGTGCCCTTCGTATCCTATATAAGGTAGGAGCGTATTATAGCTAGCACAATGTCGATAGTCTTACGCCGTATAAGGCTAACAGTTAGTGCGGCGCTTACTCTTTTTTCGACTAATTAAAAGAGCCGACTAGGGTAGCGTTAGCGGCTGAAAGATGTTTCCTATACTCGGCGGAAGCACGGTTAATTCGGGCCTAGTCCTTAGGTTTGTCGCATTAGCCTAGTAGATAGCTAGTACTATTATAATTGAAGCACTTCAATCCGGTTAGTAGACTGCCGTAGCTGTTATTGCTATTGTTAGCCGAGCGGTTAGCATTATAGGGATATAAGCCCCTTCTACGGCCCCTATCGCGGCCTCCTCTATATAGCCGCCGGCTACGGCCTCTTCTACGGTCGTTGTTACTATTCCTATTATTAGCACTATTGTCTTAGTAGGAACCTTGATTTCCTCCGCAGCTACTACGGTTGCTACGGTTAGTACTAGCTAGTCGGATCCTTAATTCTAGTCGTTACTAAAGCTAAACAGCTCGTTTAGCTGTTTCTACTTTAACTATAAATTGAATACGTATTAGATTAGCCTGTTCGAATACGCGACGGCGGTCTAATTCGAGAATAAGCTCCTACCTAAGCTTAGGGCGTATTTCCGAGATCTATATAGAATTAGTCTTAGGCGGAAGGTCGTTTTTAAGGGTTTTTAAATAGGCTTTAAATAAGCGAGCCGATTAATTAGTCTTCTATTTAGCTCGAAGATATAGGTCCTAAGCATGTTATTACCTTAGTATAGTGTTTCTAAGGGTGTCTAGCATAATAGTTTTGTAGGTTTGCTACTAAATAGCAGTCTAGTTATTAAGGGAGTCGAAATGGTTATCCTATATACGCTTTAGGTCGCTATTAATGTACTGCATAGCGTATACGACTAAGGAATAATCGTCTAGTAGCGCTCTTAGTACATTGCGCTAGTTAAGCTTATAGTCGCGAATGTAGTCGTTATATTGCTTGCGACTAGAGCTATTAAACACGGTACAGTCCTTAAGCTTAGCGTCCTTCTTTTAGACTAGTAGTAAGGAAGGCCCTACTATTAGCCTAGTAGTAGTTGTTAGGGCTTCCTAAAGGCGACGGAGCTCGAGGAGGTTATCCTTTAGCTATTATTCTTAACGTAGGGCAGTAAGCCTATTTTAAGTAGCTTCTTAAAGTCTCCCTAATAGTTAAGGGCTAAAGGCTAGTTAGCTATATCGTCGATTAACAATGTTATTAAGAATATCGCTAATAGGCAATTCCGGATTATTACCTAGAATTATAGGTTCTTCTTTAGTAGGCTCTCCGGCAGGCTCTTTAGTAGGAGGCACTTTAGTAGGCAACGTGCTACTAGAGTTATTATTGCTAGCGCTACTAGCGGCGCCGCGGTTATTGTTGCTTCGTAATAAGCCGGCTATTGCAATAAGGGGTAGCACCGATAATATATTATAGGCCCCTAAAATACGGATATAGCGGAATTAGTAGATATCGGCTTAGTACGATTAATTTAGTATAATAGGCCGTATAGAAGGCCTTGCTTAATAATTGGTACGGTTGTTTTAATAGAATAGTACGTATAGGTCCCGTTCTTTAGGCGTAATATAGTTAAATCGATAGTTTTCGTAGCTATACCGCTAAAAGCTTGAAATAAGGACTATCTAGCTACTGCCCTTAAAGGGTAAATCGAATACTATATAAGAAAGGTATGTTAGCAGGTAGATAGGGTGGTAGTAGGTATAGGTAGTATTCGATTAGGAACTAGGAGGAGAGGGAGGAAGGCAGGCTAGTTAGCCTACTACTAAGCGCTAAGCCCTACCTAAGGCATCGAGACCCTAGCTTTACTCGAGCCCGGTTACATACTAATCACGTATAACCTCTTTGGTCCTAATAATTAAATTTAACGTTATATACGTCCGCTAAGGCCGTAGAAATAGTAGTAATTAAAGCCGTATCGTCGTCGTCTATGTTGCTAACCTAATTAACTAGTTTAAGCTCGTTCTCGTTAAACAGAAGATCTACGTTTCCTTTATTAGCGGCCTGCCGATACTCGTCGCTAATAGTAGGCTAGTTAGTAGGAGGGTTACGATTAAAGAAGGCCTTAAAGGGTGTTATCTTAATCGCTAAGTGCTACGTTAAATTGTAGATCCGTATAGCCTTAATAGATGCGGCAACCTAGCCTTTAAGACCTAGCTGTATCTTTATAGCGGCAATTCGCTTCTTAAGGACCCTATTCGCCTATTCTGTAAGGCCTTACGACTATAGATAGTATAGAGCGCCGTAAGCTATCTTAATGCTATAGGACTCGATTAGCTTCTTAGTAGCCCCCTTAAATTCTTTGCCGTTATCTGTTTAGCAGAGCTCTGCCTAGCTAGTAAAGGAGGCTAGGTCCTGTATACAGAATGCGATCTCTGAAGACTCCTTTATTGCTAAGGTATACGTCTTCGAGAACTTAGTCTTATAGTCTTCAACGTATAGTATATAGATATAAGGACTATTAGGTATACTTAAGAAGTCGACAAGGTCTATTTAGATACGGCTAAGGACCTTAGAAGTGCGAATGTAGTCTAATAGAATACAGGTCTTCGAAGAAGGTGCCTAGCGAAGGAGGGTACACACTCGATAGTAGCGTAGCACTTCTTTAATATCCCTCTTTATTATATCTTAGAAGCGTATATTAATAAGTGCCTAGATAGGTCTACGCCTTCCGTAAGCTATTAAATAGTGCTTAGTCTTTAGAACCTAGAAGATCTCGTACTCTTAAATAACCTATATAGCAGGCTTCCCTTCCTTCTTAATATACATTAATCGGCTCTTCTTAGTATTATAATAGAAGCGCCTTAAAGCCTACCTTCTTTCTTAGTATTCCTACTCGCTTATCTCGTTATAGCGTAGCAACTTATCGACTAGTATTATAACCTATCGGATAATGCGTAAATAGCGCTCTCGAGTATAGCGTTTCCGAGTATTATCGTAGGTTCTCGAGAGATACGTAGCGAACTAGACTTCGGCGGAAACGTCGAATAGCTCGATATTTTACTACCTCTCGCCGCTAAGAAGAGTCGGAATAACGGTCTAAGGTGTTACTAGTCGTATAATAGGCCGTATTAGAGTATTGCGGTTACGGCGGAGGTTGTTAAGGCGGCCTTATAGCGATAATAGACGAGGAAGAGGCATTATCGTTATTAGAAAGTAGTAGATTATCGCAAAGTCGATTTAGGCTTTATAACGCCGGAGGTTCTCGCTTAGTCGTACAATATCGTATAATGCTTATTTTTAGATAGGTTAACGCCTATATCTTATATATCGCTACTATAATAGTCCGGACTCTGTATTATTTAGTTATAGTAATAGTTATAGTAGCGAAGGGTATAGTCGAGAATCGGCTTCGCGAAGGCCGAGCTACTAAATTCAACCTCGGAAATTGCCCTCCTTGCCTAGCAATACCGAGAACTACTAAAACAATACACTAGAGCGCTATACGGTAGATAGAATAGCGCCGATTTAATTAACTAAACTGCCGAGCTAAGATAGGCTCTATTTGATTAAATTGTTAGACTAATAGGCTATATTTGACCTAATAAGCCTTAGGACCTATAGGCGATAACAGCTCCCGTAAGTTAACACTCTTTGTAACATTGCCGGCATAATTCATCTCTGTAAGCTTATATATAAGGTTCGAACCAAAATCTTCCGCTACTACACCTAATCTGCGGAGAACTCTATTACTGTTAGGAGCAAGATAGACAGCGGCACCTAGCTCTAAGGCGAATTGTAATCGCTCGAAGATTTTCACATTATGTCCTCGTTGCCGCAACGCGATAGCTGCGGTAAGGCCGCTAATACTAGCACTAGCAATTAGCACTGTAAGGACAGGATCGTTGTGTTTGTTGCCGCTATTCGTGGTTTCTGTACTATTCAAATGTGGGCCGTTCGTTCTATTGTCATTTATAGCAGGCTCAACCTAATATGAGTATTTCATCCTTAATTAGGAAATCAAAGTAGCAATGCAACTGTAGCTAGCAGCGATTAGGAATAGTAAATTACAGCCCTCACCTGCTCGAAGATAAAGACAAAGTAGCTAGTGTAATTCAGAGCACAGTGCCGCCTCTCCGCCGCAATATGCCTAGCTTATTCGTTTAGAGGTTAGTTCGGTCCCGGTAATTCTGCTTTCCTAGACGTTAGATAGAGCCTGCACTAGTCAGCGGCAACACGTTAGATGCTTCGGGTTGCGGCAGGCATTGGACGGTGCTCTATATATCGAGTACAAGTTGTAAAAGCTCGGGTCTACCGCTATCGGAAGCCCCCCCGTCTCTTCCCTAAGCCCTAGCTACCTACCCGAGCCCTAGTATAACCCGAGGCTAGCACTATTATAGAATCGCCTCTATATTAATTTACGCCTAATATAGGCTGTTTCTATTCCTAGTTAGTATTATTAATAGGCGCGCAGCGCGTTACCTAGGAAGTCGCGCCTCGGATTCTACTACAAACCTAAAATCCGCATTTCTTCCCCCTTTTGTAGTAGATTGCCTAGTAACTATCGAAAATGGCTAAATCTCTACTATACGACGAGTTTCTCGATAATGTTATCGCCGGCGGCAGTAATAGTAGTAATAGCGTAGTAGCGGCGGCGGTAGTAGTAGAGGGCGCGGAAATAGTAGTAGAAGGCGCGGAAATAGTAGTAGAAGGCGCGCTCTCGGCGGCGGTAGATATTAAGTCGTAGGAAGAGGTTTAATTAGTCTCGGAGATACGTATTCGAGGTTGTAGTCGCTTACTAAACCTACCTCGCGAGCGTATCGCTTTGTCTAATAATAGGTTAGTATCGCTACGGCCTTAGAAGCACCTATTCTCGAAGAAGGCGCGCCGCCGTAGACCTATACTACTCGAGTCTAAATTCAGGTCTTACTAGGCGCTAGTAGACTATATTAATAACTTTAGTAAGACGAAGAGGTACGAGTTTAAGCAATACAAGCCGTAGAAGAATAAGAATAGTGCTAAATACCGCTATTTGTAGGTATATAGTTGCTACGGACAGCTAAATAAGCGTACCTAGAAGAACGACGAGTCGATAAAGAAGAAGTCTCGGTTAAAGAAAATAGGTTATTAGTTCTACTTCTACGCGGTTGCTATCGACCTAAGCTAACCTAAAGGTTAGTAGCAAATCCGCTATTCTAGTAAGGATAGTTACTACTATTATAACTACGAGAAGGACGATATTGTTACTCTTACTATATACCGGACTCGCTCGAGAACCGTCTAATTTCTCGAAGAATTAGAGCGACTATAGCACGCTCGGCTTCTAACCTCGAAGATTATAGCCTATTTCCGCGGTCGTAGTGTTATTCTTAAGCTACAAAACCTATATAATATTATATAGGCTCGTAATAGCAACGCACGCCGTAAGCGTAACTAGGTAGAGCGAATAATCGATTTACTAGACAAGAATAGTGTCTTCTATAAGATTTAAACTAACCCTAAGAACGGCTTAATTCGTTTAATAGTCGCTCTCTACCCTCGGTCGCTAGAAGCCTTTAAATATACGCTATATACTGTTCGTATCGACACTACCTATTCTACTAATATCTATAACCTCGAGCTCTTAGATATTGTCGCCGTAGGTCCTATAAACGACACGATTAAGCTCGGTATTAGCCTTATTAGACCGAAGCCTAATAAAGCCGATTTTATATAGCTATTAAAGGGTATAAAGAAGGGCCTCGAACAAGCCGGCTATACTATGCCTATTATTATAGCAACTAATCGTAAGGACTTACTAATACAGGCTATTACGGACATCTTTCTAGAGGCTAAACATATATGCTACGAGTAGCACCTGTAGCAAGACATGCTCGCTCGAGTCCGCAAAGAACGAGGCTAGTTTAGTTAGATTAAGGCTAATAGTTGCTAGATAGACAGTCTAGCAACTAGCTAATTTCTGAAGCTATTTACTTATACAATCTATAGTTAGTCCGAGGACGAGTTTAATAGCAACGTAAAGAAGCTCGACAACGTGTATCCTATATTTAAGGTCTATCTATATACTAATTAGTAGCGGTTTAAACGCAGTATTGTCGACTGCTAGACTAACGAAGTACTTTACTTTAGAACTAAGGCGACATTACGAGTTAAAGGTACATACGCACGTATTAAGTAATAGCTTAACTATAGCAGCCGCTACGATATCTTTACCCTCTTCGAGAGCCTAATTAATTAGTAGGTAGAAGGTTACGACCGACGGCGAGTCGCTCTTACTAAGAACCTAAAGCGGTATAATAAGGCACTTATTAGTCCCTTCTAGGCGAGTGTATCTCGCATTGTTAGCGACTATTGCCTTCTATAAGTAAAGGCTCTTTATATACGAGCTATTACCCTTCTAAAGACTACGACTAACGAGAATAGTAATAAGATTAAGCACTCGGCCTTCTCGTATAGCTATCCGTAGTGCCGCTATAACGACTATCTTAGCAAGACTTATAGTTATCCGTATCTATACGATATTATAAAGCTTCTTAAGATAGGCGGAAGCCGTGCTATACTATTGCCGAGCTACTTCTACGCTTACTAGCTTATCGACTTCTATAGGACCGTCCGGCTTCGAGAGCTAGAGATTATATATAGCAACTAGAAGCTATTAACTAGCGGCGCTACTCTATATATAACAAAGCGCGCCTTAACGGCTCGAGAGTTAGACGACTTAAATACCGGTACTATTGCTAAGAAGCAGAAGATAGCGATAGCAAGGACCGCTAAATTTACACTTAAGCCTAGCGTATCGCTTACTTAGTTAAGAACGACTATTAAGCACTATAAGTACGTAAAGAGCTAATGCCGTACTTAATAGTGTCCTTGCTAGAAGGCTAATCGAGCCTATAGCTCTACTTACTATCTAAGCGGCTTCGAGTACTATAATCTATAAGTCGAGTCTTTACTTCTAACCGCTCCGGAGCTACCTTCTAAGCTAGATTAACTTCGCCGAGAGATTAAGGACCTCCGAGTACGTAAGAACTAACGTCTATAGTTAGAAGAATAGTAGGCAAGATAATAGGCTAAATATAACCGCTAGTAGGCGGCGTTCTATAAGTAACAACGATAGCAGGCTGCTTAGTAACAGCACTACCGCTAGCAGTTATCGCTTATATAGCTAGTATAGCAGGTAATAAGCCCTCTATACTATAGTATCCTATAGCAATAGCACTATTAGTTTACTTAATAGCAGTATTATATACAATAGCTAGGTAGTTAGTAGCTAAGAGATTAGTATAAGCTAGCATATGCTGTATTACGTAGTTACAAGGCGGCAGGTCGTAACCCGCTTAGAAACGAGTAGATAGAGTGCTAACAACGTTAATAACACCTTACTTTTTGCTATACTACTGTTTTACTAACAATCTTTGGCTTTATGTTTGGTTGCCCGGCTAGCGGGGCCTGCAGCGACGCGATTATCCGCTTCTATACGCGATTTTGTATGGAACAGCCGATCTCGAAATCTCGGGTTATGCTGGGGCTCGGGTGGGTAGCTGGGGCTCGGGGAAGAGACGGGGCGGAAGCCCACCGGAAGCTGAGCTGGCCTGCAAGTACGCACCAGATACTCGGTGCAATTGTCTAACGAAAGAGCAGAGCGGCATTAGGACATTCGCTGCCGTATAAGCGGTTGTCAGAGGTCATCTTACCCTATTACACCTAGAAATGTCTGCAGAATAGCTCGGTATTCCGGGTTAGAACTGTACCGTTGGCATTGCTATCCAGCATAGCTTCGAAAAGTCCTATCCAAGCGAATGCCTCGAATTTTCAAATAACGCGCCGACAACCATTGAATCGTTCTAAACGTACCGAGAGAGAAGATGTCACCAAGCACGAGCGGCACAAAGACGTTGCCCGATAACCACCTTCCAAGGCCTAAGCGTTACATCACCACCCACAATCAAGATGCAGCTGCAACGTTTCCCGAACTCGAGCCCGAGCTGCCCCGGGAAGAGGTTGGAGGTGCAAAGGGCGGCGTAGCCGAAGATCGCTTCTCTCTCGCGTACGCCACGAATCAAGTCCCGGTGCAGTTAAGCTCGGACAAAGATGTCGAGCTGTATCAACAATTCCTCGAGAAGAAGCCAGGAATCACGACTCGTGGTGGTACTGTTCTGCGATATGTAGATCTTGCCCCAGGAGACACATCTCCCATGCACCGAACAGTAAGTCTGGATTATGGTGTAGTCTTAGAGGGACAAGTTGAGGCAATCATGGACTCCGGCGAGACCAGGCTCCTCAATAGAGGTGATATTGTGGTGCAAAGAGCGACGATGCATGCTTGGAGAAATGTCAGCAAGACCGAGTGGGCGCGGATGCTGTATGTACTCTAGGAGGCGCAACTAGTGACATTGCCGAACGGAAGCACTCTCGGAGAGGACTATGGCTCAATACAAGGCGTGCGGGCTTCAACTTGAATTGGGCGAAAAGGATTCCCGCAGCTCAAGTATTCTTATGGAGGATAGGAAAGTCGGTCTCGTAATCGTGGGCGCGCGGAGTGCGGACTGGCATTGAAGCCGCAACGCCTGCAGATAATGGTGATCTGGTTCATTTTCAGACGCATGGTGGAGGCTCGAAGTACTTGGAGGCGTGTATATCGACCGTTGCACTCAATGTCTCGTCTTCGACCTCTTGGTTCCTAGTTCTGCTGTCTTGACCAATGGGTCTTCAGGCCGAGGCTTCGCGCGTAAGGTAGCCGTAATACTCGGTAGGTCGATGTCGATGGGTATCAATGTGATGAGACTCGATGAGTGAAGAGGGTGGTAGTAATGGTGATGATGATGACGAATAATAGACAGGCAATTTATTAGAGGTGCAGCTTTCCATAGGTTCTAAAGTTGGATCCATCCTTGCATACACATCTCACGCCAACCGCCGACAAACAACCAGCTCGAGTACAAGTGTCGTGACTCGTCGCCGTGGAACACAACCTTGTCGCCCGGGAGAAGAAGACCGAGAGCTGACCCTGGGAGAGCCACACGGTCAGATGCGTAGGCTTAGTGCAGCATAGGACGACCGCCATGATACACGTTCAATGCCTCTGCGTCCTCGAACGCCGATAGCAGCGACCCCCAGCGATCGCCAGCGGCCAAGCATGTCGGCGCGCTCGCGTCTGGCCTTGAAAGATGAAGAGCTCGGCAAGCGCGACGACGACTGGAAGCCACGACATATGCACGCTCAATCGCCGACGATAGCGCCATACCTGCCCTGGCGGTGGAGGAAGAAACGGCTGCTGGCAGTCGTTGCCGTTGCTCTGATCATATGGGCGTTGCATTACGTGCCGCAAAGTCTTACCTTGCGCAGTGGGCAGGAGCAGGAGCAGGAGCAAGTGTCGTCCCATGCGAACAACATACCCTCGTACCGCGTACATGAGGGCTACGATGCAGTGAGAGCGCGCGAGCCCAAGGGCGCGCCTCCCAAAGAGGAGAATGAAGATGGAGCGGAGGATGCAGCAGTGAAGCATTACTACAATGGCGTGGTGAGATTCTATAGGCTGGGCGCAAGCCTCCAGAAGGTGTCGCGCACCATGGGCATGTACCCGCAGAACCGCAACGTACTGTTCGTGGCATCGTCGCTGAAGAGCTTGGCCAATCTTATACCCATGGCGTGCGAGATGGCCAGGCTCGATCGCAACTACGTGCATGTCGCAGTCTTCGGCAGGAGTACCATCTCTCTTGACGAGCTTATGGAGGTGAACGGCGTCACGTACGAGAGTTGCAGTGCATATTGGCACGATGCGCGTGGCGATTATGCCGAATTCAGCTCAGACGCGAGAGCAGAGTCTGCTGTCAGAGGTGCTCTCAAACACATCCAGGATTACATGCACCCGCAGGTCATCATCATGGACGACAGCAACAAAGAGGAGGCGTATTTCACAAAAGCGATGCGCTTCAAGGCAGAAGCTATGGACAAGCCTTTGATTGAAATACCATCTGGAAAGTACGCAAACTGGTTGTGGATGACCAAACTAAGCGCTGCAAGTCTCGTTCATTGGCATAAGCCAGTGATCGATATCGTGATTCAGGCGCCGATGGAGAGCTCGGGAAGCTTGATTCGACTCTTGCAAAGTCTCACGAACGCCGATTACAGTGGTCTGAAAATGCCAAGACTTACGATTGAGCTGCCTTCCAAGATCGAGCACTATGTCCAGAAATATCTCGAAGACAACTTCCAGTGGCCACCAGGAAAGCAATCGCACAGGCATCCAAGCCTTCTCACAGTCCGGCATCGCATACCATCCTCGCGCCTGAGTACCGAAATGGCCTCGCTGAGGTTTGTGGAGTCATTCTACCCAAGCAAGAGACTCGACCACAACCTTCTAGTACTGTCGCCACAAGTAGAGATTAGCCCTCTATTTCTACAATATCTACATTACACGCTCTTAGAATACCGGTACCAAGGTCCTTACGCATCCTCGGGCTCCGAGAATCTCGTCGGTATATCTTTGGATGTGCCCAGCTCCTCCCTCAATGGCAAGTCTGATTTTGTGGTGCCCAAGGTGTCGAACATGAGCTACGGCAAGTTTGAGGAGGAAGAACAAGTAAACATGGACGATCCGGCGCCTTTTATTTACCAGAGTCCCACCTCGACCGCGACTTTGATATTCGGAGACAAGTGGATGGAATTTCACGACTTCCTATCTTGGCGCGTGAAAGCGACACACACAGGCAAAGCCGTGAAATCCAAAAAATTCGTGTCGGAGAGACAGCCGTCTTGGGCAGAGTTCTTGCTTGAGCTTATGTGGGCGCGCAATTGGTTTGTACTGCATCCTGCGTCCACTTTTGTCACTGTGCACAACGAGATGGCACAGATACCGGAGGAATTCTTGCGATCTCCTCAAGACAGCAAAGCAACGGATACGCCGATTAAACCTGCGCATCCGGAGGAAGAACCTTATCTGCTATCTCCGGAGCAACCAGTCCTGACCGAACACCTTGAAGCCGACCCAACCCGTACCTTGATGCCGCTACATCAAATGCTACCCTTCAGCGGAGAGCTGCAGGAACCAGCGCAACTACCTGCGGTGGCCTTCAACGGCGGCTTCTCTGAGATGTATACACTTGGCGACCACATTGAAGACTATGTCACACAATTCCGAAAGTCGTTCGGTGGATGTCAAGGCGAGGCGGTCACGAGGCCGCGGATTATCGAGGACGGAAAGGCAGACGATTTGTTCTGCTTGGAAGGACAAGACATGAAATTTGCAGACGAGTACCAGCCCGAAGAAGACACGGATGAGCAAGTCGCTCAGGAAATACTGGACGGCACGATAGACTACAGTGACGAGGACGAGGATTCAACTGCCACTATCGGCGCCACGCACGCCACCACCTCGACGCAAACGGCGAAGGCAAAAGATGGGGGATCCGCCAAAGCAAAGGTGCCGGAGACCAAACCGAAGGGCAAAGGCGATGGCTGAACCTCTCCATTTCATGAGATCGAGGTGCACGCACCAACAAACCTGTGGCATGGCTGATCATCATACCCACGATCGGTAAAGGCGAAGTCCAGTGGCGAGTAAACCGACCACGCGATCACATGCTGTTGCGCCTGGTCGCTTTAGACAAAAAGCCTTCAATGAGGACTCATTCTACAACCCTGCCATCCGCCGCCCAAGCAGAGCAAGTTGGAACGAATGTATTGCCGGCTTCTACCTCCCTGCTGCGCACCTGAGATAGCCATGATAGATATAGAGACGACCAATCACACCATGCATGGTTGGTACCCTCTGAACGCCTTCAATACGACCCATGACAGCTCTTTCTTTGAAGTTTGATCATACAGCTTTGCGGACTGGGTATGTAATGTTAAGCAGGTACGGCCGTAAGATTGACTAGTTCGTGGCACCACATGCCCTATGGAAGTCTTTGAAGCACATCAAGGTATGCAATCACTACATGTAGCGCTGGTGATAGGCCGCTGATCTGGAGCTCGCCGGCCAATCACGATCCTATTGTTCCGCGATATGGCATTTGCCACTTTCAGCGATGCGGACGCAGCTCCGGGGATCAAGAGCGTGCATATCAGACTTCGGGCAAAATCTTTTACACCACCAGCATCCCACGGCCCATTTAAGGAAAATATGCCTTGCTAGCTTTGACCCGCCACTTATATGAAGAATTCGATAACTACGGCTTCAATCATGCTTATAAACTTTTGGTCGGAAGATGTTACGAAATGCATGTTGAAGGCTACGGTTTGTATCTCGAGTCAAGATAATTTGGATTTTATGTATCAGTTGGGAATGGATATTGTGCATCAAGCTGAGGTGATGCTGAATTGTAAGTGAGGCGTGCAAGATGGCGTTGTCTAAGGTAGGTCTTAAGAGGGAGGTTTGTGATATACCAAAATATGTAAGGAATAAGGGTAGTGTGCCTTAAGAAAGACATTTCACACACGCCAATTTTTCGGCAGGTCTGCGCTATCTGCAGCCCAACATCCTGAAAGCAGATGGGGACTTTTATGTTCGCACTATGCGTGAATCTTGCGTTAATACTTTCTCGTTGCGAACGTAGATACGACCTGCCGTCTCGTGTATTTCCCAGTCGTAAGAATCAAGAGCCTCGCGCAGGCAAACTGCAAAAAGTGTCTCCATTGCCGGGAGCCCTCAAGTCTCTCTCGTCAGTAGCGCCTTCTCCCTTGGAGCTCCGAATCAAAGATTCCAAGTCGTCTCACCAAGCGGCTCAGGTCCGCAGAACCGCGTTCATAGCCCTCCCTCTCCGCCACGCAAATCATCACAACCACCCTTCCCCCCCCCCCCCCCTCCCCCTCATCATTCCTACCTCAAGTATCATACTCCCACTTCCCAATCTTTCCCCCTCTCCCACTAACCTTCGGCGCCGAAGCCCGTGTCGCCATCTTAAAATCCGCAGTTTTAGAATACTCCTGCGCCAAAGAAGCACAAACTTTCTTATGTTGTTTGGTATGTGCTTTTTTGCAATCTCGTGAACAGTACGAGACGCTTTTGCATGAGTTGCAAGGTTTCAAGTTTGAGATTTCTTCTGGATTTGAGGAGGAAGGAGAAGAAGATTCGAGGGTTTTACAGTTTGCGCAGGAGTTTGAGGTTGAGGTTGATGGTGAGGAGGAGGAGGAGGCTGGGAGGTGTTGTTAGTTTTGTATGGAGAGGAATGGGGGCTGGCGCTTTACATGAGGGTTCTGTGATTGCGTCTTGGGAGGTTTTGGGTGTTTCTGAATGGGTGTCGGACATTGTGGCGAATGTATGTGTTGATATGTGCATTCCATCACGAGGTTAGTTTTTCGTCTATCTCCACTCAGACCAGTAACAAAGGGTGTTCGTGCATGTGACATAGAAACATGTGCTGTTGGACGCTGCCGCCCAGCAGCATCCAATGTGTCACGAAGCTCGCTCGTGGTTTATGAGCGCGTGTGCCGAAGGTCGCAGTCCTTTCTCATCGCTGTCGCTCTGTTCTGGACTATAGCGACCTTCGTTACGTGCTGAGTGCTTGGAAAGTCACGTGTAGATGCCTTAGGTGTCTGTAACTTTTGAAAATGACCAATCACAGAGCGCCAAGAAATCGACACACGTAGCATAACCCACGAGCGTGCTCCCCCTGGTCACCTGACCTTCGCTACGCTCCGGGAGGTGCCAGAGGTCGCCGCTTCGTGAATCACGTGTTCCGTAGCAGACTTTTCTAAACCTGCAAGTAAACTTTCCAACCCCTATACTAATTAAATAAACTCCCGTATAGACTATATAACACCCTTTATTACTAGTCTAATCCGTTTCTATCGGGTTTTAGTACGCGTATATAGATAATCGTAGTAGTAGGTAGATGCTATTAGCTATAATACTATTATATATCGGAAATCGCAAAATCCGCTATAGTAAAGCCCTACGTAGTTACGAAAACTATCTACCCCGAAAATCTAAAGAACTTAGGTCTACTACTCGCCGGGGAAAATCTATATATACGCGAAAATCGAATATCGCTTACTATATTAAAGCTAGACGCGTCTACCCTACTACGACCGTAGATCGATAAACTAACTCCGTAACGATCGAAACAATATCCGCGGCGGGTAAATATAATACCGCGAAGAAGCTCCTATAACTCTTATCTATCCCCGATACTATCCTATCTAGCGCTCGTAGTCCTCCCGCCTAATATTATCGGCTAGGTATCGTAGCTCCGAGTTAGTAAGAGATACGTTTAGAATACCGTAATACTCGAGCCGGTTTTAACGCCGCGAGTAGGGTAGGCTCTACGCGTTATAGGTTAGAGAAGGGCCGCGACTAGAGGGCAATTTATAAGAGCTAAATCGGGAAAATTAGCTTAGAGAATCTAGAATAGTTTCTAGCTAGGCAAGCTCTAGAAGTCCGCTACGCTATAGAGCATTCCCGTAGAGCTTTCTATAAGGGTCGTATATACTAATCTACGGGAGATTATTCGATTTATAGTTAATCGAATCTATAACTATACTCTTAAATCTATTCGCGCGATAGTTTATACCGTCGACTATACCGATTTAGTCGACCTCTAATTCGATATTATCGAAGCTAGAATAAGGTAGATATTAAATCGATTATATAAACTATCTAAACAGCGGCCTAAGAAAAAGCCGTATCGGATCTAGGTTACTATACTACGGGCCTTGATTTACTAGCGATAGGATGTCCTATTTGTCGTAAAAACTAGTTTAGGTAAGAGCCTAATCTTCTAGGCTTTTACTATACTTACTAGATAGACTGCTATCTAGTTAGTGCCTTTTACTCGGCTCGGGGCGGAGTAAGAAGCGGACTTAAAGAAGATCGTAGGGGAATACGTCAATCCCGTACTAGTTACGAGTAAGGCTAAGCGGCGGGATCTAGATTTGTTTACTAAAATTAGGGCGGGCTAGTACGATTATATTATTCTAGGCCCGGAGCAGGCCGTATCCGACGACTTTAAGGATACCCTAAAGGATCCGAATCTTTCCTTACGTATCGGGCTAGTCGTATTCGATAAAATTTATCTCCTCTCGAAATAGGCTAGCTTCCGCGAGGAATTCCTTATAGTCGCGTAGCTTAGGCAGCTTCTCCGCTAGGACTGTATATAGTTTAGCTATACTAGAACCCTAGATGCTATAACCTAAGCCTATATATTGAATTATAGCGGGTTTAGACCGGTCGGGTACGAGCTATATTATTCTATAGTGCTACGGACTAGTATCGATCGCGTTAACTATACGTATATCTTTAAAGAGTTAGATAAAAATACGAAGTCGGTCTATAGCTAGTTATATTTTGTAATCGAAAAGGCCGTAAGCCCCGCGGGCTCGCCTCTACCCGCTATAGGCTCGAATTTGTCTACTACTACGCTAGCTAATACGGGCGAAGCCTAGTCCGTAGCGGAGTAACGGGCTACGCTAGCGGAGATACTAAAGACTATTATCTTTATCGATAGTCGCCTAGACGTAATCGCGCTTATAAATCGCGTTCGAGCCTAGCTAGTACTTCGGACTAAGGACCTATATCGAGAAAACTAGTATTATTAGGGAAATAGGTCTAATCCTATACTAAACGTTCTTAGAATTGTCTAATTCTATATATCCGCTATGCCTATATACGATTAGAACCTGCGGTTTCGTAAGTTTAGCGTAGCGGATAGCACTATCCGCATTATAATTGCTACTACCGCCCTTAGCGTAGGCATTAACATCCGTATAGTGCAAATCGTTATCTAGTAGGGTCTTATATTAGAGTATAACTACCTAAATTTTCGCTAGCGTCTCGGGCGTACCGGTCGGAACATAGTTCCGAGTAATCTTTATAGCGAGGTATTCGTATTCTAGCTAGCGTAGATAAGGAACATAAAAAAACGGCTTAGGGATTAGCCGGTAGAGGGTAGTAAGGTCCGTAGCGGACCTCGCGTCGCCCGTAAGAACAAGTTCTAGACGTAGCGGGAAGGATTATACTTAATACTTAACGTCGATATCTCGCTTAATAGTAATCGAGAAGATAAGAATACCGATACTAAGGACGGCAATTCCGCTACGCCTATAGCTTTACGCGCGCCTCGTATACGCGGTGCCTACTAGTTAAATACTAAAGCGAGCCGCCGCGTAGTAGTCCTAGGGGATCTGCTTAATATATAGAATATGCCGTATATTCGCAAAGTATAGGACGACAAGCTTAGCGAGGATAAGTACTTAGACCCGAAGGTATCCGTATTAAGCGAAGTCTACTACAATCGGTATAACTATAATATACGGAGTAAACTGCCTATACCGCCGGATAGGTAGAATAGCCTTCCCCGACTAGTACCTAATTCGAGGCCCGGTTTCGTATTTGTACGGTTAATAGAGTAGTATATTGCAGTTCTCGAGGATCGCGTAGCGGGGGAATATAGATTTAGAATGCTATAGAATGCACTAATAGATAAGCAGCTTATATATAGCCTTTATCGGATCTACTAGGATTATTCGAGTATAGACTAGGATGCCTTCGATAGTAATATACTTAGAAGTAAGTTAGATTAGCTAGTAGTTAGGAGAAGGACAAAACATCGGATTAGGTATATACTCGACGTATAGGAGTACCGCGATAAGACGATTACTTTCGGGAGTAGCAGAGTAGCCGATTCTAGCGGCGGAGATAGTAACGAATCTAGCGGTATCGAAACCGTTACTCTTCTCGATCTCCTCGTCTAGTTTATACAGTATATTAAAGAAGATATAGTCTTAAAATAGATAGAGTATAAGGCGGCGTAGGTAGCGAAGGCCGCTATAGCTAAGGTAGCGAGCGCCGCGAAGGAAGCCGAAGATGCGTTACTTATAGAGATACTAGACGACTAGCGCCGAGCGTATCTACGGTCTACGTAGGAGAACAATATAAATGTAGCGGCGTTAGCTATCGCTAGTTAAGGACGCCGAATTTAGTAGAGGAGAGTACCGGAAACCGGTAGTATAACTAATTTGCGGAAAATAGCGCTAATAAAGAGTATACTCGAGGTTAGAGAACAGGCTAGTAGCGGCTCTAATTAATCCTACGGCAGAGATAGTAGCGTACCTACTAGATCTATAGTAATTAATAGGTATCGATCTTTATAAGGGAGTCCTTCGAGTATATAGGATGCTACTATATATCTAGTATCGGGCCTAACGGGGTAGTAGCGACTAGAAGTAGCGAGCTTCGACTCCGGATACGTATTAGAGTTCCTACTAGATGCGGACCTAGCCCTCTCCGCTACGGAAGAGCTATTACCTACGAGGGCCGCTAGATCGAAGCGTAGGCGACCTAATATACCTGAATCTGCTTCCGATATAGGAACACTATCGAAAAAACGTCGTCGTAAGGAGCCTCCTAAGCTAAAGACACTAATCTATAAACAGTCCTATTTTAGTAGGGTATACTAATATACTACGTCGCCGTCTAGTCGCCCGCTATAGAATGCGAAGGTCCCGTAACGGGCAAGACAGTATTTTAGGGTATTAGATCTAGCTCTAGCTCTAGTTTTAGAGTAAACCTTTATTTGCTCTAGTATAGAAGACTTAGATCGCGCCTTCTTTAGTCGTCTTATTTCTAGTTATATATAGCTTTATTTCCGCTACGTATAGCCTAACTTCCGCCGTATATGCCTTGTTCTACTATTATACGTATAACGTATATAACGCGTTTGTTCCGAACTTTACTTTATACGCTATCCGTACGCGTAGTAGCTATATTTAAAAGGACGCTTCTTCGACTTCTTCTCCTTCTCCTTCTTCTATATATATATAGCGATTACTACCTTCTACTACTTTCGACTACTTCTAATTAAGACTTTCTAAACAAGACTATTAAGTCTTACCCGTAGCGGTACCCTCTTTGTCCGTATCGATAGATCCGCCTCCCTCTACTACTTCTAAATAAGACCTCTAAGCTTCCTATTAACAAATCTCTAATTACATTTAAGACCTCTAAGTCGTACGATATATTAGGTAGTAATAGCGGCGGCGGTGCTCCTCGCGGCGGCGGTACTCCTCGCGGCGGCGGTACTCCTTATAGCGGCGGTACTCCTCGCGGCGGCGGTGCTCCTCGCAGCGGCGGTACTCCTCGCGGCGGCGGTACTCCTCGCGGCGGTAGTGCTCCTCGCGGCGGTAGTACTCCT